TTTGAAGAGGTTTGTGGAAAGCACACAAGACTGTTCTTTTGTTCTTTTTCTTTTTTAGAGCTTTCCTTAGTGCCATGAGAAGCAAACATCCTCCTTCAGAAGAGAGAGCAGCTCACTGCCCAGACTCTGCGCTCGCTCACTCGCGCTCTCTCTCTCTCTCTCTCTCTCTCTCTCTCTCGCTGTGTGTGTGTGTGATTGGATTTGGTTCTCCCAGCCAAACCTTTGGCTGCAGCTTTCTAGTAAATTATCATCCCTTTATACATTTCAAGATTCCCCTGTAGAAAATCCCATGCACCTCTCTCCAACAGAAGGGCTCCTCCAGAAGACAAGCATCCTAGAAAAAGACACCATGCCTTTCTTTGAATGGACGGACACACACCCCATGCCATCCCTGCTGCGGTTTCATCACTCTGTCTCTCAATGAGTGCTTTTGCTCTGTCTCCGAAATTAAGCATGGTGCCACAAAATTAAAATGCTGTGAAGAAGGCCATTCAATCACTATGAAATTGTAGACTTCGTGCAATTCGCACAATGCTGACCATGGACCAGCCTTTAATGATGAAGCCAAGCTCATTCCACATTTATTTATTTCTTTAAAAATGTCTGTCAGCTTGGAAGAAGCATCAGTTGTACAAAACAAACAGATTAGCGTTTGGGTGTTCTCGCTGTAAAATCTTCCTGCCTTTCCTTTCTTCCCTTTGTCGCACAGAACGCAGGCACAGATAGAGGCAAAAAAAAAAAAAAAAAAAAGTATTTTTCAAGAAAACAATTGTATCCTACCCTGCAATACTGAGGAGGATCACAGCTTAATGGGACTTCATCAGCATTAGAGGGGGTGGGGGAGCAAGAACTGGTTATGTAACAAGCTGGGAAAGTTCATGCATGGAGGGAGCAGCTTTGTGTGAAGTAATTTAAGGTGGTGAGGAATGGAAGGAGTGCAGCCTCTGGCAGTGGACTTACTCCCAAGCAGGGGTCACACTGCTGCCAGTCCTAACCTATTAGTCAGCTGCAGAAAGCAGTGGTGGGAATAATGTGTGTGTACAGCAGGGAAGAGGCTAAAATATAATAAAGCTCACTTGCTGGAAAAGTGAGCGGGAATGAGAAAATTAATATTAATTATTATAAGTGATACTTTTAAAAATTCCGATCTTTTCCCCAAGAGCTGGCAAACCTCCTTCGCCTCGCCCTGATAGGTAGGCATAGTCGGCCTAAAGTCACCCAGTTAGCTTTGGAGCTCTTGCCTGGAGTTTTGGTCTCCTGGTGGATGATACTAAATAAGTTTTCCCAACCTAGTGTCCTCTTGGGATCTTAGACTACAACTTTCATCACCTCCAGCCAACAGGGATGATGGGGGTATCCTTGTTATGTGTCATTAAGTTGCCTCCAGCTTGTGGAAACCCTATGAATGAAATCCTACAAATTGTCCTATCCAGGACAGCCCTGCTCAGCGTTTGTAAATTCAGATCTGTGGCTTCCTTTACGGAATCAGACCACCTCATATTCAGTTTTCCTTTTCTTCTTCTGCCTCCGATTTCCCTGGCATGATTGTCTTTTCCAGGGAGTTTTGCCTTCCCATGATGTGCCCATAGAGTGCCAGCCTCAGCGTTGCCATTGTTGTCTATAGGGAGAGCTCTGGCTCGATTTGATCTAGGACCCACTTGTCTGTCTTTCTCTCAGTCTAGCACCACGCTTCAAATGCATCAATTTTCTTTCTGTCGGCCTTCTTCACTGTCCAGCTTTCTAGTTCCTTCAGTGCTGCCTTCCAAGACTCAGTCATCTTTGAATTTCTTGGCTGCAATCTCCATTTGAATTGATGACTGAGCTGAGGTATGCAACCATTACAATTTCAGTTTCTTCATTGTTAACAGTAAAATTGTATAATCCTTTGCAGTCACGAATTTTATTTTCTTAATATTCAGCTGCAGTCCTGCTTTTGAACTTTCTTCTTTCACTTTCATCAGGAATTGTTTCAATTAATTGCTTCTGCCAGTAACATCTGCATATCTTGAATGATTAATATGTCTACTGCCAATTTTCACTCCTTTCTCTGATTCTAATCCAGCTGTCTTTATCATATGTTCTGCAAAGAAACTGAACAGGTAGGGAGATAAAATGCACCCCTGTCCGATGTCTATGCCTATGGAAAATCATTCTGTTTCTCCATATTCTGTCCTAACGGTAGCTTCTTGGTCATGATTTGGTTTATGATGGAATTTATGGTCCAATTAATTGGGAGCGCACCAGGATAGTGTCCTCTAACTTCTATATCATACATGGGCTTTCTCAAGGAATGACAATGGCCATTGTTATCCCTGGCAGGGAAGGGTTGCATAGTGTAAGGTTGCCTTGAAAAGTTCAGTGCACATGTTCTCTGCCGGCTATCTAAAAAGGGTTTAGAGAGGTTGGGCCACTAAATATCAGGGAGGAAGGTATTGTGTGATCATGTTATGCTTTCTTTTCCACATAGGAAACAGAAAACTTTTCCTTATAAGAAGAAGCAATGTATGCCCAGGGACAGCACGGGGTCATGCCAAAGAATGCAGTGATAGAATCCTATGAATTGGTGCATGTACTTGGAGACTGGGGATTGCACCCAAATTCACACACATCATGGATGTCTGATTTCTCTGTTCCCACAAGGTTCTCTATAGAAATAGTCAAACTGCATAAAAAAGGGTCCATTCATGAACAATAAGGGCGTAAGTATTATGCACTGAACTAGCTGTGATGCCACAGAATGTTCACAAATATTCCAACACTGCAAGGAACAAAACCACCAGGAACAAAACAGTCGAGTGTTTGTAATCTGCTTCTCTAAGAACAAAAATTATAGGCATGGAGCACATGAGCTCTAATGTAGCAGCACGACATGCATGTTTGCCTGTGCTTCATAAAATACAGGGTTGGCCAAACCAAGGCTTGAGAGCTGCATGCAGCTCTTTGAGTTTATTTTGCAGCTTGCAGCTGTCACCGCCTGTGGGCGCCTGCTTGCAGCTCTCAAACATCTGACATTTACCGTATGTGGCTCTTCCATTGAGCAAGTCTGACCACCTCTGATATAAAAGCTGAAAAAGAAATTGGCGCTGAATTAAGTGTGTGGCATGTCTGTGTTCCTTGCAATGTGAAAATCTTTCTCTTTCCTTATGCAAGCTTAAAAAAAATAGAAAACAAAACCCTGTGCTACACCTTGATTAAAATTTGTTAAGGCTGGTTCAGACAAAGTCATTTTGGAGGGTGCACATGTATGTTGTCCTGCTCCATCCCCATACACCAAGCAGAGAATTAGCGGGAGAGGGATCTGTTGATGAAACCCCCTCCCCAGCACAATAGGGGAGTGATATATGCAAGTGTGGGTCTATGAAGGAACCAGCAGGTGCAAACTGTATCTAAGATCAAGCCAATTACCAATGTCTGTGTGCAGTCCTAGACAATTGAAAGGCAAGAGAAATATTAACTATTAGCTTGAGCCTGCTGACTAATCCATGCTGATATATAAAATCTATCCCAAGCCGCCCTGCTTTTAAGGTCTCTTTTTCCCATAACCTGTCTCCTGGGCTCAAGGCTGCGGTAAAGGTGGAAGCTAGCAGACAGGATCCCACTTTTGTCCAGTTTTCATGTGGTTTTGGTTCCAGTTGTGCTGACATCTCCCCCCTTTCCTCAGAGAAGCTGGACTGCAAATGTTCCTACAGCTCTATGGGGGGCAACCGCCTGTGGGATCACAACCAACGGAGCCAACTGATGCCAGGGACTCCACTGCCCCAAGCAGTTAGAGTCGCTGGAGCAGAATCAGAGGACTGTGCACATCGCGTGCTTGTCTCAGCCACTTGCCACAGACAGAGTGCCCCATGCTGGTTGGTGTCTCTTTGGAAGAATCTGCAGAGGGTTACTTTCCCTGGCAGGCCACAATGCTGAGGCCCGATGTCAGATTTCTTTCCAGTGCAGCTCTTGCATGCCCTAAAGGCTCTCTGTGGATGCAACTACTGTTACTGGCTGTGGGGAGGAAAGGGGAAGGCCCATTCAACAGTAAACAGCTAAAGTGCAGGTGGGGGACACACACAAAACAAAAACAAACGAAACAACAGAGGGCACCTGGAGGCAAAACATACACGCAGTGCACAAGCGCATCAAATGTCAACCTTAAAATCAACATAATAGAAACAAAAGGACCCATCCTTTCCTCTCCAAATGTGCTGCTGCCCAGAACATCTGGAGGGCGCCAAGACGGCAAAGGACCGTTTTTAATATTCATTGCTTTGAACCGGGAGCGGGGCGGAGCGGGGAGGTGGTGGAGCTGACCCCCCCTCCCCCACCATCCCCGGCTCCACTTCTGATGCACGAGAAGGAATCCCCCAGTTGAGTCGGCTGGTCCTCTTTTCGACCCCTCCACTCATTAGAAGGACCTCTCCCTGCCGGATATGGGAGACTCAGTGAAAGGCATCACCATGACATAACACTCGCAATACACACACCGATCCTTGTCCCGGGAGCTCCGCCAGCCTTGCAAGGTGGGCGCAGAAGCAAATGAACGAACGACCGGAACCGGTTCAATACCAGTAACCTATCGGGAGGAAGGAGGGATCAAAGCAACAGGATGCGAGAACAAGGCAACCGATCTATAAACCCGGAGGCTGTACTTCGCCAGCCCTGGGCATGTTTAGTCCCTAGTCAGTGCCCCCGCGTTCAAGTGCGGTTTCCTCCCGGGAGAGCGTGCGTGGGATGACGGCCTAGGAAGGGAGCCCCTGCTGGCGAGCCGGGCTGCCGCCTTGGCGGGAGGCGCTTGGGCCAGCGAGGCGCACCGGCGGCTCTTTGTGACGGGGAGGGGCAGCTCGCGGGGAGGGGAAGCGGACCGCGGGGAGCGTCGCTGGCGATCTCGTGCCGGTGCCGAACAAAAGGGGGAGCGAAGGTTCTCCGGGCCTGAGCGGGCGGGGGCGGGCCATGCCTCCCTCCCCGTCAATCCCGTCCCCATCGCGAAGCGCATGAGCGAGGCGCGCCCTGCGAGCAGAGCGAGTGCGCGCAGTTGCCGGACGCCACCGACAGACGGGGCTGATACGAAGGCAGGCCGAGGTTGGAGTGAGCAAGCGCGGAACGGCGCTCCTGCTGCTGGGGTAACGTTGCGGAGGAGATCGGTGCGGGAGAGGGGCGTGCTTGCCGGAAGGCGGGCGGGCGAGCGAGCGAGCGAGCGAGGCGGCCGTGATGGGAGCGGTGGAGAGGCCGGAGCAGGCCGAGCCGAGCCCGGGGAGCTGCCGGAGCGCGCGCGCACCTGCCCGAACTCCTCTCCGCGCACCCTCCTTCTCCCCCGCGCTCGCTGCTGTGTCATCCACAGAGGCTTCCAAGCCTCTGCTGCCCCCCCGATCCGTTTCCCGGGTCCTGCAAAGAGTAGCCTCGCCCTCCCTCCGCACTGTTTCATTTCAGGAGCTAGAGCGGGGAGGGGAGGTGTCTGGGTTCAAAGCACTCTTGCTACTGTCCGTGTGCTTTTGATCTGGAAACCCCACCTGCCGTGCGAGAAAGGGCCGCTTCGGGCTTTCCGTTCCTGGCTGTGCACTCAGCGATGCTTTCTCACGACGTAGTTTTGGGGGGTTTTACACGATGCTGTCCCGAGGGGGCGAACTCCCTGCTCTTTAACCGCGCATACCGCGGCTGGACCGTGCGGGGCCTAAAGTCAGATCAGCATCCCGCCTTGAGGCCTCAGCAGCCGTGCGTGCGTGGTGCGTGCGTGCGCAAATCCTAAATGCAGAGTTTAATTTCTGAGGTGGAAGGTGCCAGGTCTTGGGGCTCGGCTGAGGGCTGTGTGCTCCGTGTGGTTTGGCTGCAGTTAGGGACCATGGGAGAAATGCGATCTGCACGTGCTCAGATGTGTTGTTATTATTTCATCACGTGTTCTAGAGAAGCACCTTGACAAGTTGCAGGGCTTGATAGGAAGCCTTGGACATAGATGATGTTTCACAGAATATCCTTCCCTGCTCCCTGTTGGAAATATTTAACCAAGCAGAGACCCACTGGAGAAGTTGAGAAGCTGGGGAGCAATTCATTCAAGCACAACAAAAAGAAGAGGTTACTTTCTTTGCTGTATTCCCTCCTTCATGCTCCTTTTTTTAAAGATTTTTAAACTACTACTAAAAACATCAGTCATCAAATACATCGGACCTACTGCTCCGTACTTCATGCTCCTTTCTCATGCACATGTTCTACCAAGTGCAACCTTAGCCCAACCTTTTCACTGAAAAACACACTGTGTGTGTACATGCCATGTGAACATGTGGAAGAATGAGAAAGAGTGCTTCCTAATACTACTTATTACAGTTGTATCCTGCCTTTTTTCTTTTCAAAAAGCTCAAGGCAGCTTAAATAATCTTCCTCTCAGTTTTATCTTTACATTAAGCCTGTGAGGTATGTTAGGATGAGAGACAGTGACTGGCCCAAAGGCACCCCATGAACTTTGTGGCTGAGTGGGGACTAGAACCCGGATCTCTCAAGCCCCAACTCAGCACTTTAACCACTGGATCACATAGGCTGTTTCTTGCCTCTCACCTCTATCCTTTATGCTTGTGTTCTCCTGTTTATTTTGCCCTGCCACTACCTCTGTTGCTGGCTTTGCTCTTTCACTTTCTTCACCTTGCCCTCCCAGCTTCCTGCGGTATCTTCTGTCCGCTTCTCTCAGATCACTCTGCCACCATCCCCTTCATCAGAAGCGCAATCAGAAATGTATGTGGGGAGGGGGCAGGATGCCCCTTCCATCCAGTCCTCTGTGGGTCAAATGTCATCAGGAGGTGCTCCCCAGAGGAATCTTGGAAGGTGAGGCAGCAGGCCAGATTAAGTCTGCAGGCCAGATGCCCCCCCCACACCCCTTTCATCTTGCCCTGCTGACCTCCTGCCCCCCTTGCTCCAAACTGCAGAGCATACCACTGAAACATAAGAAGGGCCCTTCCAAATAAGGCCCAAGGGCCTCTCTGACCCAGCACTCACTTTCCAACAGTGGAAAGCCAATGCTTAGGAGAAGGTCGCAAGTATAACTTCCTGCAGAAGGAGTGGATTGACTGGCATTCTGGGTGGGCTATGGTTTTGATGTCCCCCTCTATGGAAACCCGCACAGGAAGTGGCAGATGCTTTAGAGCCACCTGAGGGCAGAAGCCACAAAGTCCATTCCATGTTAGCAGCAGCGCTGCCAGTGCAATCCTGTGCATTTGTCCTCAAAAGTCAGCCCGCTGAATTCAAGGAGGCTTGTTCTCAGGTAAGTGTATGGTAGCCTTCTCCAGTCTGGGGCTTCCACATCATTCCCAGACAGCACTGCCAGTCTGTGCTGCCTGGGGGTAATGGAAGTAGTAGTCCAACCCATCTGGATGGTGCCATGGCCTTCAAAGTCAACTGCAGTGCGGCTTTGCTTGGACTCAAGCTCCAGGCCTCTGAAGGGATGTGCTTTGCCTGTCAGTAGCCAGTCCGTGTTCCCTGGAATGGACACTATTAAGGGTGTGTTCATGCTGCCCGGTGGAAGGTGCAACATTTAGTGTTGAGAAGGGTTAGGAAGGAGGACCAGGGCGAATGGGCAGGAGCCAAAAGAGTCCCATCTCATGCGTGTTTGGGAGAAATACGTCCAGCAACTCCCAGCTTTCCCCAGCCAGCCGTGACAGCCTAAACCAGAGGTTGGCAAGCCATGGCTCTCTAAATGCTGTTGGACAGCAATTCCCATTAGCCCTAGTCAGTGAGGAAGGCTGATGAGAGTTGCAGTCCAGCTGCAAGCAGAAGGTTACAGATGTCCTCAGTCCTGACCTCAGCTCAGCACTCTCCTTGCCTGCTCTGAAGTATGTCGCACTGAATTCAAGTAAGTGGGTAAAGGCTGCTAGTTCCAGTTCCGAAGCTTTACTGAAGAGTAAGCCCCAGGCAACACAGAGGGACTGGCGGACCCATGAAGGACTGCATTTCGCTTGCAATTCTCAGCTCACTTCCTAGAAACAAAAGCTCCATTGGACGCAGGGGGCTTCCTTCTAGCCTCCATAAAGATGCATTGGCGTGGGTGAGAGCAGCTCAGTTGGCTGCTGTTTTTCTGCTGGCTATGCCAAAAAGCTACTTTCTGGAATGTGTCAGTGAGCCTTCTAGAGATGTGCTGAAAAGCAACACCTAAAGAATAGGCCCTTGGCCAGGGAGGGAGGAAGGGAGAGGTCTGACAGTCCCTTTGACGTGCATTCAGGCAACGAAGAGACAATTAAGAGCAGAAGTGTAGGGGACACTGAGTGGGCACGGACCGGTTTATGGTGCAGGGGAAGCTGCCTGTATTGTTGGCTTCAGCTTTCTCCAACTTCATGCCCTCTGGATGATGATTCCAATTGTCTTTATTATTATTCTTACTGACTTCATTTTGGGACCACAGCAGCTGCAGTTCTTTGGGGGCTTTGCAACAGTTGTTGGACTACAGTATCCTCCATCCCCGGCAGCACAGCCATGCTGACAACCCTGTCGTCCATGTGTGAACAGCACGCAGCTGCCATTGTGCTCCTGGGGATGCCAATTCCACTTGGAAACAAGGCCATGTTCCCAGAGCTTCTTGTTTCCCTGCTGAATTGGTATAATTTCTGCTACCTCAATGGTGGCAAATTTGGTTGTGGAAAAGGTGGCCTTCGGACAAGGGGGCAATGCAGCCCCCCAGCTGTGGAATTTGTAATTGAACACATCTGGAGAGCACAAGTTTGGGGAAGGCTGGGAGAGACAATGCTGGACTTGCACAGATAAATGGTCTGACCCGCTCTTGCTGGGGATGAGGGGACTTTCAACCTGACACCTCTCAAAGTTTGGGGGAATCTGGTTTTACTCTGGCTGGAAGAGATCCTCCAGTTTCTCAGGCAGTGGCCACCCACATAAAATGTTTCCTTATCTCTGAAATGGAAAAACCAGAGTGGTGAAATAGGGGCTTCTGTGTTTAAACTATACATGCTATCACTAAGCTGCAGTCCCTACACAGCAATATTTTCTCACTGCTGAAGAAATTGAGTGAGGCAACAGAGCATCATTTTACGTAGCTCTAATTGTGTGGGAAGTGGGTCGCCCTGAGGTCCTTAATAAAGTGAAAGGATGAAAGTGGAGGAAATTATGTAACAGCAGCAACCTCAAGACTTTTCACATTTGAGCTCTGTGTCAGGGTAGATAGAGTGAGGCTTAGAAATTCCCAGGTGCTGGGCCACATAGGAATTTGACCACGGTACTTAGGAATTAGCTTTTACTGGGAGCAGTTATAGGCAGGTTTGGTGGTCCTCTGCAATACAGTTCTGCATTTTTCTTTTTCTTTTACCGAAAGACTGTGTTGTGAGGAGATATTAGATAAAAATGCATGTGCTTGAGTTTTGCTGTTTTTCTGCTGCCGTTCAGACTTTGTAATCAAATGAAGCAAGCATCAGATTTTATATAGGCTTTGCCTCCCTTGCCCTAAATTGGAAGAGCTCAGATGATTTTCCTGAGCCGCAATGCACAGGAGGGGCTCGTGCAACATACTCCACCTTATGAGCAGCAGGACTGTCAAGACTATTTTTTACAGTAGCCAAACAAGCAAATGTAGGCGTACAAGCTGAATGACCTGAGCACAGTCTCGTTCAGTATCCTGTTAGTGGAACAGCAGAGAAATGACTGGTGTGACTGCTTCTGTCAGGGCCATGGGCAACCTTTTTGGCATCGGGGGCCACATTCCTTCATGAGGAATCTGTTGCGAGTTGCACATCGGTTGCGGTGGGACTGAACCAAACTGGCTGGGTCAACCCTTCCCTCTTTCCAACTCTCTCTTTTCTCTCCTTATGCCACCTCTAGCTCCTTCTCCTGCTTTTATTCTGCCCAGCTGGCTGCCAGCAAAGGGGCAGACCCCTCTTGCCAAAGGTCACCACTAATCACACACGGAGGGAATTTGCAATGTGGCCAAGGACTGCAGAGTGAATGATGAATGACTTCTCTAGGTTTCTGTCTGTTGTTGCTAGTTGCAAAGTCGTGTCCGACCCTTCGCAGCCCCATGCACAACACTTCTCCAGGCCTTCCTGTCCTTCACTATCCCCTGGAGTTCCCTCACGCCAACTGCTTCAGTGACTCCATCTAGCCACCTCATCCTCAGCTGTCCCCTTCTCCTTTTGCCATCTATTGTTCCCAGCATTAGGCTCTTCTCCAGGGAGTCCTTCCTTCTCATTAGGTGGCCAAAGTATTTGAGTTTCATCTTCAGGATCTGGCCTTCTAAAGAGCAGTCAGGGTTGATCTCCTCTAGGACTGACTGGTTTGATCTCCTTGCGGTCCAAGGGTTTCTATCTAGACATGTCTAAAAACATGGATGATCTAGCAGTTAGCTACAATGTGGTTTGGATGCAGACTTAGCTGGAGGAGACTCAACAAAACTGATGAGACTTGAACGAGTCATAACTAAATGAAGTACCATTTATATCAGTGGGTCTCCACTAAGGGTCAAACTATACATCATGTTAATTATGTAGCTGACTCTCCTCTCTCTCTTTCTCTCTCTTTTATTCCAGTGTAAGTGCATGTGGCTGTGATTTGGATTGGGTCCACAGTGCACTGGGAGAGAAGGATTAAACCTTCTTCCAGCATTTGCCTCCTGAAATCTCTTCCTCCTGAGTGGGGTTAAAAAGAGAAAGAAAAGCCTCCATTGATTGCAATGGATACCACGTTGAACCCATTTTATCACTGAGAAACCTTCTTCTTGTGGGACTATTGTGATTTGTAGCAGTGTGGTTTCACTAAACCTTAGGTGAGGCATCTAAACTTTTAGATGGGGTAAAATAACACACAAAGGCTGGGAAACCACCAAAGTGCCAGGGCAAAGGGGTGGGGTAAGGAATGGGTTGTGTCCAGAGGCTCACGATTCTGTTCCCTCGTGTAGCGGGATCACAAAGAAGAAGAGATGGGAAGAATGGAAGGATGCCGTACCTAATGCGGAAAGATATGGAAGGGTAGAACAAGGGGGTCTTCAGGACAGCCGTGACCACAAGCAGAATGTGTAGTTCTTTTGGCCCCTTCTGGTTTATAGTTCTGCCCTCCAATCTCTGCGTCGTTTGGTCCCTTGTGTCTCAAAATGTACTGATGTGGCTGTGACATGGCTGCCTTTTGATCCATGTTCCTTCCTGGATCGTTAGCAAATTTCCCTGCAGAGTCTGACTTGTGGATCCGCCTGCTCCTGTCCACGCTGCTTCTCTGCTTGGTCTGCTCCCCTCAAGCAACACTTGTCTTTTCAAACCGTGTGCCTAGAATGGTTGGGAATGTAGGTGGTGCACCAACATTTGCATAAGGCAGAACTCCGTCCTTCGTTAACCTAATAAAATAGATATATCTACTTGTTCTTGATGTTTTTAGAGATAGATAAAATAAAGGCTGCTCTAACTGTTTTTTCTGACTCCAGGCATTCTGCTTGTGGTTAACCCTCAATCCTTGGAGGTGGATCAGTTGTTCGGCAGACAGTTTGCTCTCACCTGGGGGTGGTGAGGAAGGAACGAGCCATGCCTGTCTTGTCTGAAGATTCAGGTACGGAACTTCCTGCTGCTCCCAAACAGTGTCCATGTTTTTTTTAAAGCGGGTGCTACTCTGGGGCCGTGTGATCTAAAAACAGGCTCAGAATCACTGCAGAGGTTTTATAGTAGAGATGGGCAAATGCTGCCCTACAGATGTTTTGGTCTTCAACTCTCATTAGCTCTTGGTTGGCTAAGACTGATGGAAGTTGCAGGCCAAAACATCTGAAGGACCACAAGCTGCCAATTCCTGTTTTATAGCAACATGAGATTATTCTTTTAATTAAAATATTTTAATTCTGTGCTCCAGTAGATATCCCACAGGCAGGTTATAATCCATAACAATAAAAGAGAACGTCTGTTTGTCCATCTGTCAGCAGCTTAACACCAAGACCATGAAACTAAGACACTTGACATGTGGCATGAATACTAAGGGCACTCTGGGTATTTGCATCTCAGGATTATTTTGCTAAATGCATTAATTAATTAATTATAACTTGTTTAAGTCTGTCATGGGGTTGGAATCTGCAGTAACATCTTCAGCAACTAGAGCAGACTTTGCAGTCCATACGCTTTGAAGCCAGGAATGATTAGCAGGCTAACTACATGCCTGCCCCCCCCCCCCTTGTGCCATCCCCCTCAAGGGAACCTCTGTATTTGTGTGACACTTGTGAGTGTTCAAATCATTTTGATCCAGTTGTCTTTAGAGCATCTCTGAAAGTGAAGCCAATACTAGGGTTGTATGTTCCACCAAAGGGTGGAGACAGATCTAGGCAAAGCTCAATATCATATTTTCAGAAAAGGGAGTCAACCATTGTTTGTTTGTTAATACATCCCAAGAGTCCTAAGTACAAGATGAAACTATCACAGCTTCTATGAAAGGCTAATTTAAGTGTCCAAACCATAGACATCTCTCACTTTCTCTCGTAAGACTGACTAAATGCAGATTTGCATTTTTTCAAAATCAGCCTGTTTTTTCCTTCCTCTGCACCAATCTTTTGCATGTGTTTAATGGCTAACCTGATAAAGAATTCTGGGGAGCAGGCTATTCTGTGACCTTTGGGTTGGCCTAACAAAGATATTGCCCTAATACAGATTTTGAAACCCAGAATGGCTACCTTTGCTTTTTCTGTATCAATAAAAAGATGCATCATTAAAAGGAAATCAAGCAGTGGTAAGATGTCAGTGATAAAGCATTAAAAAGCAGCAGGTTATTAATTAAAAGCTAGCCTAAATAACAAAAGTTTTGACAGGAAGAGATGGAGGCTGGTGAATCATCATCCAGAGTGAGCTCCATAGACATGGGGACACCAGAAGAACATCTTGGCCTCTTCCATCTGATTCAGCAAAAGGGAGGAGCAGGGAGCTCCAAATATCAATGGAAGAGAATGATCACAGGAGTTCTTCGGCTCACGTACTCTAGCGTACCCCAGTACAGGCAAGTCATATGGAGGCTGGCTATATACTGCTGGTTTAAATGGCAGCTCAGGCACAAACTGGGTCAGTACTGGGGGTGGTGTTCACCAGTAGGGCTTGTAGCTCTGATCTGATCTCTCCTGTAGTTGAAGCCCCTTCTTTCGTTCCTGCCCTGCTCTAGTTTTGTGCTCCAGCTGTGATGAAAACAGACATTGGGTTTGGTCTAAAGCTCTTTCAGTCCTGTGCATAATTGGAGAATTGTTATTCCAGTGAGTCTCTTCCATATTTGTCCCCTAGGTTTGCATGAAACCCTTGCCCTTTTGACATCACAGTTGAGACCTGACTCAAATCACAAGGAGGAAATGGTGTTCTTGAGAGACATATTCAGTGAAAGAAGTCTCAGCTATTTAATGAAGGTAAATACATTACATTTGTGTTGCGCAAGCTCCCTCTTCCTGGTTTCCCTCCTTTTGTGTTTCCTGTGTGCCTAGCATTTTTGATCTCACAGCTTCAAACTGGACGTTGTGTTACCATAAAGCAGAGTGCCTTTGAACACATGTTGTTATGTGCTGTCAAGTAATCTTCGACTTTGGGTGACCCTGTGAATGAAAGCCCTCCAAAAATTCCTGTCTGTGACAGCCCTGCTCGGCCACTCAAGGCTGTGACTTCCTTTACGCAATTGATGCATCTCATAATTTGTCTTCCCTACTTCTGCTTTCGACCTTGCTAGAATTCTTGTCTTCTCCAGTGAGTCCTCATGATGTGTCTGAGGTACTTCACCTTCAGTTTTTCCCTTTTTGCTTCCAGGGAAAGTTCTGGTTTGATTTGATTTAGGATTGTCTTATTTGTCTTTCTGTTAGTCCAGGGTATTTGCAAAGCTCTCCACCAGCACCATGTTTTGAACACATGCAGAGTTCTTAATTTGCATTTCACACTTCCTGAAAGGAACTTTGGTTGGCACATGCCGAGTTCTCGCTTAGGCGCTGGGCCAGCCGGCCTGCTTAGCTGTGAAGATGGGCATGGATAAATATAGGGATATCTAGCTTGCCTGTGCTGAAACTTACACTTAATTATTTCTAGGACTGTAGTATGTTTTCTAATCAATGTGGAATATGTAACTGTATCATTTCCATATGCATTCATGGCAATTGATATTTTTAAGGCTTTTATAAACTGTTCAATTAGCAAAGTTCTCAGAACAGTGTATAGGATAAAAAACCATATCAAACCAAACACAGTATACAAATTGATCTCTGAAAAGCATGTAGAACAACAAACTGTAACATAGTAAGCAGCATTTGATAAATAGAATATAAATGATACATTATACCTAACAGTAACAATTCATAGTATGTGAGCAGCAATGTAGATAAAAAACAGTATAACATCTATTAATGATAATGTTTAGCCATTAAAATGTTGAGTGAATAAAATGATTTTAACCTGGTGCTGAAATGTTTGCAAGATTGGCACCAGGCACACCTTGCTGGGGAGCTGATTCCACAATCGAGGTGCCAAACCAGAAGTCCTTTCCCTCGTGGCCGCCTTCCTCATTTCTTTGACGGAGGACCTCTGTGCTGACCTTAAGGTCCAGGAAGGGAGACGGTCCTTTGGAGATCCAGGCCCTAAGCCGTTTAGGGCTTTATATGTTGATATGAGCACTTTAAAGTGTGTCCGGACTTTGGTTGTTATCCAATGCAGATGATAAAGAACAGGGCTTAGGTGTCCATGCCTGCCCGTCCCTGTCAACAGGTGGTGTGCCCTATTTTGTACCAACTGGAGTTTCTGAACCATTTTCAAGGGCAGCCCCACACAGAGCTCATTACAGTAGTCCAAATGTGAGGTTACCAGAGCATGGATTCCTTTTACTGGGTTCTGCTTTTCCAGATAGTGGCATAGTTATGATAGACTTAACACAGACTATTTTATTAGTGTTTTGGTTTTGTTAAAAAAAATTGAAATTCACAATAAAAATATTGGAAGAAAAAAATAGTGGAGGTGGAACTACAATTTTTGTGGCTCCAGGACCTGGGGCTGGAATAGCAGAGGGAGAGGTTGGCCAACCCTTCTCTCCATCGCATACAAATTTCTGCATCATGTGGGGTTGCCACTTGGACACTCCATGGGGTATATGCTTGTGTTTTAGCTATGACCAGGGGATGCAACAAGCTCCATTTGTTGTTATTATGGAAATAAATTGGGATCAAAGCAAATGAAAAAATACACTTCTAATGGGCTGAGGAAGTGCAGTGCTCAGGAACTGCATGTACAAGTCACAGAAAGGTCACAGAAAATAGAGGGGTGATGGAAAGGATGAGAAAGCTCACCTACAGGTGATTTGGCTGATGGGAAAATCTGTTTAGTTGAGCTGTGTATGCAGATTTTAAATATTCTATAAGAGGGGGATCTTTTGTCCACTGTTTAAAATCATCAAAGAGCTGCTTTTGAAAAGAGCCTCAATTAGTCCAAAATGCAGCAAGTAGATTGAAAATGGGGACTGGTCATGATGATCCCTGTATGCCAGTATTTTGCCGCTTTCGCAGGCTTCCATTCCATTTCTGGGCTTGATTCAAAGTGCGGGTTTTAACCTTTAAAACTCCAGATAGCCTAGGAACTGTTTACGTGAAGGACTGGCTGCTTGCATATAGATCTTCTTAGACCGCGGAATTATGATCGAAAGCCCTTCTTCAGGTGCTCCATTCAAATAAGGCAAGACAGGTGGCTGCAAGAGGGAACCGTACATTAACTGCTTTTGCACGACACAGCAAGCTGCACTGGCCAGGGGAGTTGTGCAAACACGCCTGGCATGTGCCCAGCACATGTGGACAGTGAAAGGGATGGACAAGCAACCTTGGCTTATTCCCACTCCATGATTGTGCAAATCCAGAGTCTTTTCAGTGGTGGTGCCCTATCTGGAATGTCTTTGTCAGGGGCAATGTTTGACTGAGCCATCCAGAGGTGCTGTGGCACAATTGGGTGGCATACAAATGTTTTAAACAAACAAACAAACAAACAAACAAATGATGACATTTTCATTTCTCTTTATATTGTACTTTGGAATTTATTATACATTACTGATGCTTTTATTCTGTTCTTATCTGACTTGTTTGATAGTCATTATTTCATTGTTACTTTTTTATGGTGTTAATCTGTATATCCCCTTGAGACCATTGATTATTGCATAGTTTAAACATTTAATAAGTAAATAAAAGAAATGGATAATAGTGGAATGTTTGTGTATTTGGTAGAACTCTTGGAAATGTCATTCTGTTTGATCAGAAACATTGAAACTACAGGCAAGAGAAGGCCAGCTGAGTCTCCAGTTGAAATCAGTGGAATTTGGTATCCTGAAATGAAATGCTAACAAATGAAAAACAAAAGAAATGCAGATTTCCCTGCCTTCCACCTTCACTACTTTTGACTGCACAGAACTGTTTCTGTAATTGATCCCACTCAAATTAAATGGAAGGAGAAGTTATGTGACAGGAATAGACACTGTTTCAGAGGTCTTGATACAAGAAGTGCGTTAAGGAATTTTTTGCTTCTCCACCATGGTACAGAGGAGGAGGCGTAGCAAAGTGGTGGAGCACCTGCGTTGCTTGTAGAGTGTCTCAGGTTCAATCCCAGGCATCTCCAGGTAGGACAAGCATCTGGACCAGGAAAGAATCCTTCCTGAGACCCTGGAAATCCACATTATTGACAGTACAGGAGTAGATGGACCAATGGTCTCAATATGAGGCAGCTTCCTATGTTTCAGGTCCTGGAAAATGTATGAACTTGGGCTAAATAACTACAGCCCAATCACACATGTGGATTTGGAGGGACAGGACTGCTGAGACCAGAGAGCATTGTTTAGGCCGTAAAGTTGGGTCCTAGAATGGGATCCACATGGGTCTGGGTTGGGGTGGCAGGAGAACAATTAAAATGCAGCTTGGGCCTGGAACAATCAATATCAAACAGTCCTTTTGCCATAAGTGTGATAATCGTGGCTGTGTAGTCCTACAGGGTTCTTTGTCGCATCTTCCAAAGAAGCAGAAACACTTGAATATGTACAATTTTAATAGCATCCTTAGCTAGTATAGTCTGCAGAGCACTTTATAGAGCTGACAAATCATGACTTGACTTCATACCAAACAATTGACAAAACTCCTTTTTGAGGCAACTGTGAGTTTAAAAGAAACATTTGCCCTGGCTTTTAAAAGTAGTATGTGATAACAGAAACATAGGTAGTGACTGAGAGGGAGTGAATTCTGCCACAACTAGTGGAAGCTGCTAATATTTGTGTGGCATCCACATACAGCAGGTGTCGTTTCTAGAGAGCCAAAAGTGGACTTTGAGCTGTACAAAATAGACAAGTGACTCAGTCCTTGCCCAAAACAGGTATTGCTTTAAATGTGTATCTAGCAGCTGCATCTTACACTTGCTTTTACTTTAGATAAGATTCAGTGGTACTTATTAAGATTGAGATGCTAGTGTGGAGAATAGGGAGAGGTTTTTAAGAACCAAGTTAAGATCCCTTAACCCACATACACACATAGCTCCTAGACACACATTTAAGATACTGGCTGGAATCAGACAACACAACAAGCCATGGTGGTTTCTTACCATTGTTGGTCTGTGGTGTTGTCTGAACCTAGTCATGGTATTTCACCATGGTAAGTCTGGTCTTTAGAAACCATTATAGGAAGCAATGGTTTCTCCACACCAGCACCGCTATCTCTCCTGGCTGATGTCAGGGCTGGCTGGATGGAGGCACAGCTGAGAGAAGATTCTGGGTCTTAGTCCTGCGAGGAGGCCTGCCTGCTGTGAATTCAATTGCTAACAGTTCCCACTGGCCTGAGATGCAGCGACCAGAATTTATCTTCAGAGAGATAACATTTGGGTGTTGTCTGTACGCATGAGACTGAGAGGTCAGAAACCGTCTCTGAGTATTGTGGGCAGAGTAAGAGTGAGACTTGGACAAGAGTGGAGATAAAGGCAAAGTGGTTCAGGAAGCAGTGTATTGAAAAAGTGGAAGAGGAAACCGTTGGCATCAAAAGCGGCATAAGAGGGACTGTGAAGTAGAGGATGAAACGGAAACCACTGGTAGATGAGCTAATGCAGAACAGGGGACTGAGGAGGGGTACACAGAAAGGGGAGGGGACTGTTACGAAGCCACTCTCTCCACGTACGCGTCACTGTACTTCTCTCAGAGCCATTTTGCTATCTGAGATGTGGCAGATCAAGGAAAGGGCCCTGCTTGGTCCTTACTCCAATACCTTTCTAATACCAGGAAAGGACCTTTTTATTTCCTTGGGCTTTTTAGCTTTTGTCCATCTGAAGCTTTCTAATATTAGTCATTTATGTTGTTTTTATAGATTGTTGGTTTTCTCTCCACCGCGCCCCAGCCTCCAAAGCTTATTTTTATAGATTAGCTATTTCATAGAGCATTAGATGTTTTCTTGTAAACTGGCCTGATGATGTACTTGAAGGGCGAGGTATAAATCTTAATAATCAGCCAGGATATCAATAAATAATAATTTCTATGTATTTATATCCTGCCTTTTGAAAACAGCCTTAACAAAGCTGTTTATGTGAAATGAAAATAATACAAAATCCAATTAAATGTTGCCTAAACAGGACTTCCAGATCAGGCTGGTAGGACGCCATCATCCTGCCTCATTCAGGGAATTTTATGTGGGGTGCAGATGTTGTCACCTTTCCCTTGTTTCTTTCATCTTTTTTCTTACTGTGGAAGATCTTGCAAGGAGATAAAAATGGGATAACTGCACAATGATTTCTGATTGAATGCCCTAGGAGCCCACCATCCGAAAGCAACCTAAATGAGAAGATATGCAACAGCAGCAGTTAAAAACAGTAGCAGACACCTGCCCCCCAGCAGCCTAAAAAACTTCCTGCCTAAAAGCAAACAGCGAGGACAGTGGTGCTGCTAGATTACATAAGACCCTGAATTAAGTACTTTTCCTTGTGAAGCACATAACACTTCTCCCCTCCTCGCTATTCCATGTTTCACAACCAATTCTGTAACCTTGCTATATTACAGCAAGAAACAACACTCTGTTTGCAAACCCCTGATTATAATAGGCATACTCTGAGCATATGCAGTTTTGCAGTTGAAATTCACTTAATTCATAGCACTGTCATGACTACTGGAATAAAATGGAGTCTGTTTCTGTTGCTCTGATGCTTAATGCATTTATTTGGGAATTAGTTGCAGAATAGCATAATCTATTTTTAAAGAGAAAATAATAAAGCGAGCATCTGTAACCATGTTCAAGCCCAGCGAGCTGCTCTCTGATTTTAAACAATTTCAAAATAGGAAGGACCCCGAAGGGAGTGGCACAACCCTCCTGGGGCTTCGCAGCCCTGTGCCAGCCCAGGTTGATGCAGGGCTGGCTTGCCGCTGCTCCCATCACCTGCTGGCCATTGGGGTGGCATGTGCTGGGCTGGGGTGCAGGTCTGGACCAGCTCAGAGATTCATCCTGCGCAAGGGGACCTGGTATGCTCCTCATCCTGTTACAGTAACATAGGCCTTCTCCAGGCCAGTCCTCTGTGGTGGAAAAAAGTCCCAGAAGGGTTCATGTGGGGTGAAATTTAAAAAGGAGAAGCCCAGAGCTGTCATGGAGAGTGACTCAGAGTATTGCCTTAATGGGGAAAATATGCCTGTGTGAATCTTATAAGCAAGGAAAAAGCCTCCCCTAAGATGCAGTGAGTTTGACCAGGGGGTGGTCATGTCTGCCCTGGGCAAGGGTCTGGCCATTGATCAAGTTGCTAAAGTTTGGACATTGGTAGAGGTTTGTGGTCAGCTTTGTATGAAAAAACTGAATAGGATCACATCAGCTTGGAATAGCTTCATTTTTATCTCAGTTTATTTTCACTTTTTATACCACCTAACAGCTGAAGCTGTCCAGCAGGTTACAACAATGCATCAAAGTACTATAAAAGACATATAACAGAAAATACAGATAGAACAAAACACAGTATAACCTTCTAGTATACAAATCTAAAACAGTCTAAAATTCCAATATACAAAATTTAAACATCCGAAACAATTTCATCTATACATCTAAAACTAGACCTAATTAAAATAGCCAACATAATGCATCATATGCCTGAAAATAGAGGGCAGTTTTAACCTGACACCAAAAAGGTGATAATGTTGGTGCTGGGGAAGTGCTCAGTCGGGCACCACTGGGAAGATGCTCTTCCTTGCTGCATGGGGTTGTTAGGATTTTCTAGGTCCACAGTGAGATTGCTGAGAAGTAGTCTCACCACCCCCTATTTCAGGTGCCATGGGACCACTCGCTCTTGTCCAGGGTGTTAATCAACTCTTTGGCCCAGTCTGCTGTTTTTTAGACGTTGAAGAGGGGCAAGAATCCAGAATAGAGGTGGTTGTATGGACCTGTTTAAAAACCTTGCCAACATCCTGGAGCTGTACCAACTGAAATTCATTCAATATAACTAGTCCAGCCTGTTCTCTGGAAACCTTGCCAGATTCAATTGCTGTAACATTAGAGTTTAAGTACTGGTGGAAACAGGGAATTTTGTCCTGGATGTGCCTAGAAAGTATGTTATGGAAGGCCTTAAATAGGACTACAGCATTAGTATGCCCCAGATGATCCTGAAAAGCTTACATCTTTTATTCAGAAAGAAGATCAAATAGAGGCAGTGAGATGCTTCTTTGCTGCCTCAATGGCCCTAAGTATACCTGACTGAGCACATACCAGGGCTCAGTTGCCACTATGTATGTGCCGCTAGTTTTCTTCTGTTTGCTCTCAAGTCATCTCTAATTTTGCTTCATCAGTCTTGGCTCTGGGGTTACCACAGGGAGCCAAATGAGCTCTACCATGGGGCGAGGTGGGGGATTGCTCAGGGGTGATCACGTCAACTCCTTGGGTCATCTCTGTGTTCCAGAGACTTAGCAGGGTCTCAGCAGGACTGCCAACCATATCAGCATTTCGCTTTTAGTTTCCTACCCTCCCTGAATTAGCTTGGTGGGGAGGGTAGTAAATGCATGTTTTATGAAGTGATGGCTGGTCAAAATGCTCGGCCACATGGCCATATGTTCTTGCTAGTCTGCACTGCAGTAAGGTTAGGTCTTGGTTTGAAAGCTGGGAACTGGAGCATGTGGGCATTCTGAAAAGTTTTTGGAAACCTCCTTTTGAGGGGTGCGGGTATCTTAGCAACAGTGGTTTTACTGTCTAAGCACAAGGGGCAGCACTGACCTCAGCCCTCATGCTTGGCACCTCTTGGGTTCTGCCCACCATTTCTTGCCTGCCCTGGAATGCCCTGCACCTACGCTTTGCCCAAGGCATCCTGGGGTGGCGGGTAGGGAAAAAACGGTGGCGGCAGTTAGGCAGGGCAGAGGGAGCCTCTCATGTTGCCACTGCTGCAGGAGAAGAACACGAAAGGGATTTGTAGTTGCGTCTTCAAAGGTGAGCTCCCTCTTTGCAATAGCCAAAATGTCTCCTAGATTCCCTGCCTGAGAACAGGGATTCATTCTTGGTTTAACCCTAACAGGAGTAAATTGAAGCAAGCCTTGGCTTTCCATATTCCAGCGTGCTGGACATTCTTGGAAGCAATGCCCAAAGTTGCCTGTACGTAGCTCTTTCCTCACATGGGCAGTCGGCTGGAGCGGCTTCCCAAGATTGCCCCAGCCATCGGACGCTTCATTTCGTGTGTGTGTGTCTCATCTTCTGTTTCAGATCCATGAAAAGCTGTGCCATTATGAACGGCAGAGCCCCGTCCCAGTGCTGCACAGTGCCTCAGCTCTCGCTGAAGATGTAAGTGGATGAACCGCTTCTTCATCACCATGTGCTGGGGAACTCCAGTGTGACCAAGAAATGGAATCCAGAATGAAACGAGACAGATGAAGAGGCAGGGCTGTGCCAAAAAAAAACAAACGGGAGCTTGATTTCAGTGCTTTTCAGACATCAGAAATGGGAAATAGTTCACTCTGATGCAGGGGTATTTACATCGATGACCAAATTCAACCCATCTGAGCTCTCCTTTGGCCTGTTGTGCTCCGTCCCCTGGGCCTACTCCTTTTCTCCAATCACGAACCATGCAGTATTTTCACGGATCTTGTACCAGTCCCTCGGCCCCCAATTTGAAAGCTTGAAATGTCTCTCCTAAGACTTAATTATTGACAAAAGAGTTTTGTGCTAAAATGGGCTGGCATTCTTGTACTGTTAGTTCCACCATTTTTGATTGCAGCCTCACTGTCTGTGAGAATGCTGCTTCCATGAGTTCCCTAAATTGGCCTGCTGGCTGAAAGAGGTCCAACAGCTCTGCTCTGAAGACGTATCTATGCAGGGAGCAGAAGGAAATAGTAAAATCCTTTGGTCATGTTGAGAGTATGGAACAGATGCATATTTCTTCTGTCTTCAAAACTCCTGGCAAATGATATTTTGCTGGTAATGTTCCAGTCATCCTACATATGCTAAGAACAGACACATTTGTTTCCTCTAGATCCTCATGTAACCTAAACAGCATCATCCACATGCAAGGAGGTATCAGGCAGCCTCAAGGCAACCCCAAAGACTGGAAAAGTACAAATAGTACTTAGGAACAAACAGCTTAAGGGAGAATCTCAAAAATGGTCCAGTGTGGGCTAAGCATGGTCCCTTGGATGATGACCGGCTGGACATCCCATCCTCGGCAGCAGAGGGGTGCAGCCTGTGGGTCATATATGGACCCCAACCTGTGGACCATGATGATTCCTTCAGCATCTCTTGGTGCCATGGGCAGCTCATAGTTAAAGAGCACTTTGAGAGGGTGGATGCTGTCAGCTGTGAATTCTTGGTGTTTCCCCACTCGGAGCAGGGAGGGAAGAGCCTCTGTGTGTATGTGTAAGAGAAAGAGACTGAAAAAAAAGGAGAGAGACTGGTCTGAGACAACACAATAATCCACAGTCAAGAGTTGAGTATTGGCTGAACATGGATTGTTGAAACATGGGCTATCGTGTTTGATAACAAACCATAATGAACAACCCACAGCTTACAACCCACCAACAAACCATAGGCTTTCTTCATGGGTTGTTCCTGGTTTACAAACCATGGCTCGTTACGCACAGCTGGGTTCAGATAATATCCCTCATTTCAACAACAATGCAAGTTTCCAAGCCAGCCTCTGCTCTACCTGTGAGTGCGGATTATCATGTTGTCTGAACACAGAGAATAAATGTACAACGGGGTGTGTGAATGGGTATGCAAAGAGATGTGTATGAATGCATGGCTGTGTGTGAACAGAGACCTGCGTGTGAATGGATGCATGAGTGCCCACCACTTGCTCTGGCGCACTGTCCACTCTCGTGCGCTCAGCGCATGCAGCCCTGAGCAGTTTTTTGTTGAGGGATGTGGCTCTTAGCAATGAAAGAGCTCTACTGCTGCGCAGCCTGTTCCAGTCATGCTTTGGTGGTTGGGTGCAAAGCCTCCGGACCAGGTACCAAACCCTCTGGGTCCAAGTAGAACCTCTCCGGTTTCCCAGCATAGAAACCATCCTTTCCTCCAACCACCAATCGTTTGATGGTTTCCTGACTTTCATGCTATTTTCTCCCCATTTTAAAAGGATGAAATGCCTCTCCCAAGGCTTAGTTCTGGGCATTGAGAGCTTTAAGCTGAAATATTCTGGCATTTGGGGCATTTGGTCCCACCCTTGTTGATATTTGCTCCGGCCAACGCTGGAATGCAGTCCCCAAGAGCTTCTTCTGACATTGGCCTTTAGGCTGAGAGATGGTTCACACCCCTGCTTTTTCAGTGGCTTATGGAAGAAACATCTAGAGTTATGATATCTACACTAAAGACAATGTATGTTAGGACAGTAATTAAACACATTGGTGGGGAGCAAGAAGTGGTTTCTACTTCTAGTTCTAAAGGTAGGCTTTTATTACCGATCTTGGGTTAATAAGATACATTTTCTTTTCAATGCATCAGTCTTCCTGACTGGATTGAAATCTGTCAGCACCCACAAGCGGAACTGCTTTCTGCGTTGTGTTGGTAGCTGACTTGCTCCCCTTTTCTCCTGTGATTTGTTGGTGCTGTAGACACAGGCCTTCTGACTATTTTTATTTCCTTTTTCCTTCTAGTATATATTTCTATCTAAACAGATTGTGAGGATAAGTTTACTTCTTTTATAATTTCTAATTTATTGGACTCTCTGCTGTCTTTGACATAACAGAGCAACACCACCTCCAATCCGGCCTACTCTTTTCTTTCTATAGATTTTATATCCAGAGGAAGCTGAATCCCATTTATTATCATTATTCCACACAGTTCCTTTCTAGTCAACACTCTTTTTTAGTATCACACATTATAATTTACCCATCTTAGTTTGAAGCTTCTAGAAGTTGCATATAAACCACCCATATGCCTTTTGAACACCTTTATTATGTATTCATTTACCTTTCATATATTTCTTTCTCTTTTTCTCTTGTATCCATGTTTATTTTCACTTGTTAGCTCATGAACAGTTGTATTTATATATGTCTAGTTCTCACTGAGGTGTAAACCGTGTCTAGACTACCACTTTGGAGTGCAGGTCAGGGGCTCACAGGAAAAAATGCTCCATGGTGGTGGGGAGAAAGTCTGAGGCAGGGTCCCTTCTCCTTAATTTTATTTTATCTTTGTTGAGAGTTTCTGAGAGGCAATCTGGAGCAGAGAAACTGAGTACCCTCTTCCTTTGCCCCTGATTCCCTCCCTTGAAAGTTTGCCTCTGAATTCTAAATTGGCCAGTGTTGTCTTTGTCTTCCTCTTAAACCTTGACTTTTCCTTTGGGGAAGGATTTGAGTGGAGGGGCAGAGCAGGGATGTCGAACCTTTTCCAGCTTAGGGGCTTAATTCAATGTCTGAGGAGCTCTCAGGGGCTGCATTGCAAGGGTTGGTGGGGCCAAACAACAAAGGGTCTTGGCAAAATGTAAGAAATGCCAGCACGTTTCAGCTTAAGGTTTTTGCTGCCAGTAATGAATGCTTTAGGAGAGGCATTTCGTTCTGTTAAGAATGGGAGGAACTGGGTGAAAGCTGAGGAACCATCCAGGGATTGGTTGGGTAGTAGAAGAGGGTCTGGCCATGTGGAGGACTCCAGAGGGCTGCATCTGGGCGCTGGGTCTCAGATTCTGCACCACTGTATTGGAATGCTTTGTTTGCAGAAACTCCCAAGCTCAATTCCCAGAATTTCCAGGAAGGATGGAGAAAGGCTACTCCTGGAGGGCAGTACTATAGCAAGCAAGCATGATCTAGAGCAGTGTGATCCAACTCGTGGTTTGTGGGCTGCATGCAACTCCTAAGGCCTTGCTCTGTAGTCGTCTTATTGCTCAGAGCCCCCTGTCCCCACCCCCCGGTCTGGATCCCAGCAATTGGCACAATTGCGACAAGCTCTCTGGAGGCTGCCACCCCCTTCTGTTCCTGAGGCTCAGGAAGAGAGTGGGTCAGGCTGGTGGCCTCTGGAAAACTCACCCCAGCATGCCCCACACCAGCCCAGCTGATGAGCTCATCAGCAGGAGCTGGTGGGCATGCTGGGAAGAGTTTGTCGGCTCAGGGACAAGACACTCAGTGCACCAATTCCAGGAAGGAAGGAGGGGTCGGGAGGGTCGCATCAGAGAGTTTTTGGGCAGGGGAAACATGGAAGAAAGGGATGGGCCACACCAAAAGAGCAGTCACTGTGCTTGGGATGTGGTTGGAGAAGGGGCTGTCTGTGATTTCTGCAGAAGTTCATTGTGTGGCCCCCGGGTTCCGTGCAGAAATCCTCATGCAGCCCTCGAGGTACAAAAAGTTGTACTGCCCTGATTTAGAAGGATCTGAGGCAGCGTCCTGGGCCGTATTCCTGTGCCCCTTGTAGGGTGTGTGTTTGCTCTGTGGAGGCTGCCTGTGAAATGTTCCTGCAATTACTGTTGCTGCTCTGGAGTGCGATACCAAGATTTGCCAAAACACTGACCTGGAAATGCAAGCAGAAAGTGATATGCTGTCTTACCTGTCTTGTGCATGGATAGATCTCTCTCTCTCTCTCTCTCTCCTTCTTTAAGGTGATAGAAGAATTGCAAACTGCACCGATGAATACTGATGAAAAAGAACTGCTTCAGCTCCTGTCAACTCCTCATCTCAGGGTAAGAGAGTCTCTCTTCCGTAGCTTGAGAAAGAGGTGGTGGTGCAGAGGGGGTGGAAACGCTGCTCTTAGCAATTTGCTTATCAGCTTGTGCTTTGCTATCACTTAAACCACAGTTCATCAGCTCTAAACTATCCCTGTTGCAGGCAGGAGTCGTTGATGGGTTCCTGTATCAGTAAGGCAGCGTTTCCACTCTGGGTTCAAAAGTGAACTTAGAACAATCCGTGATGCTGAATCTCATCTGGGGGGTGGTGCGGTGTGCTCAGCCGTATGCATAGCTCCTTAAGATTCAGACTAAATCTTGGAATGGATGCAGTGCCCCACCAGCACTGGAATCGCTGGTCTCTGCTGGTTGCATATTCTCCCTTCCACTTTCAGAGGTAGTGTGGCATATCATGGAAACGCCATGCATGCTTAGGGCAAATGTGTAAGTAGCGGAATATTTACAATCACAGTCTCTAAGAGTCATCAACGATCAGTTTGGCTGGGATCAGGGGCATTGTTAGCCCTACATCTGGTTGTCCAGGTTAATTTTCTTATCTTCATCGCTGTGCAAGGACAAATATGCATGGGGGTGTACAGCTGGGGGTGGGGGAGAAGGTTAACTCACCCCTTTCCTCATGCTTCAGCATAACCCTCCGCAATCATCTGTTTGCTGGCAATTGAGTTTAGAAGAATCAACAATCCTTTTTCTATTTGTTTGGGATGATCGGGGTCAGGGGGCAAATTAGCTGAAGACTGTATTTTATTTGAGATGATTTAAATTAGAATTGGCTGGCTCTGCCCCCTGTGAAATCTAAATAAATCCAATCAAAGATTGTGTATTCAAAATGGCAGCCATGCGTGCTGTCGCAAATTGTGAGTTAACTAACGCATAATTTGCTACTGTTGTGTGCAAACGGATCACTGGGTTTGCTCACCCCTAGAACAGAGGGTAGCTCTGTTCCAAAAAGCATCTGGGAAAGATAATTATATTTCTTGGATGTTTCTCGCCACTGTTACTGCATATGAAGTCAGTTGGCCACCTCTGGGAGGTCTTTTTCAAAAATGTTGGTTTTCTTGGTATGCTTTTGATGGATGAAGTTTATCTGGTAATTTTAGGATATCTTCAATGATGTGATCTGTTTTACTGTGGGGAGTTGCTTTGTCTTAAGTGCTGTGATGAAATATGGGACAGAAAGGCTTTAAAGAATTTATCTGTGTGTGTGCGTGGTTGTGGCTACTGGGTAAGCATGAAAAGCGCTCTGCACAAGTTCAGGGAACATTTCATTTTTATCGCTTGGTGGTATAAGGGATAGAATCTAGTCAAACTTTGGTTTAGTTCCTTGCTGAGCTGCAACATTTTAACCAAACCTTCCTGTTCATTCAAACCCATTGCTTCTGCTGCCTCACTTAATGCACAATATAAATTGTTTCTCCCTTTTGTTAGCATGAGACCTTTATTCTCCCACACTAGAAGGGAACTCTTTGCTCTCCTTCCCTTTAGGTTTGAATAGGCGGATAATAAATGGAATTTTTAAGCATCGGGTTTTAATAACTTTTACTGAGCGCTGTAAGATATGAAGACAATGATTTTCAAATGAGCTGAAATTGCAGAGGTCTGTAATAGATTCAGAATGAGGCAGGAATTCAGTAGTGCAGAGAACTAAGTTGTTTTTATCGACTGGTTCAAAAACATGATCATTTGCAAAAGAAACAGAAATTGAGACAGATTATCCCTAATAAAGGTAAAAAGGTCTTTTCCATCTGGCCAGGAGTGGGAGGGATTTTGGGTAGATAGAATTACATTTGCCTAAGCCTATCTGTAATTATATAATCTATATTTATACCTAAAATATAAAAAGTGTGTGTTGGTATTACGGTCATATAAATTCTGGAAGTTATTGTCTGTGTTTTTATCCTTGCAAACACACACTGAAATCTGGACAGAGGCAGTTACCGGGGGACGTGAGCAACCGAGAGAGGAGAAGCCAATGAACAGGGAAGGGTTGAGCTCCGTCCCCTTCCTGATTCTGTTCTCCGCTCTGCATCACCTCCCCTGGAAGTGAGTTTTCTTATCTAAAATGGCCAGTGTAACCTGCAGCTGAGCGAGATGGAAAGCAGCCCTGGAGCCTGCCTACCCCAACCTGGTGCCCTTCTTATCTTTTGAACTTTCACTCCCATCAGCCCTGGCCAGTGATCATGGGTTATAGGTTTGCATTCCACAGTGTTTGGAGGACACTTGGTTGCAGAAGGCTGGGTTTTGCCTCAGCAGCCTGTTTGCTCACAATGCTTTCCTAGTTGTCATCTTTGTTCATGGCTTTCCCTTTGGGGAAGGGCTGGAGCTCAATAGAACTGCACCTGTTTGGCATGTGGAAGGTTCCAAGTTCAATCCTCAACTTCTCTAGCTTGGGTGGGGAAGGAATTTCTAGTCATGCTGGGTTACAAGGTGAAGGTTTGTCTCAGGTGATGGCAGCTTCCTATGTTCCAACCTCCCCCTGTGCTGTTGAAATTTGGGTGTAATTTCTTTGGGGCAGGGACCTGTCTCCTGCACTTACACTGTATGTTGGTGGCACATTGTAAATAATTGCTAATAGCTGAACTGAAGGCAGGACTCCAAACGGAACTTCTTCCAAAATGAGTCTTTGCCATGCTGTATCTTGTTGCTTGAGCTCGAGCCTCCCTTCCTGTTAATAGCACCTAAAACGGCATTGATCTTCAAGGCGGGAGCATCAAATGATGGATTGAGGCTTGGTTTAGGATTGACTTCTGACACCTATGCTGTATTTGAGGGTTTTAAAAATGAAGTACACATCAACATTGCTATTTCCTAGCCACTTCTTTTCTGTCTCATCACATTGGTTTCAATTTATTTTGTTCAGAAGCAAACTTCTCTGTTGAACTATGGAAAAATGCTTTCTCGCTAGACTTTGCTGCAGCTTTGTGGCTTGCTGCCAGCTCAGATCCACTGTATGAAATATTTAATGATACTGGGCAAGCACAGAGATTGTGTTCTTTTTAGATTTGTCTCTGGTCTAATAAAACATGCAAGTACAGCAGGGAAAAACAATTTTAAGGGGAAATGAAGAGACAATTGGAATCCAGAGAAGTTTTCTCTTGCACACATCATGTGTACCAGGAAAGGAAGCCCTCCAAGGAACTTGTAAAGATGTGATTGCTGCTATGACCACAGATACCTGAATTGTCTTCTGTTGCTTCTGTTGCTTAGAGGGAGTTAATGGGTTTGTACTAGAGAGGGCTTTTGGTTCTGCAGTCTCTGCATGGAAGTAGATTATCATGTGTGGTTTTACTGAATCAACTGTGGTAAATCTTATAACCAGTTGCAATGGGTTGCATTCAGGAATGGGAGAGTGCCTATATATCCTTTTGGATCACCCGCCTGGACACAAATTTTATTTATTTATTACATTTCCATACTCACCAATAACCAAAGTCCTCTCAGCAATTCACAAACATCAAAGCTTAAAGAATTAAAAATTAATAAATTAAAATTAAATCTATTCTTTTATCCATAGGTAGAGTACAATCTTATTTGGTTCACACATAATGCAATATAATGGTTAATTTATTTCATTTATTTTTGTAAGCTACTGTTTTGGAATATAACAGAATCCCAAAGCTGGGTGCAAGCAATGAAATACAATAACATCATTCATAATTGACAAAACCCAAAATCAATCAAGGAGAACGGTAATATGGATAAATAACTGTTTAACCGATGCACAAAAACATTCAATCGAAAGCTAAGCAAATTCAATAAAAATTATTTGCGAAACAAGCCATGACGACACATTTCCTTGAATTACTTTAATTTTGCTGCTGCCCCTGGATGTTTGAGATAGTTTTGCTTTTTGCTGCTGCTGTTTCACACTTTTATTATGTTGTCAGCTTGTTTTCAGAGGGGCTTTTGTGTTGTTATTGCAATAGCAGCACAGCAGTCCTGTTTAGTCACAAATGGTGGCAGCGAAGATGTTGAAAAAAATAAAACAAACAAACAAACCCAAATAAGCCCCTGTTTCATCTTCCAGCTAGATGTAGGATCAATGACATGGGAAGCTTTTCAAGCAAAGAGAGGGACCTTGTGGGTTTTGTCTCAAGCTTTATGAACACACCCAGCTTATTTGGGCATCAGCAGGAAGGAAAGCCCTAATACAACCATTCTTGACCTTGCAAACCCCATCTGTGTTGGACTACAACCCCCATCGACTTGTGGATGATGGGAGCTATACTCTGGCACATCTGGGAGGCACCAGTTGGGGATGCCTGTGCTATTCTGGCACTCCAGGTATGGAAGGAACTTTCCAGAGATGTTTGCTTGGCACCTACGGTTTACTCTTTCTGGCACCAGGTGAAGACTCTTATTTTTGGTTTCAGTTTAAGTCTGGCACTGTATTGTAAATTTCTGTGTAGTTGCTAGGCTTTGCTTTTATTCTCATTTCTATTTTATACCGCAGTTTTAGCCACTTACATCTTTATACTGTATTTTAGGTAGTTAAACTGTTTTAAATTGTTGAGAATTTCCCAGAGAGCTTCAGTTATCAGGTGGTATAAAAATGTGATATATAGTCTGCTCCCATTCTTATTTGCTGTGTGTTTCTTTCTCTCTCACCCCCATTTTCCCACAACCCCTAGGCAATGCTGGTTGTGCATGACACTGTTGCCCAGAAGAATTTTGACCCCGTCCTTCCTCCTTTGCCAGACAATATTGATGATGATTTTGATGAGGAATCAGTGAAAATAGTTCGTCTAGTGAAGAATAAAGAACCTCTGGTAAGTTTATGGAATGGACAGGCTATGGCACATGCTGCAAAAGGGGAAGGACTTGGAAGAATGTCGGAACTGTCCTGGATCGGGCAAAATGGCTTGTCTTGTCCAGCATCTTGTGTCCCACAGTGGCCCAGTAAAGCCCTAAACGGCTTGGGTGCCAGATACCCGAAGAAGCACATCCTTCCCTATATGCCCTTCCGCCCCTTAAGATCTGAGTCAGAGGTCCTTCTTTGGGAGCCCTCCTTGAAAGAGATTAGGAGGGTGGCTTCCTGGAGGAGGGCCTTCTTTGCGCTGGCACCCCGACTGTGGAACACGCTCCCCAGAGAGGTTTGCCTGGCACCAACGCTTTTTTCTTTTTGGCGCCAAGTGAAAACCTGTTTATTTCCCCATTATTTTAAAGCTTAATTGGTTTTAATGTGTTTTTACATGTATTATCGGATGCTGTGCCATTTTATTTTATTTCCTATTTTACTTGTTGCTTGTTGTCAACCGTCCCGAGACGCCAGTAGATGGATGGGCTAGAAAGGGAATAAATAAGTAAATAAAGTCAGTAAGTAAGTAGGCTCTCTTTGGAAAGTCCCATGAAGCCAACCACTCTCCTGGCCATTGCTTCCAAACATCTGACAATAACAGATATACTGCTCTTGAGCACAGAGGTTCTATTTGACCATCTTGGCTAAGGTGATCAGTAGACCTGTCCTACATGAATTTTTCAGCCTCCTCCCTTCAGGTACTCTCTAAGTGTATTTGTTAACACCTCCATCATTCCCAGCCAGCACAAAGACAATCTTTCAAATAAACTGGCCCTAAGTTGCTAAGGGCACTGCCACCTAGCCGGTGGTGGAAGTTGTAACCAGAACATCTGGAGAGCACTAGGTTGGGGGAAGCTGCTGCTGCTGCAGTCTTGAATGTCATTTGTACTACTTATTCTGATTATTGAAGTATTTGTAATCAGGGTTTTTACCATGAATCACCTGCCAGAAATCTGTTCAGTTAGAGCAGTACTAACTACCACTGTGCCTGCTTTTGGGGGTCACACCGATTAGCAATCGATTCAGCAGGACAGACCAAAGAAAGCACCTTCCTCGCCACAGATCAAGGAATTCAATTCTATAAGAATCTGGATGAGATCCAGTGTTAGTCTAGCTTGATTCCCAGTCATTTTAGTGGGTCTGCTCTCAGCAAGAGACAGGCTATGATGATGACTGCCAGTTTTTGGGTAGACTGATGAAAATTTTCCCTGTCAGCACTTGGTACTTGCAGAGCTGGTACATCACTGAGTACTATGACTAGTTATGGGGTATATGTGTGTGCATTCATGCCTTGCTTGTGGAATTTCCACATGCTTGTGGAGAACATGGGCTGTATTAGGTGGTCCTCAGGTGAATTTTAATCCAGGCTTCTGTGCCAGGCGAATGCTGGGTGTTGATGAGTATCCGCTTTCCCTTCTAGGGTGCAACGATCAGGAGGGATGAGCACACGGGGGCTGTGATTGTGGCACGGATCATGAGAGGAGGGGCAGCGGACCGCAGTGGTGTGTTTCTTGACACAACAGAGGTTATTTCTCAGCATTCACGTAAGAGAGGGCAAGCCTTGCTCAGACTGGCTCAGGATTTCTTTGGTTTCCCTGAGAAAAGCAAAACAAGCTGCCCTGACAACCTCCTGTGAGCTTCATGGCTGAGTGGAGATACATAAAATTGGACTTCCAGTTGAATTTAGAAAAAGCTGGAAGATTTTTCATTTTCTGCTCATTCAGATAACAGGCAGAGTAACAGGAATTGCTGGCTTTCCTGCATCGGCCTCCTTGGGGCCATTTTATTCCCTGCTGTGAGTCAGTGGTGTTTTGCAGCCATAACGGGGGGTTTTCAAGTCTCGGAAGGTTTCGTAAGAGTTAATATTCTTCTCCCTCTTCTTCCTAGGTCTTGTCCATGTAGGAGATGAACTACGAGAGGTCAATGGGATTGCAGTACTTCACAAACGGCCAGAGGAAATTAGCCAGATTTTGGTTTGTTTTGCCTTTTCCATAGGATACCAAAAGATTATGTCATAATATTTATGCTGCATTTCTTTTTCTTTTTGTCTTCTCAAAAGTAAGCCCTGTTGAATGTGATGTTGTGTATTTCCAAGTAAGCAGGTACTGGATTGCAAACCAAGGGTATTTTTGTGTTTTTTCATGGCAGTGGTTGTAACAGATGCCACAGTCAATGCCCATCTTTAAAATTGCTCTCCTTGTGCTTTGTCTAATATACCTAGTGGAAAGATGCATGTTTGATTTCTTTAGAAACACAGGATTTGTGCTTCTGTCTTTAGAAATTCTGTTTCTAAAACACATGCAAGTTTAATTTTTAAGCCTCAGTGTAGATTAATTGGTCAAACCCTCAAACGATTCATCACTTAACATTGTTTAATCAAGTTGCAGCCCTACTATTTATGAGTCTCCATTAACCACCCACAATGAAGAGGAAAATGTTTAATTTCTTGCAGATGGTACAGAAAGGGCGTTCGGTTTGAACCCAGGAATAACTATGCAGTGTTTCTATTCTCCTGTCTCTCGCCTGGAAAACTGCCAGGCTAGGAACTCATCACCTCCCCCAAAAGCAGGATGGCTTCACTGGATGTGGTGCCCAACACTAGTCCTTTAATACAGGCATGTTGAACCTCAGCCCCGGGGACCAAATCCAGCCCTCCAGGCTTCCTGAGATGGCCATGGCTCCCTCTCCTGGCCCCACCTCTTTCTTCCAGCCACTCAATGTTTGGTGGTTTCATGGCTTTTGTGCAATTGTATCCCCATGTTAAACAGTTGAAATGCCACTTCATGCAAAGCGCATGAGATGGCATTATAACTCCATGCCTTCTGCCTGCGATCCTGCCCCTTTGCCTTTCTGTCCCCCGAGAGCTTCTGCAGAATGAAGGTTGGCCATCGGGCTGGAAGAGGATTTGCTTCCTGTTCTAATGCATCCCAGGGCCAAAGCGGATGCTGCGTGGCTGATCCATGGTGCACTTTCTGGATGCCTTTTCTTTTGACCAGAAGCAAACACTGGAGTGGCTGTGGGTGACTTCTTCAATTAGGAAGGGACTGTCGCTCAGTTGCAACAAACTGGCCTTGCATGCAGGAGGCCCTGGGTCCAATTCTTGCTGGCATCAGTAGCTAAATGGATCTCAGGTGTTAGGGGATGGGAAACGCCTTTTCTTTTTGAGACATCAGAGAGCCACTGCCAGCCAGAGCACACTGTTCAGGGCAAGCTGAGCCAGTAGTTAGAAAGCATTTCGCTCTGTTCCTGAATAAAACCTTTGCAGTATTTCCTTACGCCCCCCTCCTCCACTGCCACCCAGTCCTTCCCTCTCCCAGTATAAGTGCATCTGTTCTCTCTCTCTGTCTTAGGGCTGTTGCATGCCAGCCAGATTTTTCCTGGCTTTGGCTTCCAGAATTTGTTGGAATGCAACTCCCATCATCCCCACCATTGGCCATGCTGGCTGGAGATTATGGGAGCTGGAGTCCAACACCATATGGGAACCTAAGTTTTGGGAAAAGGCTGAATTGTTGGGATGGCCCTGCTCACTGCTGCTCCCAGCCTTCCATCTTCTGTGCCACACAAACCCAGGAGTAAGACCAGTGGCAAGGAGAACAGACTTCAGGGTGGTCCATTGTCTCTCCCTGTTACACCAAATGTCGCTACCTAAGAAGGTTCTCATCTCCCCAGAGAGCCTTTTAGTCGGGCGTGTGACTCTCCTGTCATTGCTGGCAGTACAGAGACCCACTCAGCATGCTAACTTGGGCACGGTGTTTAATTATAGAGCCACAGGCACCCTTGTCCTCACCCGAGAGGAGGTGATGTGGCAGGCGACTCCTACGCAGGGGAACTAGGAGGGGGCGCAACCCTCAGCCTGAGCGCCAGGCTCAGCACGGCTGCATTTTTTTTTCTTTTCAATTTATATCCTGCCTTTTTCCTACAAAGGGCTCAAGGCAGCTTACATCATTCTCCTCCTCCATCTTATCCCCACAATAACAACAACCCTGTGAGGTAGGTTGGGCTGAGAGTCTGTGGCTGGCCCAGAGTCACCCAGCTGGCTCCATGGCCGAGCGGGGACTAGAACCCAGATCACCTGAGTCCCAGTCCCATGCTCTCAACCACTACACCACACTGGCTCTCACAATTCCCACTGCAATTGCAAATGTCTCTCCAGAGCTAAGCTGCCACTTTCCAAGTTGGCCTAGCAAGATGGTAGAGAAGCCGAGGACACCTGAATCATCATCGATGCCTTCCTTTTAAAAGGCATGGGGGAGCGAGAAGCAGGAAGCACCATCAACTCCCCGCTTCTCCAAAAGCAGGAGCAAAATTAGATTTTTTTCTCCTTAGGCCAGCTCTTCTCAAGTGGGTTTGTGCTCGTGCGCTGGAGCAGAACACTTTTGGAGAAAGGATGGAGGGATGTTGCTTCTGGAGCATATGGCATGCCTTGCTGCAGGAGGTCCAGCTTTAGTGGCAGGCACCCCCGCCGTCCCGAGGCTTGGCATCTCCAGGCTTTCCCCATAAGAGGGCCGGGAGTGACCTCTGCCGGAGAGCCGCTGCGGTCACAATGGACCGCACAGGGCGAGACCGCCTGCTTCAGTCTCAGGCAGCTTCCTGGCTGATGCTAAGACTGCAATGCCAGCAATGTTCCCCTGAGCTGGGCAGAGCAATGAGCTCCAGGTTCTCTTTACAGGGCATGGCAAAGCTTTGAAAACCCCTGGAGGTTGGAAAATGCCCTGAAATCTTCCCACCTCAGATTAAAATCTTTACTAGAGACTCATCCTTGGCTCTTCTTTGCAGTCACCAAAAACTCCCTCCCTTCCCCTTAAAGGTTAACCCTTAGCTGGCTGGGAGCCAGCAGAAGGAATGGCTCCAGGTACAGATTTCCCTCCTCCTGTAGGTCATTGCCTGTCCTACTGGCACACTCCTTTTCCAGGAAGGCAAGGTGGGGTGCAGGGAGAGACATCTCCCCGTTTCTTCCCTCTCTTTCTGCACTTTGTGACTAGACCAGGGGTCAGACTAGATGGCCCGGGAGGCCCCTTCTGACTCGTTCTGTTTCTATGTATTTCTTCCATCAATGCCCTGCCAGAGAAGGTTTTACAGCAAAGGTGTAGAATCTCAGACATGGGGGCCAAAGCGGCCCCACCTGGGATCCCAGGCTGACCCTCTGGGGTCCCCAGATAGTCACCTCCCTTCCCTTGGCCCCAGCCTTTCTTCCCCCAACCACAGCTCATTTGGTGGTTTCCCAGTTTTTGTGCATCCCCTCCTTCCCATTTTAGGAGGTTGATCTACTGACTGCCATTGCCTGAGCCTGCAAACTGAATACAAATGCCGGAGGTGAGATACCCGAAGGGTTCATTAGAGCACATGGTTCTGCATGATTTGAGCAAAGAAGGCAAATCACAGGCTGCAGGAAAGGTTAAACTCATCCTTCATCCAGGATCCCCACTCACCGATCTATTTACTGATTGACTGATGGAAGGAATGTAACAGACGAGGTCAGGGAAGTGAAAAATTATCAAATGAGTTATTGCAACTAAATTGGTGTTGTAAATGGAAAATACTGAATTGATAGCTTGCCACAGGATTTAAGAAATAATATTGTTTTAAATAAGAGTCACTGCCCAAAATAAAAGAAACCTAGGCATAATTCTGTACATATTTAGACAGAAAAATGTTGAATAGCTCCCAGGCTGGCTGGCTGGGGAGTACTTGGAGGTGCAATATTTTTTTCCTGTCTAAACATGCATAGGACTGCATCCTACCTCAATTAGTTGTATGAGTTTTAGCCAATGTATTAATTAAATTTGCATATGAATAGAAATGTTACTTCCAAAGTTAGAAGCATGCTTATTTTGTTTTTATACATGTTCTCATTTTTGTACTTGAAATAATGTTTCTTGCAAGAATCTGTTCCCCACTTCTTTGGGGTCATCTTTAAGGCTGCAGTCTTATTCATAAGTATGTATTAGGGAGTAGGGATTAGTCCATTTTGAGTCCATGTCAGTTTTGTATGTGTTTATTCATAAGTCTTTTCTGCCCCAGATCCACAGTAAACTGTGTTTATTTTGGAAAAAGCTCTGTATAGAAATGAAAACATCTTTTATATGTATTTGGGACATATAATTGCAACATTTAAGGCAGTGTGAACTCATGAGTCTTAGTTGTTTGGAAGTTGTGATCAAGCTGGTTTGTATCAAAAGATAGACCAAACAAAATTCTTGACTTTCCTTATGTGGGAATAATCCCCATTGAAAGCAATAGCTCTTACTTCCAACTAAAGGACATGCCACAAGGTTGCAGTCCTGTGCATACTTAGCTAGTCCTAAGTCCCATTGAATTCAGAGGTGTTAATTCTGTATAGACATCCAGAGGAGTGTTTGGATGACTTATTATGACTGAAGTCCTTCCCAGCTGCAGAAGCAAGACAAGTAGTTTCATTTGCTTGTTCCTGCCCAAAAATAAGTTTCAAAGCTGCCTCCCAGAGGGTTTCCGTGATGGGGAGCTGAGCAAGGAGCGTTTTGCAAGCCTTTCAATGAAGCGGGAGACAAAATGACAGCACCTTCAGAAAGAGACAGAAAAATCCATTTAATGTTGAAGTAGGTGAGTAAAATAGAGCGGGGGCCAGATTAACCTCCCAGCTCTTTGCAGGCTGAATGACACCTACGGAGTGGAGCCACACCCATGGCGACATCCGGAATTCAGCAGGTGTATGAGGTGTGTCTGCAAGGGACCCGCCTTGCAGCATATGAGGTTTCTTCCACTGGAGGAGGCCTGTGCCCAGTGAAGTCATCTTGCCCACCCCACACCTTCTTCTGTGGATAAGAGGATATGGGGCAGGTGAAGCTGCTCAGCCTGGCATTGCAGGCTCTTCACACTCCCTGAGAGGGGAAGGTGAAGGACAAGTGCTCACCAGGTACGCTACCTGCTTTGCTGGGGCTTCACCTTCCCCACTAGGATCAAGTGCGGGACAGGTTAGGTCATTTGTCTGGTGCCTGCAGGAGGGCAGCCGCCTCACCCCCAGGGATCATGGGATGAGTGCACAGCTGGCGTGCCCCCATGGGAACCCCCATGTTATCTTTGAGGGATCTGTGTTTTGTGTTAACAAGGGGATTCCTCTCTCCCAGTGGATCTGAATTGCAAGGGGGTTCCTCTCTCTGACCCCTCCCAAAGCTCCCCTAGACTTGAGGGGGAAGGGGAGGGGGTCATACAGGTGGCACCCACCAGGGGAGCCCAAAGAAGGGTGGCAACGAGGCAAAGGGCCTTTTCTGCTGCTGCTGCTGCTCCCCATCTCTGGAACTCCCTCCCTAGGGAAATTCGCCTGGCGCCATCTATTTTCCTTTTCACACCAGGCAAAGACATATCTTTTAAGGAATTTCTTAACATTTAGCCTGTATGCTGTGGCCCTTTTTAATTCTTTTTATAGATGTTTAATTCATTATGTTTTAAGGGGTTTTTAATGTTTTTACTCTGTTAGTATGCTTTACATTGTAAGCTGCCTAGAAAGGCCTTGGCAATTATAGGAAGCCTTTAAATATATGTGAATAAATAAATAAAGCAAGCAAGCAAGCAAGCAAGCTTTCCCCTGCTGAGTGGGCAGCTTCCATTGACTGGTGGATGCCTGTCCATGATTTAGCAACTGTTGCTGCAAAGGCACATGGTTTGCTCAGAACAATTTATGGGGAAAGCAGGAGGAGGGAGGAAAAAGGGGTAGAAGAGAGGAGAAAAGGGGTAGCCCTGTCTTTTGTACCTCGCACTTTTGGTGCCTCTTACTTTTGACCTGATTTGGCCCAGTGAGTTCGACCAACATAAAACAGGGCTTCCACTGACGCTGTACACGTTGTTGTCCCATTGAAGCCAGTGGAGCTTAGTTCTCTGTGCATTTGTGTGTGTGACATATATGATTGCGGTAGAAAAGATTTTCAAAAAATGGTTAATTGATCGATCGCATTAATGTTGCAGTCTTAATTCTTTAGACATATTACTACTCCAGTATGTGGCATGCTCTAAATCTTGAATTGTTATTTATTCATATTGCAATCAATAATGCATCTGTTGCTCTGCAGTGTGCCATAACCGGGCCCTCTGAATGCTCTCCCTGGCGGAGTGGTACAAATGAGTATTAAGTGGATTAAATTAGGAAATGATAAGTAGACTACTAAACCACGACTAAGGGCTTTAGGCTCTGGCTGAGTGGCTTGCTTGCTCTCGTCCCCAGCCCGCAGTGGGGACAGCCATCTGTGTTTGCATGACATGCCGGTGCGCCCTGGGTGAAAGTAGACATGGGTCCTCAGGGTGGAGCGTTGGGGGAAAAGAACCCAAGCCAGCCTGGAGAAAGTGGTGTGGGTTCAGCTCATATGGCAGCCAACCATGGCTCGCTGCCCGTAGCAGGTTCTCGCTTCGTGTGCACCAGGTCAGTTTATCTGCTGACATAAACAGGTGCTGTGAATGTTTGTCACTTACTGAACAGTGAAAATGAGCAAGACACCTCATTGAGATGGGAACTTCCTTTCATCTTCCGCTGCCTAGTTTGTGGAATGATCCCTTTGAATGGGTCAATTAATGTTTAAAGTCTTGAAAGGAAAGGATTCCCATTATTTCAAAGTGTTGTTCAAAGCAGGGGTGGGCGGAGAGAGAGAGTTTGTTTCCCTTCCACTAGCCATGGCAGCTTCTATAACAAAAGAGCCCCAAACTGTCAGGCTAACGTCAGGCTACAAAGAGTCCCCCTCGGATGGCTCTGTATTCCAGTGCTGGCAGCGTGTTGGAATAGTTAGCAGGCTCTCTGGCAATATGGTGCGTGCAAGATGCAATTTGTGCTTGAACACTTTTAAAGATTGAACAGGAAAAAATCCCCTCCAGGGACAAGAGCGGTGAGTGAGGAAAAAAAGCTGTTCCCTTTTGGAACAGAACAACCACGAATGCAGCAAGCTTGAAAACAACAGCACCATTTAGAGTCATAGTTGGAGGGAACCTAAGAGGTCATCTAGTTCAGCCCCCAATGCAGGATCTGCAGTCCAGGGTGCAACCATAGCATCCATGAGAGTTGTTTGTCGAGCACCTGCTTCATTACCTTTAGTGAAGGACTGAGGGTGCATATTTGTGCTTAAAGCATGAAATTTTCTGCACAGAAGAGTTGTTTTTTGCAACCTGAATATAGCGTGCAAATTAAGGAAGTGGACGTACATTGGACTCTTGCGTATCCCTTGTCCCTTGCATTTGCTCGTTCTGAGCAGGCTCCAGAAATGTTCTGTTTAATGTCTGTGCCCCTGTCCATGATTAACTCAGCCAACTTTTTGAAATCATACAAAGAGCTTGGAGAGCAATCCTATGCATATTTTCTCCCACTGTCTTCAGTGGACCTTACCCCCAGGTGAGTGTGCAGAGGGATGCGGTCTTAAGCAAAGCAAAAGCCATGATTCTTAAGGCGCTTAATTCTAAGGTGCAGAATTAGGAAACTGTCACATCCCGAGCTGCATCAGATATTTTGGGCAAGAGCTCCTATCATCCCCGACCCCTGGTCATGCTGGCTGGAGCGAGTGGAAGCAAAAATCCAAAACACCTCGAGTATGCAAGGGTGGAGAGGGCTGGTCCACACAGAAAAGCAGGGAGTTTTTAGGAAATCTGGTGGAGTCTTCCTGGTGCTCTCCCTGGAGAGATCAGGGAATGAACCAAAAATCATCTGCAAGCAAGTCACAGGCTTGCCTTTGAACCTCACATTAGGTGGAGGATGATTTCCCCTCCCCCCCCGCCCAGTGACCAAATCATCTTACTGGCAAAGGTGGAGATCAGCTTGGAAATCATGCTCAGGAGAGAATCGATGGAAATCAAATTGGAGGACATTAAAGAGTGGTTAGAAAACGTGTTGGCGCAGCTCTCAGAGCAGAACTCCATCTTGGCAAGTTGTGGAATGAAAGACCAATACAACCCTGGTGCCCTCTGGATATTTTGGACTATAATTCCCAGCATTCCTGACTACTGGCTGTGCTATCTGGAGCTGCTGGGAGCTGAAGTGCAAAGCACTTCCAGGGGACCAGGTTGAGGAAAGCTGGACGAATGCAATAACACTTACTGATCATGTTGGTACCCCACTTTTTCTCCAAGGAAGCTCGGGGTGTCATACCATGGGTGCTTCCTGTTGGTTGGATTCACATGGCATGACAAACCATTGTGGGCACAAACAGCTGTGTGTCCTGAACAAAACCGTCAAGTGCCCCGGGAACACTTCCCTCCTTTTAAAATGGAGGTTGTGAAAGCTGTCAAAGTTCCTTTTCCCAAGAAAAGGGTATGGGATGCTCTTTTGTACTTTCCTAAGCACCTAGCATTTCAGGAAAAAGTTAAAAAAAATGTGCACTAGCCTGTGGACTGGCAGAGCAAACTAAGCTGAAAATCTTTCCGCAAAGTAGGTATAAAACATACCAGCCACCTTTTGACAAGCAAAGGTCACTTACAACCTTTCTTTCGCTCAGCAGCTTGCCCTTTGATGGCTGGCAAGAAAATGCAAAGTGAGAAAACTGTTTTGGAGCCTCTTTGGGGCAATGCTCAGGGGTGGTGACTGCTCCACCCTAGCAGCAGGTCATTCCCCCCCCCCCCCCGACATTGCCCTGACCAAGACTTCCAATTCCTGCACTCTTGCAACTGTGAAGTTTGCCTTTGTGCAAGTGTGACTTTAAAAAAAGGAAAAAACCATTTATACACATTGTGCACACAATTTTATTTCAAATAGCTTTATGAGAGCCTTGCACAGCTAAGTGGCCATATAGAAATTTAACTGAATTAATAAGAATATGAAAATAATCTGCTTGTGCACGGAAGGGGCAGCTGTCAGGAGCTGTCAAAATGGGGAACACAAAAGCCAGGTGCCAAGCAGGCTTTTGCTATCTCAGGGAAAAAAGGGGAAAGTGCAGAAAGCTGCAGCAAGCTGAAAAGAGTTCATGATGAGAGATCTCCTGTGAGATCTCCTGAGATGCTTGCAGGAGGAATGAGGGGCAGTGAGGGGGCAAGCAGCCTATGATGAGCCCCTCTGCCTGTTTTGTGCACCATGGGTTGCTTTGTCAACAAACCAATTCCTGTGGCTGATTACTAAGCATGATATGTGAATGTGAACACAGTAGCTTCCCCAAAACCCTAAGGGGAAGGCTAGGTAGACTGAGAGTGACTGGCCCATATTAGTGTAATTCCTAATTCCTAATCCTTTCACGAAGGATTCCTGGAGAAAGGAATGCCTCTGACTCGTCTTCCTTCTGTTTTCATCTCCCCACTGCACACATCCATGTGAGATCTTGAAATGCAGGAATATTATGCTTCCTGTGATAAGGCTTTGGCTCAATGGCTTCCATTCAGAAATCCCCAAGTTCAAATCTCAGCATCTCCGTGCAAAAAGGACCCTTCTGTGAAACCCAGGTAGACCTCTGCCCTCCACTGTGGGCACTGTCTGTTCACAGGGCTGATGGCACTTGAAGTATCGCAGTATCCAGCAGGCCGTGCATTCCCTATCCTGGTGTAGCAAATATTGAATTAAATGGGTTTATGTTCTGATTGCTTACAAGGCAATTGCCTAAGTTCCTATGTATTGAGATCCAAACTGACCTAAATAGTTTTTGCAGATCAGGCCGGTTTTTCATAAAAAGAGCAAATTCTTTTCTCTCAGGCTCAGTCCCAGGGATCGATAACGCTGAAAATAATTCCAGCCATCAAAGAAGAAGATCGCCTGAAGGACAGCAAGGTAAGAGATTTTGCTGGACTATCAAAATGTTCTGGCTTTATTCAGACATTCTTTTCCAATGAAGCTCAAGTTGGGAGATTCAGGACAGATCCATGGAAGTGCTTCTTCACACAGAACATAGTTAAATTATGGAATTCGCTTCCATGAGGTGCATTAATGGCCACCACTTTGGATAGCTTTAACAGAGTTAAACACATTCATGGGGAAGAAGGCTATCAATGCCCACGAGTGGCTGTGTATTACCTGCACTATAGGGGGCAGTAGGACCCTGTGTATGAGTTTTGAGGAGCACGAGTTGGAGGATACTTTGGTTCTCTTGATGGGTTTCCAAGAAGCATCTGGCTGGCAGCTCTGGGAACAGTGTCCTGGACTCAGTAGGTCTTTGGTGTGATCCAAGAGGCTCTTCTTGGGTTCTCAATATGTTGCAGGGAGAGTAGGATTCCTGATTATCTCCGCTTAAATTCAGAGCCTTAAATGGGCAAGATCTGAAGTCCCGCGAGAGGGTTGTGTGTATAGGGGCTCTTAGGCCTTCTGCCAAAGGCACATGGGGCAGAGCAGTGGCCTCCAGCAGGCATGATCTCACTCTCCCTTTCATAATGCTAATTTAAGAAAAACATTTGAACAGTGCTTTGTGCTCAGTAAAAATACTGCAGTCTGCCCATTGGCCCTCTGGAAATTACTCTTGGCTCTGGGTTCAGGGCTCTGTTGACCTCTTAAATGTAAACTGATTTCAGATAGTTTAAACTGTTACAGCTTTCTTTCAAGGAAATCTAAAACTGACAGCTTAGTTTAGGGGCTGAGAATTGATTTTCTTTTTCTTTTTAATCTTTCATCTTTCTGATAGAGCTTCAGTTCCAGAATAAAGCCATGCCCGAAACCAGTTTTAATTTCAAGCACAAATGTGGCCCATGGATTCTGATGATGGAGAGGAGAGATGAGGAGCAGGGAGCCGGAGGAAGAAGGGGTTGGCTTAATTTCTGTTCTCTTATTATCCCCCTCACACAATCACTGCTTGTGTGCAGGACTGATCAGTCATGCTCATCTTCCTGTGCATCAAATGCATTTTTTCCACTGTACTTGCAAAGTGCTTCTAGCCTTTCCTGGGGGAAATAACAGAAAACAGACAATCAGAATTAGACAGGAATTCCTCATAATGCCAACGTCTTCCCTAAGGCCTTGTTGAAAGAGTCAGTAAAAGCCTGTTCTAGCTGTATTTATCTTTTCAAGGATGGGTAGCTATAGAAAGCGCGGCACGTGTGTTGTCCTGGGGTTGTGGTGATACACACACTCTGGAATGGTTGGCTTGCTCAATTTGGAAGGGCATTTAGCCCTCTTAAAACAGAGGCACCATTCCAGATGTGTGCTGGCTAGAATGGTTTGAGTGGTTTTGGAGGGCCGGGTTGGGAAGGAGAGATTGCTGTGCTTGTGGCGATGTTTTCTCTCTCTCCTGTTTTCTTTTCCTTGTACTGTTGAATAAAGCTGCTGGGGGCGGGTGGCATCATGTGTGCGCTATATGGAAAGCTGCAGAGCACCCGCTGTTGTGCCCCTGCCCTTCCAACAGTGCACCTGAAATGACATTTGCGGTGCATTAGGCAGTAATTATATCTGGCAGCTTTTCCATGATTCGAGAATGGGCTGCAACACCTTAACAAACGCTGTCTCTTAAAAAAAGAGAAAAGAAAATGGAAGCCGCCACCATCCATGTTTGCACGGCCCCTGCCCCCGGCCACTCTAAACCTGTGGAATGGAGCCTCGGGGTCACTGTGTGTGAGTGAGGGTGGTGAATCTGTGTGTGTGTGTGTGTGTGGAGGAGGAGTGTTTCCTCACCACACTCACACCCATCCACCTGTTCACACAAACATGCATGTCTATTTATATATCTGTGCTGCCATTGTGATGGTCACTGACTTTATTTCCTTTTATTTCCGAAGCCATATCTTTAAGCTAAGGAGCAGGTGCAGAATGCAGTCCGTGTAACGTTCTGCAGCTGTTCTGCACGCGTGTGTAACCACAGGAAACTCACCGCACGGGCCGTCGTTGTCCTCCTTTGCCAAATGCAGGTGTTCATGAGGGCCCTCTTCTCCTACAACCCGAAAGAGGACAAAGCCATCCCATGCCAGGAGGCTGGGCTGCCGTTTCAGAGAAGGCACATCTTGGAAGTGGTGAGCCAGGACGACCCAACATGGTGGCAGGCCAAACGTGTGGGGGACACGAACCTGCGAGCAGGGCTGATTCCTTCTAAGCAGTTCCAAGAAAGGTTAGTTGGAGAGAGAGCAGTGCGTTGGGCCTGGGCTAGCGATGTGAGCACGGCTATGGCTCCATTCAGAGGCAAGCAGCAGTGAACCTTGGGCTCATCCATGGAGCTCCTGCTCCTGCCACAGTAAGCCGTTTCTTCCAAATTTGGTAAACGATGATTTGCACAAACCAAACTTAGTCCTCAAGCCAGGGTTACACCAGGATTTGGAATCCTGCTTTAAGGACAAATTATTTTCCTATCTCATTGAGACAACATTACAAATGATGGTTTACCACGTCCTCGAAACAGAAGTATACACTCTCCTAGCCTTGTGTGGGATTTTGGAGTGACTGCTGAGGGCCCATGGGTGCTGGCATTTGCTCTGGGTGAGGTTTGTTCTCTTTTCCTGGTGGCAGGATTGAGAGAGGGACCTTTCGGACAGGCAGGTCCATGTGGGGGGAAGTGGTCCTTCATTGAGAGCCAGGCTGGGTGTTGTGGGTAAGAGCACAGATGTGAGTTCAGGCGTTCTGGGTTCTAGTTCCCACTCACAGACTCTCAGCCCAGCCTACCTCACAGGATGGTTGTTGTGGGGATAAGATTGGGAGCAGCAGGAGAATGACGTAAGCCACCTCGAGTTCCCTAGAAAAGAAAACGATGGGATATAAATCTAATAAAATAAACTCATAGATAGATTCTGATTCTATACTCTTTAGGCACTATTGGTTGCAACCACCAATGAAGTTGGGAGCTAGTGAAGTTTCTCCGGAGGGGGAATGCAAGTTGCACATGATAGTGGCAGCTGGGCTGCAGTTTCCTGAAGCAGCTGAAGCTTCTGAATGCTCTTCCGAGGCAGCTTAGCCTTGGGCACATAATGACTGTGATGCACCAAATGCATTGGCTTCCATTTCATTTTCAGGCTCCATTCAAAGTACTGATTTGGCCATTTGCAGCAGGGCAAGCAAACTTTGGGGGGGTCCAGGGGCTCTTTTTATCCCACCAGACAGACACTGTCCACACATGTAGCAAATGGGGGCATTTTTTTTTTGAAAAAAAGCCTCCAAAGCTGCTGTGGAGCCCCAGAGGTGAAAACTTATCTTGGAAACAGGGTAATTCTGAGCCTTTTTGTTAATCTGTAGCAGCTTTGCATTTTGTTTGCAGCTCCCCAGTTCTTAAAGGATTTTGGGAGGGAGTGCTCTAAATTTCAGTGTGTGGCACAGGCCACCTTGGGAGGTCATGTTTTCCATCCCAGCTTGCACGAGTCATTTGTTGGGAATACTAATTTTTATGTGCTCTAAGACCAAGAAGGGCAGTTTTCAGGTTTATGGGATCTGCTTTCTTTTTTCACTAGAACCCTTGAGATGTCATTGGAACTTGTTGCAAAGGTCATACTTGAATTTTAGAATTCCCAAGCCAGGATTTGTTTGGAGTACAGAGCAAAAGACTGCTTCCAGTCATTGAGTAAAAGTGCCCCCATCTGCTTCCGGTTACCCAAAGCCTCTTTTCATTCCTGAAGTATAACTTAGGTTGGGAGGAGATTCGTTTTGTCGCTACTCTTGCTAAACAAGTGTCAATCAGAAATCCTAGCTGATTTACAGAAATCACCCAGCAGTCAGTCTCCCAGTAGATCTTCTCTGCTCTAAGACAGATATTTTGGACTGAAGCTCCCATAATCCCCAACCAGCATCAGGGATTGTGGGAGTCGTCTCCTGAAACATCTGGAGGGCACCAGGTTGCTTCCTCTGACTCTGAGATCTTTGAAAGATACCCTTTTTGGAGCTCTTCTGTCATCTGATGTGGCAGGAGGCCATTAGGAAAAAGGTCTACTTGCATGTAGTCCCACCATGATTCTGGAGTGCCTCCCCCACAGAACGTTTCTCCCTGGAACCTACCTTGCTGTCTTTGTCAAGAGGTTTTTCAGAAAAATTCCCCAGACATTTTGATCCTCTGTGCATTACTTTCATGTTGTCTGGGACTGGTTTTAATTCCACTGACTGCCGACGGACTGCTTTTTCCGGTTGCTCAGCACGGCCTAAGAAGAGCCATGCTAGATCAGCCCAGTGTTCCATCTGGTCTAACAGTGCCCAGCTGGTTGCTGATAGGATCTCATAGGATGATATGAGTGCAACCCACCACCTTTTCGCAGTTCCCCCACCTTGTCCCAGCTACCGATGTGCACAGGCACACGGAGCCCGCTGCTGGAGGTGGCACAGGGCTGTCAGGGCCAGTAGCCATGGATAGCCTTCTCCTCCACGATTTTGCCCAGTCCCTTTTTCAGCCATCCAAACTGGTGGCCATCACTACATCTTGTGGTGGTGAATTCCATAGTTGAACTATGCAGTGTGTGAAGAAGGACTTCCTTGTATCTGCTCTGAGTGTCCCACCAAGCAGCTTCTTGGGATAAGCTTGGGTCAGAATATTTTGGGAAAGGGAGAAGAATGTCTCTCTCCCCAGTTGCTCCACACCCTGCATAATTCTGTGTGCTTCTATTATGTCTCCCCTTATGCATACTTGTTTCTATGCCAAAACCTCCGCTATTGTATGTTTTTCTCCTAAGGGAGTTACCCCTTGCCCGTGGTCATTTTAATTGCCCCTTTCTGTGCTTTTTCCAACCCTACAATATGTTTTTTTTAGGTGTGGTAGCCAGAACTGTACACTATTCAAGTGATCTCACCATACATTTGTATAAAGGCAGTATACTGTTGGCAGTTTTATTTTCAATGCCTTTTCTAAGTATCCCTAACATGGTGGTTGATACTCTTGCTCTAACTTTTTGTAAGAAAGTAAGTTAAGATTCTAAATCCTGCCCTAATTCCAAATTTTGCATTTGACTCTAGTCACTATGTAAAAGTAAATTGGTCGGGTGGTCCATTGAAGCCACTGCAGATTAACGTGATCTTTTCAGTTGCCCGTGGCAATTTTTTTACACTCTCTATCATTGGGACCAATTATTTCCCCCCACTTTTTAAAGCTTCTGCAACTGTAGTAGCTCCAACAACAGAATTCATCTATGCCGAAAGGCAAGAGCCAACTTGCCAGTGTGAATTTTTCTTTTCTTAAAATTGATTTTTAGAATAAAGGAGAGAACAAATCGATGGTAATAGGAACAAATGTAGGAACTGGCTATGTTCTAACTTTGCCTTTAATCATGGCTTTCCCCTTGAATATTCATCTTTGGACAGCTTCTCCTCTCCTCTCCTCTGCCTGCAGCAACTTAGGAGTACTAAAATTCACAAGAGCTGGAAGCAAAACATTTCCTAGTGCTTCGGAGGACTTTGAAATATTTTCTGCTCTGTGTGAACTATACTCAAGGGTGTAGCAAAAAGAGGGGAGAGGAAGAGGAAGTTATGCATTCCCTCCCCATTTCCTTTGGATGAGGCTTGCCTTGACTCCAGTATGTACCCCTGAGCAATCACGTTGATGCACAGGGATGCCTTTGATTCACTTCTGGCCTATTTGGACCACCTATCTAAATTCCATGCCCCATGGGGGGGGGGTCTCTAAGGTGGACTGGGATGGTAGGGCAAGAGTTCAGGAAGGGAACTAGGACCATGGACAGTTCCATGCAGGCATTCAAGGGCAGCTCCAGGTTGATGCATCTCACAGGTCCAATAAAAGACAAAGTAGATGCCAACCTGCTATTGCTTTATATTCCCTTTATGAGGAGGTATATACCTGTATTCAAGTTGTAAGTTACCCTCATTACAAATGAATTAGTGGACTCTCTGAGAGCTGGATTAGAACAGCATCATTTCCACAGTCATGGAGATAATTTTATTGGAATGAGAATCAAAGCTATTGATTGCTTGGCTAGCATGTTACTTTTCTTACGTGACCATCACTTGCAAAAGTACATAGGGGCACCTTCCAGGAAAACAGCAACAAGAAGGATCATATTCAATCTTCCTGTGCTTGGTTAAAAAAAGGCAGATGGGGAAGAGGGGAGGGTGGTGAAAGGCAGTCTCTCTTTTTACAAGAAAGGCTGGAAATTGGGTTTGCAGGTTTTCTGTGGAGGGAAAGGGACAGCTAATGGGTAGCTAGAAGAAGGCATACCAAATAGTAAGACAACTGAGTTAGTGTGGTGTTTCCCCTGTGAGTAGGGGTTGAAATCCCTGTTCATTCATAAAGCTGACTGGGTGACCTTGGGCCAGGCACAGCCTCAGCATGACCTAACCCTGGCCTAACTCGCAGGGTTGTTGTGAGAATGGCATGGGACAGTGGAAATCCTGTCTTTCATCCTGAGCTGCTTGGAGGAAAGGAGCGATAAAAATGGGATTGATGGCTTTCAACACCTCATTTTGATCGAACCCAATGCATTTTGTTTGAAGGCTCTCAATTTCTCCTTATTCCATTTCTGAACTGTATCTCTTGTGTTTGTGCCTAGGCGTTTGATGTACAGAAGGACCATTGGTGCCCTGCACAACTCAAGAAGTGTTGCAAAACCGCTGTGTGAGTTGCCACAATTCTTTCTCTTCAAGGAACTTGGGTCTTTGCTGCACCAGGTTCTCCATGGGTGCCATGTGCTACATTTTAATGAGTGGATGTGAATTTTTTGTTTTAAATGAAGGATGTAATCCTAAAGCCACAAACTGCCTGCAGCCGTTAATCTGTCCAGCTGTTCTGGGACAAGAGCAGGCTAGCAAGTCCTGTAACACTGCGGGGAGGTGGGCAGAATCCATGGATGGTTGCTCTGCAGTGAAGAAACCATTTTGTGTATCAGTCTGAGTGCAAGTGCAAGGTGATAAGGCTGGCATCACTCATGGAACCAGAGAGGGAGAGCCAGGAACCAAGGAAGGAGGGAAGCAGTCCTGAAATGGCTGCTAAGAATGTGAACCAGCCTTCCCCAGCATGCAACGCCTTCCAGGTGTTGGACTACAACTCCATCAGTTCCAGCTAGCATGGGTGGTACTCACGGATGATGGGAGTCATAGCCCAAACCACCTGGAGGGCAGCAGCCTGGGAAAGGCGGGTGTAAACAGTGATCTGATTCCCAGAGCCCGGTGCAATGAACCCGCCCACTGTGAGGCTTTCAGAGTTGCAGTCCAGACCACTCCAGCCGAGTGTGTTGGGCTCTAACTCTCATAAGCTCCAGGCAGCAGTGCCTATGGAGGGCGGCAGGCTGGGGAAGGCTGCTTTGTTCTGTCGTCTGATCTGGCAAGTTGATTAAGAAAGGCCTCGTATCCATTAAAATAAAAAGTGCCTCCAGTTAATTTGAGCAGGCAATTCTTTTTTATCTTTTAATCATTGATCTTTAAATCCAGGTGCTCAGTGAGGCAGCATTGTTGTTTCATACCGTCATGTTTTAGGGCAGTTGGCTACACTGGGCACCATTTTGATGGAAAGGTGGAACTTTAGTTTAAAGCAAGCAAGCAAGCAAATCTGTAGTGCACTGCCTGGGCAGGTCTGTTACCTTATTATATACAGTCCAGAAACCTTATTATATACAGTCCATGTTGGTCTTCCCTGTACAAATATTCTTACCCCTTAGGGCTTAGACAGGAGAGGATGGGTGCCCGGAGTGGAAAATAGCTTGTAGCACCCTGTGCAACCGTCCACACTCGTTGGGAAGGTCCTCCTTGCAGACTGAGAGCCAGAATCCAAGCAGACTCTCCCAGGCCCTTGGCACATTTTTCTCATCCTCCTTTTAACTCTCTCACCTCTGTCTTTTTACGCTAACCGCAGATGATCAATCTTCTGAGAAAGGTAGGTTCTCTGTTGCTTCTGGAGTAAACAAGCAGTGCCTAATAAAATGTGACTTCCTGGTTCAAAGCCAGTATGACGCAAACCCAGATTCATCAATCAGAATAATATACGGTGCAATATATGCATTCATTTACATAGTTTTCCATACCAGATTTTCTTTCCAAGACCCAGGTTTTTCATAGCTTAGAAAAGAAGAGGAGGTGTCACCTATGGACAGAATGCGTCTGACATATTAAGAGTTCCGTGCAACCATTTTTTTTCATGATGAGAAAACTGGGGGCGTCTTAGCACTTTACTGCGTTCCATACAGTGCTTAGCGGCCTAGTCCTACACAGACGTCTTCACTGACAAGCTCTGCATTGTCACATGGAGCTTGCTTTAGGTCAGGTGACAATCCTACGCATGCCTAAGTTTCTGTGTTGGAAAAAAAGAGCATGCACAAGTAAGCTTTAAGGTGCTAACAGTTTCAGATGCTGCTACTAGTATTTTTTTAACCTCCCCTCTAAGTGCTGATTGTGTGAATGGAACCGATGGATGCGGTGTGGAGGGTTGGGGGCTACATTTCCCATAGTCCCTCTCCATTTCCCATGCTGGCTAGGGCTTATGGGATTTGTAGGCCAAAGCACCTGGAGAGCCCAATTCAAGAGGACCTGAGAGGGATGGCTTGCCAGGTACTCAGCATGGATGGGGTTCCGTTGGATCCACGCTAAGTGGAGGTGCAGGAGAAGAGAAGCAGGAGGGAGCCTGCAGAACAGCAAGCAGGAGAAGGGGAAAGAGGCTGACAGTGAGGCAAGCACAAGGTCTGTCCTTGGCTGGCATGGCAAGCTTGCAATTATGGTCTAACTGCACAGAATGCCATCTATGTACAGAAGGTTTTTTGGGAATAATGTCACTGGCATGCTAAAGGGCTTGGTTGATAGGTTCCTGAATCTCTTTCCCATTGTTTTCCTACTCCAGCCTGTGCTTGAGTTTGTTTGAATCTCCATCCAATTCACTCGCAATCATTATGGTGAACTGGGTTTTTTCTGTCTGCAACCCATTCTGCCCTTTTATAGCACTCTAAGAGGGCAGAACTTTTGCATTTTCTTTTACACCCTCTGGAACTCTCATGTCAATCTTGTTTAATTTGCTCTAGCTATTAATTTGCCCTGTTTTTTTTACTGTGTAATTTTTTGCATGTTAATCATATGGATTAAGCTCGTGCTGTTTCTTCAAAGCAATTGTGCTGCTCCTTGAAGCTTTTGTTAACACAGCAGGTAATTTCCTGTTGAACCACAATGTGTTGTTCCCCCCACCTTTTTGATTTGAGTTTGTTCCTTAAAAAAAACCCTTTAAATTATCAGCCCAGAGGGCAGGGAATGGTAATTTTTAATGTAATGACTGTACAGCATTGAGCATTTAGGGCAATTTATAAATGCATTTCATTCCTTTTGTTGTTGATAATAATAGTAATAATTATAATTATTAATAGCATTACTATTAGCTCAGAAGTTACATTTGAATTCTATGGTTTAGCTTGTGCTATAGCTTGTTTTCTGCCTTTGAGTAGCTCCCAGCTTTGCTCTCATTAAAGAAGAAAACTTAACATCCAGTTGGGAGAGAGGGAAGGAAATAGTTTTGATTGCAACAGTAAATATTGCACTTTCCAAATTAATTTTAATGGACTTGGCTCTGTACCTTTTCCCAGACATGAATTTGGCACTACAGTCCCAGAGTATCAGAACAGAGTGTTAGACTAGGGACAGGGAGATCCAGGTTAAAACCCTGGTTAGGTGATTCATATGCTCATCTCCCAATCTGATGGTATATCACACTTGGGAAGAGGAGTAGGTGAATGACCCGTTAGACTGTGGATGCATCAGGCCCTCTAATACTGTTTCCAGTGTCAATATGGGGATTGTGCTGGTGCCTGGCTTTGTTGCTGGGTCTGGTTCCTGTGTTTGTGTTTTTGTTACGTGGATTATGGTTGCTAGTGAGTTATTTTTTCATTTGCGTTTTTGTCTTCCTATGTGATAGATGCCATTCTTGGCCAGCAGCGCCCTTCTACATCAGTCAAGCAGGCCGGTTGTTTTGCTCCACAAAATAATAAATGGATATAAATTAGACAGCAGAAATAGCAACACTGAAAAAGCAGAGAAACATTTCAGTCGCTGCAGGCGCTCTGTTATGACCCTGAAGTGACCATTCTTGAGCAAAGAAACTGCAGGGGAAGATTAGAACAAGGAACTTTTGATTTCCTATTTCCCAAGAGGCTGAATTCTCTCTCTTGCAGCCTGAATGAGGGTAGAGTTGGCTTTTTTAAAATTGCCCCTCCTAAACGTGAATTTGGCACTACAGTGCCAGGATGTTTGCGTTATCAGAAGTGCTTGTGTGATGCGTGGCCACTCCTAATGATGTGATTGTCACTGCCTTGGCTTACCCCATTTCGTATTCTACCTGCAGCCCGGGATTATACTTCATGCGTCTGACAAATTGAATTTGAGTCCATGAAAGCATCTGTAGGAATAGAGTTAATCATTTTAAGGTGCTGCAAGACTGCTCCTTGTTGTTGTTTTGTGGAACATCCATCTGTGTTCTGTAATATCACAGCAGCTCGGGAAATGGCTAGGGAGAGCCTTTACATCCTGACAGTTCCAGATTCGGTCCCCAGAATCTCCAATGGGGCTGGCAGAGACTCTGCCGGAAACTTCAGACAGCTGCTGTCAGCCGGTGCAGGGCAAGGATACAAACCTCGCCATCCCTCGTTATTGGCTTTGCTGGCTAAGGCTGAAAGGAGTGATAATCCCCAGCTTTCCCTGCTTTTGATCTAGGCCGGTCTTCCCCAACCTGGTGGCCTTCAGAGGCATTTGGACCACACCTCCCAGAATTCCCATCCAGGAGGGCCATTGACTGGGAATTCTGGACGTTGCAGTCCAAATGTGTCTGGAAGGCACAAGGTTGCGGAAGGATGGTCTAGACAACAGGGAGCTAAATGGACCAATGGTTGGATGCACTGTAAGACCATTTCCTATGCACCTAGGTGTAACTTCACCATCAACGGTTCCATCTGGCTGTATAAAGAAAGATGAGAAGAGAAGCAGTCCTGCTGAAAAGCAACTTAATTGTCCCCTGTTCCCTCCCTGTCATCTTTTCCTCATGTGATGTGCCTTTTTAGAATGTAAGCCTGTACACAGGAATGGTCTTGTTTTACTGATGGCGTGTAAGCCTCAGTGGGAGACTTTTTAATATGCTGGAAGAGTAAAAATGCAAACAAATAAATGTGCTTTTGGATAAATGAACCAGGCAGGGATGAGTGGAAGCACAGTCAGTCTGAGCATGAGGTGTCACCCCCAAGCTTGCTCTGTGCGTCTGTCCTGTAGCACAATACAAGCAGAGCTGAGCAGGCGGTCCCGCTGCCATCTTCCCTTGGCATTGACCTAAATCTGAGCATTTGCAGGATGAGATGGTGTTGCAAAAGTGGGAATTTGGGAATGGCTTACTTTTTGTGAATCCTCAAGTGTCCCATGCTTGATTCCTGCAAACTCCTTGACGGCTACTCCAGTCCCCCGGCTATTCCCTAGAATAATGTTGCACAGCACCCCAAAAATAGCACAATTGATGGACAAACCAAAAATTCCACACCGTTCAATGTTCGGTCTCTGGCCATGTTCAGTCTCTGGCCCCCGGGAGATCCACAAGGAAAGCCCCATGGAAGTAACCCTGTGCTATTGCTTGTGCTCAGTATCTGGCAATCAAAGGTATACTGTATCGTGCAAAAGGGGCTCAGTTTTAAGCAAGGTATAACAAAAGCAGACGACAGACCTGCTTCCTGTGCATTTGTCCCTTTTGTAAGCTCCTGGGTGACTGACTGAAATGTGCCAAAGTAGCTCGTGGCATAGTCCTTCCCATGACTGGCAGGGGCAGGTGCCCCTGTAATCCCCTGTCCCCTCGCAAACCTCAGTGCAGGAGATGGAAGAATGAACATACCTGCCCCAAACCACCCCTGTCACAGGGTACCTGAGCTTGTATCCTAACTAGAGGGGGAAAAGGGGTGTTTGTGTGTGTGTGTGTGTGCAGATCACAGGGCAGAACTGTCCAGGAAGGTTTTAAGAATCCCTGTTCCTAGCATTATTTGTCCCTGTAGGTCTCCTTTTCTACTCCACCGTCCCTGTTTATTGGTTTTGCGATCTAAATATGTGGGATTCTGTATTGTTTTCTTTTGCAACATATCATTTCTGCCCTCATGTTGGAGCTTTAAGTTAGGAATGTATGAGAAATTTGTTTCATTGCATTTTTTTAAAATCAGGATTTAGCCAGATTTCACTTTCCTAACTGAACATGGACCGAGGTGCCATCTGTGCATGAAGTCTTGGTTTCTGGATGTGCAGTGTGATTCATGTCTGGGAAAAATGCATTTGGCAGCATGTGCAGATTTGAGCAATGTAAATGAAAAATGTGCGCTTTTGAAAAATGCACTCAAGTACATGTCAGCTGATAGGAGAAGAATGAGTGTATTTCAAAGATGCACACAGTTGACACATGCACTTGGAAAGTACATGTAAAAATACAAATTATTTTTCATGCAGAAAATGGGAAAAACAAAGCTCACTGTTTGAGACTGATTTGGAGTGAGCTTCAAGATGGCTTTCAGATAACTTAGTGATTTGTGCTTCCCTAGTTGAAATTTACATTTTAGAATTCTCCCTGCATAAAACATGGGGAAATTTAGCATGCTGATGAGAAGGCTCCAGTAAAATCCTTTCCCTTAAAATAGTGGATTTCCATACACTGAGAAATTTCTTTTGGTACTTTGTTCTTGAACTCAGAGTTGCAGTCCTCAGAATTGATATGACTCTCACAAAGGACTGCTCTCCATGCAGCTTCTTCTCCTTTGTGAATAATTGCCTGTCAGCCAATGGCCATCACCGCGTCTTCCAGCCTTGAATTCTGTCAGTTAATTATCCTTTACATAAAGAAGGCTTTCAGTTCGTTTGCCCCGTATTTTCTGCCAATCAATTCCAGGAGTTTTTTGGAGTGGGAGACGATCACTTCTCCCAATTCTGTCTCCCTGCACCATTCATTATTTGAAAACTTAAAGAAGCAGCCTCATAACAAATGGGGCGTTTGGTCTGTCTAACTGGATGCTGCCCGTGCTGGGGGTATGGAGGGTTTTCAGCCAAAGTCCCTTTCAGAGAAGCTCTTGGGGACTGCATTCCTGGGATGTGTGGGGCTGAAGGCCAAGGGGGCAAGGCCAAAGGCAACAGAGTGGGACCAGGATGCTAACATACTTAAATAAGTCAGTAATTAAGCCCTAGGAGAGGTATTTTGGCCTTATAGACTTGGGGTCTAAATGAAAGCCAGGAAAGCATGAAACTATTGGTGAACCAGGGGAAGGGATGGCCCTGGGAGAAGGTCTGTGTGGCCACTTGGGGAGCTCCAGTAGTCTGGATTCGGCTCTCTCCTTGACCTGGGTCTGAGCTGTCTTTCCAGTCCTACCTGGAGAACCGAGGATCAAGCAGGACCCTCTGCAGGCAAGACATGCACGCTATAGTACAGGGCTTCAGTGTTCCCCACCGTCTTTCATGCTGTCATTGCTGCTGCATGCTGCACACGGGTCCCTCCTTCATCTTATTTCCCCTCTGACTCCTGCCCCCAGTTTCAGCTTAAAGTGCCAAAGATGCTGTACGAAGCTCTTTCCCTCCAGGACAGATGCACTGTAAGTCCTTTCTTTTAACTGCTCCACTCTCTGCTTTTTTTTTTTCTTTTTAAACAGAAGACTGTGATTGCGAGGGATACTTCAATGGACAGTATATAGGTGAGGAACTGGTGCATTTGAATGTGCTCTGACCTGGATTGTGGGTATAGTCCTTCAACATCTGCTTCTTACCTAGAAACAGGCTAGCTTCTTTCTGGCCTTCAAAAAACCCTCCAAGATTCCATGATGGGAAAGCTGATTTTTGCAACCCATGCAAATCACATGCTGGGAATTTCGAACGGCGGTATTTCTGAGGAACATGTGGGTAAGCTGCAGGGTGTGGGCCTGTAGTCACGACCTTTGTGGCTTGTCAAGCCCTGTCCCCAGCTGGTTCACAAGATCCTCTTCCTCTCTATTTTATTTTTGCAGCAACAACCTGGTGAGGAAGGATAGGCTGAGAGCCCGTGGTTGGCCCAAAGTCACCCAGTGAGCTCCATGGCTGAGTGGGGACTGCAACCCTCTTCTCTGGCGTCCCAGTCTGTCCCTCTTAACCTCAGCAGCCCTCTGGCTTGCTAGCTGGGGTGGGGGCAGGTAGTTAACGCTTCTTCTTTCCGCTTCTGGAGGGGTCCTGATCAGGATTGTAGGTGTGGGAGGAGGCTTTTTCCTTGCTCACGGCCACTGATCCCTGCCGGTGGGATCACAGGAAGGAGGAGAACAAAGACTCTTCCGTCCCCTCCAGCAAGCCTGGTCCAGACAGCTCATTCTGGCCCCCGAGCAACCATGGACCACTCTCCATCTTTCATGCTAACTTAGCATGCACAGGGGTTGTGAAAATAATAGGGAGACTGACCATGCCTCTTCCTTGGAGGAAGGGTTATTTTTTAAAAATGACATACATATACTGTTACTCTGCTGCTTGCTTGGATTTCTGGCTGGTAAAAGATCATCCACCCAGGTGGATGAAGAGTGCAGCCTGGGGACTGAGCAGGTTCTCACACAATACTTTGCCCAGTGCAGTGAGATGCTCCATGGGAAACAGCTGCCCCCCTTTTCTTTCTTCAAGGCTTCCTGGGGTAGGTTACAACCCCAGTGGAATCTCAAGTGCTGTCAATGGGGCTTAAGCCCAGGTGGATCATTGACAAGGCTTGGATTGGCTTACAAGTCCTAGAAAATAGACTACTTTTTAAAGATGCATAAGTAAAGATGGGGACAGCAGGGGAACAAGAGTGTACAAGACCCGTGTGAACAGGTTTTTGTGGGCCTTTGGGCAAATTTCCCTCAATGCGTCCTCCTCCTCAGTGAGGCTCTCTTCTGCCAGTGTCACCAGCTGCTGTTGCATTTCATTCTTTCCATCGTCATTCCTTCCACTTGCTTACTGGACAGGGCAGTGGCCATGTGACCGACAGAAGGCCTGGTGGGAGCCAGTGAGGGTTCCCAGCCGGGAAGAGTTCCTGCACTCCTGAATTAGACCTCGCATTTTCACGACAGTGTTGTGTTTCACATTGTAGCTGGCTTGAGACGAAGTTTCCGGCTCAGCCGAAAGGAAAAACAGAATGGAATGAATGAAGCCAAGCCAGTGGAACAAACCCAGACCTCCGAACTCCTCACGTATGAGGAAGTCACCAAATACCAGCAGCAGCCGGGAGAGCGGAAGAGGCTGGTGGTTTTAATTGGTGAGTTGTTCCAGGCAAAAGGGGCCCAGTTGTCTTGCTAGGGGTTAATTTCTGTTGTATGAGGCACTGGATTTCAAGCCCTACCTTTTCTGAACCTCTGCAAAGCACCCAGTAAACCACAAGATTTCTCAACTTCTTAGCTAGACGTGAGGCACAACAGCAGCCCTTCCAAAGGGGGTGGCCTCCAGATGTTTTGGACTTCAACTCCTGTCATCCCCAGCCTGCATGGCCAATGGTCAGGAATGCTGGAAGTTATCCAAAATATCTGGAGGGCACTAGATCAGGGAAGATTGCACTATAGAGTGAGATTCACTCTCAACAGACCCAGTGCATGATCCGTCTCAAGTGGGCACAAAGATGGCTGAATTTTGGATCAACTGTCACTTCAGTCCAGGTTGTTTCAGACAAGGGTGTTCCCTACTGGGCAGAGACACGGTGGCTAATGTGCTGGAATAAGATGGTGCATCAGGCTCTTGTAGTTAGGCTGCGCTAGTAATTTTTTTCCTCAGCCTTCATCCTTGATTATTGATGTTAACAATGGCAGCAGATGAAGCAGACACAAGACCAGCAGTGGTTTAAAAAAGTAAATTGCAGTTTGGGGCAGGAGCTGGGTCAGGACCCGATCTTGGCACACGGAGGTTGTAAGAAGTTTATCTTGAACCCTTTGCTTCATGCTGTGGCCCTGCTGAGCTCCTTGTTCCTCTCTTGATTGTAGTGGCAAAAAATTTCCCTTGGAGCAAACAGGAGCCTTTCCCCACAATGCAAAGAGCTCCCCCATTGCTTCTCAGTGGGGAAGTCAAGTGCTAAAGCCCTCTAAGCTCTTCCCCCTTTGTACCAAAGTCCTGATCCAGGTTGTGGAGCCTTCATTTGTAGTATCATTTAAAAAAGTGATTGACACAATTCCTCATTGCGTGCCTCCTGCAGGCTGGGGCAGGCTGGGGGTTCTAGTTCCATACAGCCGGAGGAGAGCTGCAGGGACAGATCTACTCTTGGCCTGCCCCCCTCCCTTGTCTGTAGGACACCCATAAGCTTTGCATCCTGTCCACTGACACACCTCCTTCTCTGACCTCGCAGGTTCTCTGGGGTCCCGGTTAAATGAGCTTAAGCAGAAGGTGGTGGCCGAGAACCCTCAGGAGTATGGCGTCGCTGTGCCACGTAAGTACCAGCTGAGCAAAACACATTCTCACCCCGACTCCCTCCTCCTGTTACTGGAGCGAGACAGCTTACTTTGGGGGTGTAGGGGGGGGGCTGTGGCTGAGTGTGGTAGAGCCCCTGCTTTGCATGCAGAAGGTCCTGAGTTCGATCCCGGACCTCTCCAGCTGGGAGTGGAAAGAACCCAGCCGGGAGCTGCTGTCTGCCTGTGCCAACAGTGCCGGGTTAGATGGACCTCTGGCCTGATGCAGCATAAGGCTGTCCCCTGTGCTCCCCGGCCCCAAGAACCACAAGTTGAATGTCATGAAAGGGCAGGAAATGCTAGTTATTTAATTTATCTTATTTATTTAATGCATATTGTATATGCAAAACACCATCTGCAAACAAGATCCACATTAAGTCGCTGTCAGTCTCTTACACCAAACCATATGAATAATAATAAGAAGAGAAAGACCTCTGTAACACCAATTACAAATCCATTGTTGCATTAAATGTGAAATAGGATAAATAACACAAAGCCTCAGATAATAATTTCCCCTGTACACCAATAATTTAGGAAATAGTGAAGCAGGAACATTAACTTATATATATGAATAAATCACATATACTATATATGCATAAAATGTATTATTACTCTTACATTGCATTTATATCCTGCCTTTCTTCCTCTTACAAAGAAATTAAGGCTGCTTATATAGTTCTCCTCTACACCATTTTATCCTTGCAACAACCGCCCGGTCAGGTAGGTTAGTCTGAGGGTGAATGACTGGCCTGAAGTTATCCATTGAGCTGCATGGCCCAGTGGAGACTAGAACCCAGATCTCCCAGGTCCCCAGTCCTCATTCTAGCCAGCACACATTTCTGTATCACAATTATTTCTTTGATCTTCAGTAAAAGGTTTCCATTCCTCCATACATTTGGGTTCCTTCTAGCTGCCATTCCTCAGTCTAAGTACCCCACTGAGTTTCAGTAACTACCAAATGTTAGTGAAACCATCTGTACCTGTAATTACTTTTTTGTGTTTTTCAAGTTCTTTTCAACAATCATTCTTCCTGCCATTGGCAAAATAGATACCATTCTTAGGTGCATTTCTGGGCTCTGAGATGGAAAGAGCTGTTTTAGGGCTAAAGGACAAAATGTATCCAGTCAACTTAGCAAGGTATTTTAATATGTTGTCATTGTATTTTAATTTCCATGGACTGGGAAGAGGTGCCTGTATGATTTTCCAGTTCAGATGTCAAAATAACTTGAGATGCATTCACCTTGACTCAATTTGGGAAGGGAAAACTATTTTCTTTCCCGACTCAAGGAGCAGAATGTCCTAGGGCTGGCCTGAGCCGCCTTCATGACATGTTAGAAAAACTTCCTGACAATTTAAGCAATAGACCAAGGAACCAGTTAGTTGGGGTGGTTGTGGGCTCTCCCACACTCAAGCCAGTCAAGATGCAGCTGAACAGCCGTCTGTTAGAGATGCTTTAATTTGCCGTCCTGCACTGAGCAAGGGGTTGGACCTGATGGACCTTCCAGCGCTACTATTCTGTGATTCTATATTGCATTTCTTTAAAAACATTGTTCTCCAGGTGGCTTTCAGGATAAAAAAGATCGGATTGAATTAAAAACTGGATGTTGTAAAATAGGATTTTGCAGCCATGCCCCCAGGAAGAATTTAAAAATGCAGACAACCAGGCTGATCTGTATCAGCAATCCTCTGACAAATTCATCTTTACCAGGAGCAGGACTTTTGGAAATTAATGGGTCTTATTTGTTCATTCAAGACCAAGCCAACCCTGCCCCCAATAATTCGCATTGCAACAAGGAGGAATAGATTGTTGCTGGGAAAATGTATTTTTCCTTAATGACTGTATAGATGCTTGCTATACAGCTGAGCTTGCTGCTAAGCTCAGAGGGAACAAGGAAGTCTGAAGTGGGTGGCAGATGACATCAGCTTTCCAGCTAATCCAAAAGTACTGGTGCTATATCCTTGCAAGTTCTGTCTTCACTCCACCATCGGTTAGCTCTCTCTGTGTTGCTGAAAGTAGAGGGGGATGCATTATCTGCATCACCTCATCCAATCAGTAAGGAGAGACATTTTAGTGTAAAAGCAGCAAGATTTGGGAAGAACAAGAAACATTCAGAAAGCTCTCCAGATACAACATGACTAGTTTGGTGCCTCCATTGCTGCCGTGTTGCCTGCATTGGCATGCAACATGCCCCGCTGGTTTTGAGATGAGAAAGTGAAACGGTCCCAGAGGGGCTGCTGGGTGATGGATGACTTCACAAGCTATCTATCCATGGCATTTGGTGGAAATAATTATCCCAGTGTGCTTTCGATGATTGCTGTATGTGCACCTGTGTGTCTCCTAGCGCAGTCCGCTCTCTTCTTTCTGAGACCTGTGCAGATGGGACCTTTCTCCCTTGGGACCACCAGAACAGATGCTACTGTCTATCTGGAAGGGTTGTAGACACACCTGAGCTAAGGGGACCGCCTGGGTGTTGTGTGTGTTTGTGTTTGCATGGGAAAAGCCTACACTTGGGACTTTGCTTGGCCTGTTTGCTGTGGTTTTCAGCATACTCATCAAAAGTTCCCCTGGTCCCCAGGGCATTTAAACTGGGCAGGCTTGGCATGAAAATGGCGTTTCAGCAGCCAAGTGGTTGTCTCAGTGAGCTTTGCTATTCCCACCGGAGCCCTCTGAATTGGAAAGAACGGAAGGCCATCTAGTCCCAGCCCTCCTCTGCAGTCAGCTTCTTCACAAGCACGCTACAGATCTATCCGCACCACCCTGATGGTTGCCAATCTTGGTGCCCAGGACAGAGCAACATACGTCTGGATGACTCAAGCAAGTGAGCCATGCCAGGAATGCAAGTCGGCTCTGGGGTCCTCTCCAGAGTAGCTTAGAGGAGAATTTCACCCAAAAGTAAAGATCAGTCAGCAGGGCCATTACTAGACTGGAACTGTAATCTTTTCTCCCACAGCTCTGAGTCTGCATTGGCATCAGTGGAAGCTTTTCCCTAAACTCACTAATGTGTGTGTATGCATGTGTGTGTGTGTGTTTGAGAGGGAGGGAGGGAGAATAGGCTCATGAAAAAAAAAAACTTACCAGCCACTCTTTTTTGTGTACACTTCCACATCTGTTCACAACCACTACAAATTAATTCAAATGCAAGAGGAACTATTGATTTAAGTGGTCTGGGGTTGGGGTGCCAATTAAGGTATTTATTTTGTTTGGTGTGGCATGGATAGGAAACTAATTGGCTGACTTTGGCATCTGTGAAAGTTGAATTCTTTTCCGTCTCTCTGCTCTTTTGAAGTCTTTCTTCATTTTCAAGAACAGATTGATAAAATGCTGGGGAGGCACTAGGGTAAACATAAACATCAGCCATACAGGTTCATAATGTGTGTGGAGGGGAATTGCTTGATTTGATTCAAGTATGTTAGAAAGGGAAGGGAAACAAAACCTGGTTTTTATCATTGGCCTGAGAATGAGGTGCACTTCCATGATACATCTTTTAATTGCTGGGATTGAATAAGAAAGACGAAGATGGCTAAAAAACTGTAGCTGCTGAATAATTCAAACCTTTGTAAAATGTGGAGCTTTGTCTATAGAAAAGGAATACTGGTTTGGGGAGCTAATGAGGAGATTATATAAATGCTTGCATTTAATACCATTTCTGGCATGAGTAAAGGGCGGAGGGCGAAATCACACATGGTTGCATGAAGGCAAGGCTTTGATGGGACAGATAATAGCCCTAAATGAGCAAGTGCTGGAGGAAGAAGGTGGGTGGGAAGGGACCAGTGTGTCTGTGCTGCCCAGGGAAGTTCAAAATTGGCCAAGGCACGTCCCTGCCAAAAAATAACAACAGAAAAATAAAGCTAAATTCAGCCACGTTTACATCCCATTCCAGGAGGGAATCCATGAACTTCTGGGTCAGCACTGGAGAAACTGTCCTGGAGCAGAGAGCAAATGGCGGCAGGTGGCTAAGAAGCTGACTGGGGAAGGGTACCCCAGGTTGTGGGAGAGCTCCCAGGGACAGCTGGGCTCTGACGAAATCCCAAAGGCAAGGCCTGATGCTCTGCCCTGGACTTCTTGTACTGCCCTGAAGCTCAGCAGTGTAGCTGGACCGGGCTTGAAGCACCAGGACTTTAGGCTTAGCAGGGATGATGGCAGCCTCCGCCAGCCTCCTTGGATGCCCTGTTCCCTCAAGCTGAGCTGCGATCCTCACAGCAGTTGCTGGGGAAGCAGGTTTTTTTCAGCAACAGTATGTTGTGTTGCGCTACCCCTGGTGCAGTGCAGGTATTTGGAGTAGCTTGGTCTCGAATAGGCAATTCAAAACCCATTGGCTCGACTACAGGCTTGTTCCTGGTGGGGATAAAAAAATCCTAGGACTGGTTTCTTGATCATTGTGCCATCAGGATTTTAGGACTCTCTTTGCAGGCATGTCTGTGGGGACCATCACAACGAGCATCTTAATGTCAACATTCATCGCCACACCACTGCTGAAGCTGCCTCGCGGAAAGAACGGTTCCCTACAACCGGTGCGTGTCCAGAAGGCACTTTCAGTTGTGGGTGTGTGTTCACAGATGTGCTATTTTAGCAATCCTCGCAAAACTGGCTCTGGAGCAGCTTTGATGGGGAGCTGTAGAATGGGGGAAGCCCGTCTTTCTCTTCCCAGCCTCTCCATGTGAATGCAGCCACGTGATCTTTGGTGCAAAGCTCATATCTGGTAGAACTGGAGGTTGTGAAACACCTCCCCACCCATCTGTGAATAGTCTTGTAGAAATCCTGTAGATTTCTTTTTTGCAAGGGTGAGGGCATTCCTTTGCACACCTGCCAATATCTCCCCTTATGTATGGATGATCCAGTTCTGGAACTGCACTCAGAGAACAAAGGTAGCCTTTAGTGTAATGTTAGGACAGCAATTGATACAAGGTGGAGTAGCCTCTGGTTGTAATGTTCTGGTTCTGTTCACATGAATCGTTGGAAAGTTTTTGACGACTCGGAATGAGGAGGTGGTGGTGGGGGAACACATGCCCTTCATTAACTCTGTGTCCTCTGGGCAGAGTTCCAATGGATAAGGCACAGATCTGCCAAGTTTCTCACTTTGGCTTGAGACAACCCGTTTTTCAGGCTGATCTGCTTCCCTTCCTCCCGTTTTGAAAATTGATTTCCTAACTTAGGCTGTGTTCTAGTACTTTCACCTTGTATGGTTTCCTAAGTGATGTTCTTGTCAATTAAGTGATCTGCCCCAGAAGTTCAGCTGAGCTTGCTAGATGGAAGCGAAGCAGTTGACATCCAGCTCATCTCCTCTTTGCACCTCATTTGCAAGTTAATTAAGATAACTGAACAACAAAAATACAGCTTTGCAACTTGGGGGGAAAAAAGCTTCTTAAGTGGCTCCTACTCCTCTCCTGTACATTTTTTTTGGCTTTAATTATGGGTGATGCTGCAGATCTAAGGATGGTGAAGAATCTGTGGAAGGAGCTTACAGATATTCACATGTTGGCAGATATAGGTTTATAATTGCAGGAATGCTGAACTTGTGGCTTTTCAGAAGTTGCTGGACTCCAACTTCCATCATGCACAACAAGCATAGCTGATGGTCTGGGGTGATGGGAATTGTATTCCAACAACATTTAGAAGGTTACAGGGTGGTACACCCTTGAGTTATAGCTTTAGAATGGAATCATTGACTGGGTTCAAAGAACCCAGTAACCCACAGTGAGGGGTAGAGTATTGTTTGAGTAAGGGTTGTTGTGGAATTGTGGTATTGTGTTGCCTGAATCCAGCTCTGTTAACCAGTCACGACTAGTTAACCACAAGCAACCCATGAAGAGAACCCCATGGTTGTTGCTGAGTTATAAACCATGGGTTGTTTGGTTCATATGGCACAGTAACCTACAGCTCATTATCAATCTGTAATTCGACAACAACCTACACTCAGCCCTTGAGTGTAGTTTATTTGTGTCGATCGAACCTTATCAGTATACTGTTAGGTCAAATCAAGATTCATGAAGTCTAGCATCCTGCTTCCACTCAGGTGCATCTGAGGCGCAACAAGCAGGTGAGGAGGACAACAGCCTTGCTTGTTATCTGTTCCCAGAAGTGGCACAGCGAGGGCTGAGGCTTCAGGACTGAAGTTCAGGGACAGGTAGCCGGGGGGATGTCCAAGTGGCCAGCAGGTGCTGGGCGTGTGTGTGTGGCAGCAAACTAGGACCAGCACGGGCTGATGCTGGTTGACAATATATTATCTGAGGGCAGCTGGTTAGGCATGCTGGCTTCCAAATGCTCATTCTGTTGCTACTTTTAAAGTGTGCATTATCTTTTCTACAACAAAATGGTGCTAATTCCCAAGGAACAGTGTTTAGCGTCAGAGCAGGAGACGCAAACTACATTTGGTTCCTGTACTCAGGGTGATGCTATGATGTAAGTAAACTGCAAATGCAGTTCTGCACCTGGTCTGCAGCTGACTTTCTTCCTTTGTTTCTTTTTTAAAATCAGAGTTCATAGGAAATTCTGCACATTTTAGTGGTGTGTTCTCTACTCTGTGGGTTGGATCTGGAGACGTTTCCTCCAATGGAGAAATTTTCTTCAGTGGATGAAGGTGATTTTTGCAGAGAAGGTAGCTTCCCTGGATCCAGTGCTCTGGTTTGGATCCTGGCTTTCGTTGCTGCCTTCCCCTTTACACATGTGGGATATGATGCAGGGGGTTGCAGATGGGAAGGGGAGAGTTGGTCGAGATCCTTTCCCCCTCACTTGAGCAGAGGTACAGCATAGGGGGATCCAAGCCATTGTACTCTGTTATCTTACATCTGGCCACAAATGCATATCCTCCTGCAAGAGGCTAGAATATTTTGTTTTCTTTCTGTTACTTTCAGTGCTATCAGCTTCAGTCATCCTCTTTCGCTAAAGCAAATTGATTCCCCCTACTGCAACCAGCAAGACCCGTTTTTCCTCCAACAGGGTGGTTCCAGTGTGTGCTCCAGTCCTGTCATTAGGCAGAATGGGGCAGCTGCTTCAAGCCAGCACATGCTGAGGAGGAGGGGAGAGTGGAGGGGAGGTGTTAGAGAACAGGGCTGTGCCTGCACTGCACCTGCTGATGTAACCTGCAGTGCTCAGGTGCAGTAGAGGATGTCAGAGAAGAAATCCACTGCCAGTCCAGTTGGTTTCTGCAGGTAGAATGCTCAGGAGTCGCCATTTTGTCTTTCGCTTTAGGTTGCAAAATGCCTTGCTCTGGCTCTGTTTCATATTTCTGTTCTATTTCCTTGTACTTCTAGTATACTGTGCTTTAAAAATGATAATAAAATAATTTGTTTGCCTTTATTTTCTTTTCTAGTTGAGTTCCATCCATGTAATGGTTTTCATTTCTCTTTAAGTGTTCTAAGCTATTGTATATTATTACAGTACCCAAAGTCAGTTTAATTCATGTCCCACAGATACCTTAATTTTATCAAAAGATCCTTTCTTTTCAAATGTTTTTGAATTCAGTTGTAGTTTATTTTTTGTCAGGAATGTTAATCCCCCTCTAAATCGCTGATGTTTATTCTATAGTTCAATTAAGTGTTTTATGACAATTCAGTCATTCCAACAAATTCTCTGTTGGAGTGGCTTTAAGTAATCTCCAGGCTTCCTGAAGAGAATTGATCCCCCTCAAAAGCCCAGTCAGTATTCCATCAGCTTTACTAATTCTTATGACTAATTCCTGAAAATATATATGATTGACTTTCTGAGCAATTTAGGTCTTTCTTTATCAGCATTTTTTCAAAAAATGTATTTCTTACTCAGCAGTAAAGAACACATAAAATATCTTTTCAAAGCACAATAAAACTGCCATGGGGATAAAAATGTTGAAACACATTTTTCTTGTTATTTGCTGTCAAGTTGTCTTTAACCTATGGTGACCCTATGAATGAAAACCCTTCAAAATTTCCTGTCCATGACACCTCCACATAAAACCAAAGAAAATCCAGCAGCAAAATAAACAATGAGATCAGGAAGAACTGAAACCAGTTCTTAAAATGTCTGGGAGAATAAAAGGTCTGCTAAAAATACTGTAATAGAGACACCAGGTAAACCTCTCATCGGAGGGCATTTTTCATCACCACCATTGAAAAATCCTCTTATTATCACCTTAAAGCTGCTGCTTGATGTCGGGGGAATTGGTTAGGGATGAGCTACATCTGATTTTCAAGGGTTATTTTTACAGGGTTAGAGTATTTTCTTTTTGTTGTTACGTTTTCATCCAGTTACTGCAGTTTGGAATTATTTCTTTCGGCATTTCTCAACTGCTTTTTGTCCCAAGTTTCCCCAAAGCAGCCAATAAATCTATTTAAAGCCCAGTGAAGTAAAACAGGGCAATCATCGTGACATGACTCTATTGAAAACAACCCTGGAGTACACTTGTGTAGCTAGTGGACTTTCCATATTGTTGTCACACATATAGTCTCTGTTAGAGGATTAAACTCAAGGAGGAACAACTTTGGTCCATTTGAATCAGCAGGATACATGCAGAACTCTGATTGGTTGGGCTTCTGTGACATCGCAGGACACGCCTCCTGTTCTTCTGGAGCAGTTTTTCAGCTTGAAAACAAAGGGTTGGGTTTAAAAAAAACAATTATCCAGCATCAGTTGATTTTTTAAAATGTGTAATTATACAAAATGTTTTTTAAATCAGCCAAACAAGCAACTGAAACATGTAGCTGACCATTGACATGAGGGATTAAGGAAGATTAAGGAAGAGCAAAACTGGTAAGGTAATAGGTAATCACTATGGAGGCAGGTACACACATGTATGCACATATGCACGCATGCACACACACATAGGTGGATGAGTGTGCCCATTGTAAGAGTGAAAACAAAGAGAACCTGGGCTCATCCTGTAGGAACGCCTTCCCCCGAAAGTGCAAGGCCCTGTTTTTGCCCGATCAGAACACTTGATAAATGTGCATCCTTTCCCAAGGTACACACTTAATCCCCACTGTTGCTAGATAGCTACCTGAGGGGAGACACAACTCGACCAAGACACATTCTGGGAAGGACAAAGGAAATCTCACTGAGTACCCACATCCCTTGGAGAGTCCCACCTCCTTTCTCAGAACCACAGTTCTGACTTACCCCTTTCTCTCAGCCCAGGAGTAGCTTTGCCATCCAAAAGAGAAGCTCCCTTTGCAAACACTGGCACCTTATTTCAGTTCCTCCATCTGGCACTCCCCAGATGTTTTGGACAACTGCTTCTATCATCCTTTACTATTAGCTGTGCTGATGGGCTGATGGGTTTGCCATCCGAACCATATGGAGGGCACTATCTAAACAGCTGCTATATATGACATGTTGAGTGTTGTCTCTGATCTCAGCTTACTCTCCCTTCTCCAGATACTACAAGGTCCAAGAAGAGTCATGAAAAGGAGGGCGTAGAGTACAACTTTGTTTCAAAGCAATCGTTCGAGACCGACGTGCAGCATAACAAGTAGGGCTTGGTTTGGTGTGAAAGGGGAAGGAAAAGGCATGTCTTTGGTGAATAGGCCAGGGCCTGAACCACATGATGGATGCTTGGATGTAAATGGAACTGCTGTCCCTTTTGCTGTTGGAGGTTTTTCTGAGCCCTTAACAAAGTGACTAGAAAAAAACCAACAAGCACAAACTTTTCATACTGTGGGGCTGCAGTGAAAGAGCAAACTGCAGCCATACAGGTTCCCCTGCACACGACATTCTGATATCAATATGGAACCAGAGGTGGCCTTTGCTAGGCCTGGGTTTAGAGGAGGGGTACAAAACCTCAGGCCTGTGCACTAAATCTGCCCCACTGGGTCCTGGTTTGAGTTCCCCAGAGGGTCATGCCCCCTTTTCCCAATCATTTGATAGTTTCCCAGCTTTGACATGCTTTTTCTCCATTCTGAATGGTTAAAATGTTCTCTCAAAGGCATAGTTACTAGCAGTATAGACTGAAAACTTTGCAATTTAGCCCCACTCTGTTTTTCCTTTGGCCGCATCCATCATTGGAATGTGGATGCAATGTAGGGTTGCTTTTCCACTATACTGCGGCTCTACCACAGCATCAGCTTGTGGCTGGTGAACGGAGTATATAGGAAGGCAGAGAAACCCCTGGGAAAAAAGAAACTGTGGAAGAGACACTTCCTCTTCCATATTAAAAAAAGGAAGAGGAAGCCTTAGGAAATCAGCAGGTTAAATCTTTCATGTAGAGATGCCCATGGTCAGTACAAAAGGATACATCTAAAATTCCCGTTTTATTGAAATTGACATGATATGTCTGATGGATTGAAAATAATCTAGAAAGATGGCACTGGGATGACAGTAAAGCAAAATGTGTGGGCTAAATTATGCATGACACTTCAGTGGGTCTGGCAAGAATGAGAAACACAAACAATACAGACTGCTAGGGAAATTTTAATCTGTAAGGCTTGCACATTCATTTGTGGTGGTCGTATTTTTTCCCCCCCAATTTATATCCTGCCTTTTTCCTACAAAGGGCTCAAGGCAGCTTCCATCATTCTCCTCCTCCATCTTATTTTGTTATGGTCTAGCTATATAATGCAATTTTTTTGGGATATGTCAAATTTTGCGCTTCAGTCTATGTCGCTTCTCAGCAGCACAGGCTTATTTATAATATGGGGGGGACAACATGCAAGAGGGACATCCATGGAAATTCACCCATGTTGATGGCAGCTCGGAGGGTAATAGCTAAAGACTTGGAAAATGCAGCATCTTTGATACTGAGATCTCACTATATGTTTAGACTGAGAAAAAAAAGTCCTGCAGCATGGCTGGCTGAAGTTGCTGAGACATGCAAGGCTTCTCTTCTAGACCTGCGTAAGAGTGCACCCTCACCAGCAGAAATTAGCTCAGGGCAAAAACAAAATGTCTGATTTTTATAAAATATGACATGATTTCATTACACATCTAAAGCAGGGATATGCATAGCAATGGTAGTCAAAGCCTTTGCTCGGATTATGGAAAAGGGACTAAATATAATTCTTTACTATGAAGAACTACAAGGAAAACCTCTAAGTAGCCGGCGAATTCCACCCATATTTTTGTAATATAAAGGAGGAAAAACACAAAGGACACAATCCTGTGGTTTCTTAACATTGTCTAGGAGCCCGTAGGATCTTTTGGAGTTCAAACACTAGGGAAGGAGCTATGCTGGCTTGCTCCTGAGGTGGCCACTGGACTTCAGAGGGGGGAAATGGGCATGCCAGTGAGGCGAGGCAGCGGGCAGGCTGGGGCCATGGAACTTCACCAGTTTCACTTGGCACTCATGTCTCATTCCCTCCCTCCTGTTAAATCCGGATGGCTGAAAGCAGCTGAATGCAGAGGCTTAGGGGCATTTGCTCTGGAGGCAGTAAGTTGTGCCCTAAATATTATCCCTTTCAAGAATTAGATTTAAAGTTGATGTGTTTGTTTGTCATGTAAATAAAAATCAGAAATAACAAGAACCCAAGAAAGTAAGTGTGTGGAGCATACATAATAGTGCATGAAAGTAAATATAAAATGGTGGAATATGCCCAGTTCAGGATGAAAATGGAAAGAATTTGCTGAAGGCATGTTAGGTTTTGCATAGCCCTCTGAATTCTTGAGCCATGCAATTTATTTAAATTGCCATATTGGACACTTAATTCTTCTTTTGTCAACTTTAACAGCATATCTTGTTATAGGCAAGTTTTACCAAATTATTCTTCTTTATTGTCTTGGATCCAATATGTTGCAATGCATAAACATTTGTTTTTTCTATTATGTTGCCCCTCCACCCCGTATACACAACTGTAGGTATGTTTTTCCCTACAGCTGTTCCTGTTTTACACATTTGTGTAAAACAGTTGCCACTTGAAACATAAATCTTTAGCAAGATTTATAAAAGGCTTGTTTCTGAAATAGTAAGATTTCCTTCCTTCCTTCCTTCCTTCCTTCCTTCCTTCCTTCCTTCCTTCTACCTTTTCATGAAACTTTCTTACATCAGAAATGGTAAGAACACCTTACAGATAAGTATTTTGATAGGGTTACTGCCATTTGCTGAGCCTGGGTTGAAGTTTTTGACCTGATATGCATACCATGAAGACAAATTGTAATCAGCTCATGATTTGCCAGGTGATGTGTTATGTGTGAGCCATTGCTTTCCTCCCACTGACCCAACCAGAGGTTATTACATAATATGAAAACTGTACACTATGCGGGTTTTGTGAGTTAAACAACCGGGAGTTAACCTGCAATTAGTTTTTAGGTTAAATTTTGCTTGCGTAATCCATGAATAACCTGTAGTGTCCTATAGATTTGCATGTCACACAGGAATGCCCGATTTAACTGATTTGTGTTTGATTATGCAAAGCAGCAGAACTTTGTGTGCAGCATTGACCAGTCAAATCATGGGGTTAATGAACCTACTGCAATTGTGAATAGGACCTCTGTCTGAAAGGGGTTCATATTTCTAATGTTTTATCCACCTTGTGTCTCTAAGATCTTCAGAAGCAGGAATCCTTTTTAATCATGCTGCTCATATCAACTCTTTTTAATGGGAACAATAGCATTTTTAATAAGCATTTGGTGCATTTCTGCTATCTATTATGAGGTGGCTCCTTTTTTTCTTCAGTTAATTCCCTTAATATTTTCAGGTTTGTAGAACATGGGGAGTATAAGGAAAATCTCTATGGAACAAGCCTGGAGGCAATACAGTCTGTCATGTCCAAAAATAAAATTTGCCTTGTGGATGTCGTGCCTGAGGTAAATTGTCAAGTTCTTTTCTGTGAGTCTGTGTGGTTTTTTAAAATCTCTTTTCCAGATTTACTGTTCAGGGTGCTGACTTCTACAATTTGTATCACAAAAAAAGTTTCTTGTAAATGAATGGATTTTTGTTCGTTTGTTTTGCGACACAAATTATAAGCACTTCATGCTTTTCCTGCCATGATCCAGGCCTGAACTGCAATGAGGGCAAAAGGGTAAAGTTCTGCTGCTAGGGCCCCAAGCAAGACTGGCTCTTCTTCATTGGTTCTTTATGTATATGGAAGGGAAGGGCACAGTTAAGGTCATGGGCAGCTCGGCCCTTGGAACCTCTGCCTTTGATGGTGGACATACCTCCTTTAAAACTCTGTGCCCCTCTTACCTTTGATCTGTCCTTCCCTTCCTCACAACTGTTTTGCCCAGTGTTTTCACTGGTCTTTTTGTGGCTGCTGGGAACTTTCCCAGTGGAACTCAAAAGGGAACTACTCTTATCTCCAAGCACTTCTGATTGGAGATAAGAGCTTTTCTGTGCACAGTGGTGGGGGCAGGAGCAGAGGGAGAAGCTGCTGAGGTACCCATCCTACTTATTTATGAGGGCTTGTCTTGCAGAAATTCATGTCAGTAAGCCCCACCTTTTGGGCCAGCTGCCTTTGCCCCTGGTCCCACCCCCCACAGGAAAGTATCTTCCCCCAAAACATTTCCCCAATTAGAATGTGTTTCCTGGATTACAAAGGTTCTCCAGCCCTGTACTTGTCCTACATGGGCAGGTTCCTGCATATCTCTTGGAGTATGTGATTCCCTAAACACTTCATTCATATGTGACTTAGGGGTGAGAGTGTTGGACCTGGGAGTCAGGAGACCTGGGTTCTAGTCCCTAACCAGCATGAAGCTCACAGGGTGACTTTGGGTCAGTCACAGACTCTCAGCCTAACCTTCCCAGTTTAACCATTGAAATCAGTGGGACTTAAATTAATCATGACCCCCTGCTTCTCAACAGCACCCTTTCCCAATGTGGCACTCTCCAGATGCATTCGAATACAAATCCCACCCGCCCCAGTTCTGCTGACTGGAGATGATGGATGCTGCAGTACCAACGCACCTGGAGAGTGACACAATGGGGAAGTCTCTTCTAGAAAAACCTGCTGTTTCATGTCCCTGCTTTATTGTCTGTTGTCGTCTTTTGTTTTGGAACTCCGCTTTGTGAGCTGCTGCATTATTGAAATTTGCCCCTGCTGATACTGGGATGGTGATCCATCTTTAAATTCCTGCTGTTGAATTTTCTGCTTTCACATTTTACTGATGGTCAGATTTCCTTTTAAAAGGATTTCTGTTTGGCATTGTTGATATTTGGTTTGTTTTACGATAGTTTTATGGATGAATTTTATAGCCTCAAGCACTGTGGCTGCAAAGAAAACATCAAATACAGTTTAACACTAAATCTAGAGTTGTGCATAAAAGGAGAAAAGATGCATTATCACTTGCGCTACCTGTTAATGCCTGTACCTGTCTTCTAACATAAATTTTCTCTCTACTCACAATGCAATTAAGCTCTCCATCAGTTTGAGTCTCCCATTTATACGTGCATAAGATTATTTGCTTCTTCGCATGGATATTTTCTCTCTAGCTCAACTTATTTATTTCACCTCTGTACTGCTGCATAGTCCAAAGGCTCTCTGGGTGGTATGCATCTTTCTCCTCCTGCTCTCAGTCTTATTCCTGCAACAACAACCCTGTGAGGTAGGTTGGGCTGAGAGTCTGTGACTGGCCCAAAGTCACCCAGTTGGCTCCATGGCCGAGAGTGGAAACTAGAACTCAGATCGCCTGAGTCCCAGCCCTGTGCTCTTAACCACTACACCACACTGGCTGTCTAAATTTGGACTTCAGCCAGGTTATTCTGCAACATCACCAGCCGCATCTGCCTTTTGAGTGTTCACACTTCTGACTTGCACACGCGCTATGGCAGTGCCCTGCCAGTTGTGTCCTTGAAGCTTGCAGGCCTCCAGCGCAGAGCAGGAGGAGCGGTGGAGGCGAGTTCCACATCCCTGCTGCTCTCGCTCTTCGTTTCAGCTGGATGGCCATTTCCAGCCACGCAGCAGAGTGGGAGCAAGGAGGTTGGAGAGCCTTTGGGAAGCATCATACCTGGAGGCCCTGCTCTCCTCTACTTCCGCCAGAATGCTCCTGTAATCCTTCTCTGAGGTTGATTTTCTGACCTCGGAGAGGCAGCCAGCCCACTTCTTTGCATGCTGACTGCAGTGCAGGGAAGGTCTGATGATTCCCAGACGGGAGTCTGAAATACCCTGTGTGGCACCCCATGATGGGTAAGGCCCATAGGGTCCCTCTTAATTGCTTCTCTGTTAAAAAGAGTTCCTCAAGGCAATACACAGAGATTTAGGAAGAAATGAGCAGCAAAAACAAAGAAACATGACAGCCACAGCAGAGACATGCAACTTGCCTTCAATGCACATATTTTAAGTCATCCACACTTAGTCTATGGGGAAAATTAGCAGCCTGTTTGCTGGTGGAAAGCTTGGAGTGGCAGTTAAAATTCCACTGGGGTTGGGGGATGTGCGTTGATTCCTGAAACAGCTCCACGGGGGATTGGGTTTACAGTGATGGGGACTTCTAATCCCTTTCTCTTCCATTTAAAAATAATTTCCAAAGGCTACCAGCTCTGCCAGAAGCTCTGGTGAACTTGGGCAAGAGTTCTGGGTGCTGCTTTTGCCTTCATTCCCTGCTTCAGGGAAGAAAGGTGGTGGCAGAAGCCATTGCTCTGCTGCTGCTAAATCCATTGGATTTTGAACAGAACTTTAAAAAAGAGAAATGGAGAGTGAGAAGACACTATTTCAGGTCTGTTCCCCCCAAAATGCAAATAATCTGGGCTGCTCCTTTCTCCCTGTTTTTGTGGTTGCTCAGAGTGCTGCTCCCTTGCCACAAATTGGGCAAATGGGGAGAAATTATACTAGCCATACCATTTTTTTTCTAGATTACACTGTTTTTCCGTAAGTGTTTGTAATACAGCTTGCTGGACAGGCCTCTAGTTTTATCATTTCTGTACACAGGCCGTGAAGCACTTGAGAACAGCAGAGTTCAAGCCATACGTTGTGTTTGTGAAGCCTCTTGTCTTGGAAAAGAAAAAGAATGCACAGATGTCTCTATTGACAGAAGAAATATTTGTCCCGCTTGTAAGTGTTTCACGTGAAAGGCTGATTTGCACAAGTGCCCAGGGCTGTTGACAACCTATATGACACAGTAAACCACACAAACCATATTAACGTCAAGTCTAAAGTCACAAATAGATAAGAGAAGTACATGGCCATAATCTCTGCAAAGGCTCTACACAAAAGCATTTTGGGTTCGGTCCAGACCTACCCGATTGTGCTTTTGTCTGCCTAAAACGAATGGGGCTTACGTTCGACCAACACAGTCTGGAGTCAAGCCCTTCACTTCCTCAGCAGAGCAAGTGATCCCATGACTGGGGCCGTGACCGGCTGGTGTGGCTTCGGCTGCCTTTGCCTTGACTCATCCCTTCAGACCATTGGTTATGGAGGACCCCACACAGCTGTTTGTTTCCTGTATGGCTATTTAAACCACAGGCAGAAACAGGCAATGAGGTGCCCCTTAGATCTTTTGGACATCTGCCATAATCCCAATGGCTGGCCATGCTGGCTGGGGCTGATGGGATTTGTAGTCCAAAGCCATCTGGAGGGCATTAGCTTGCTTACCTCTGCTGTTGTGCAGTGGGTGTTTTCAGAATTTAACTTTCAGAACGGCAAAGACCCATGTTGTGCTGTGGCCAAGGGAAGCACTCAGGCATCCTCCGGATGGTTTCGGACTACGTGGGGTTCTATCCATAGAGAAGACCCATGGAAATCAATGGGTTTCATTTCCCACTGGGTGCAGTTGGTCTGGTCTAAGTGTGGCAGGATCAGCGATCCAGCCCCTGCTGCCAGCTCTTAAGTGACTGGCAAGTAAATAGACCCTGGGCAGAGAAGGGTTCTGTTGCTGCTTTTGCTCATTTCTCATCACTTAATATTGCACTGGCTTTATGAGTTTTATTTCTAGATGCTCTGTTGGGAGGGTTTCTGCTCAGAAATATTTAAATACATTTAAATAAATAAGATGCCTCAGAGAGCTGATATAAGCAAGGCTTAGTGTATTTGGAATCATCTGCAAGCTTACCTTCTTCAGCTTGAAAGATTTTCTTCTTTGGCCAGTGGCCAAGGGATACCACATGCGATGGCATCCCTTTTCTTTAAGAAGAGCACAATCAGGCCGGGGTGTTGCTGTATGAAGTCTCTCCATGGCTGGGTTCACACAACACAACAAGCCACAGTGATTTTTTTACCATGTTTGGTCTGTCATGTTCTCTGAACCCCTTTGTGATATTTCAGCACGTAAGATTGATGTTTAGGAACCACAAACAGAAGCCACAATCTGTTTTGAGGTTTCTCCATGCCGCAAGGGCTTGTTGTGAATCCTCATCCAGAAAATACAGCCCTTCGTGGTATGAAGGCCAAAGCCAGGGAGCTGCTTGGCAAGGGTGGCCCATTGCTGCTTTTGCCAAGAAGCCAGCTGGAGAGCTCCACGGGAGCTGCCATTTTGCATGGCAGTCAGAGCCATCTCCACTCAACCTGCCTTGTGCCCTCACGATCTTCTTTCCAGCAGGAAAGGGCGATCAGTTGGGCAGCTCTGATGAAAGGAGCAGAGCCACTCGGCCGATTTCCCCACTATCCCCCAGCACGAAGTCCTGACAGAACCCCTTTACAGGTACCCAGCATCACCTGGGCGGCAGTCGGGTGTCTCTCAGGGATGCAGGCCAGAGGGCAGTGGAGGAATCAGCTCAGGGGAGCTGCCCCCAGCTAGGCACCGCCTGGCAGCTGGTTCTCCTCACCCTCTGCTCACGCATGTGAGGGGCTTCCTGCCCCTTTCACCAGCCTCGTCCAGCCCATTTGCTGCTTGAGCACGGATCAGCCAGCCCCCGCTTCCACCGCAGCTCTAGTGGTCCCCCCGGAGCAAGAGACGAGGGTGCCTGCCTCACTGCCCCGTCCTGTTTGCACAGCAGAGACGGTTGGACCGCTCAGCCAGGCAGACGTGGTACGTGATCGTTGCTACCACAGAGAAGAGCCCCGTTCCTCCCCACAGCACCTCCTAGGATCCCACGTGGAGGATGGGAGGGAAGGAGGTGGCATGAGGGAGGAGACTTAAGACCACGAGCCTGGTTGACAGGTCGGTTGAAGCAAAAAAAAAAAAAAGTAAACTGTGGAAGCGATGCAGCGATGCAGCGATGCAGACATGTGACTCCAGCCCCCCACCCTTTCTCTCTCTGTGTTTGCAGGATGAGGAGCAGCAAGAAATGGTGAACTCAGCTGCCTTCATTGAAGAGCAGTACGGTCATCTGATTGACACTGTGCTGGTGAAGGAAGATCTACATAGTGCCTGCAGCCAGTTGAAGACCATATTGGAGAAACTGAGCACAGACTCTTTCTGGGTGCCAGTCTCGTGGGTCAGGCCCTAGTCAGCCATGCTGTGCCAGAGAGCGAGAGCAAGAGAGAGTGAGGAGAGAAACCTGTTCAAAATTTGCTGTAAATAGAAAGGATGTTCAAGCAGGGAAAATGCCCACTGAAGTAGCCAGTTTGTTTGGAAAGCAGGAAAGAGAATCTTCTTTCATCTGGGGACATATTCTGATGTAACCGTTTTTCTCCTCAGGAATGGAAAGCATTGCAGTGGAATGAAAAATCAACGCAGGAGGCAGTCTAGAGACATATGTGCCATTGGACAATAGTTTCATCTCAGATTCTGTTATCTGCGTAGAAGCTTTTAAATTTGTGATAGGCCCAAAATGTGACTTGACTTGGGAAAATGTCACAAACTTTATGGTATATGTGGACTTTGCTAATTCTAAGATTCCAGTGATCGACAGTAAATGAAAGATACATTTAGTTATATGGTTACACTTCCAAGTTGGAATAAGTAACTCCTTTTTTAAAGAACGTGTTGGTCAAACAGATTCAGAAGAATAGTGATATCAGATGGTGACAGTTCATTCTTTTGCAAAAGAGAAGACTTTCAGGGCAAATCAGTAAGATTTTTAAGTTTTTTTGTCCTGAGCATTAATCACAGTATAGCAAATTATATTTGGAGCCTTCAAAGACCTCTGGGAACTTTTTCCTTTTATATCTGCATGTTGCCCTAAATCAGCCTTTCCAAACTGGTGCCCTTCAGATGTGTTGCACTACAACTCCAATTATCCCCAGCTCATCTGGACAGTGTCTGCTTGGGAAGACTCTCCCAAATAACATGCTGAATCATGTGCATTATGCTTTGAAAACTTTCCCTCATTTTACTCAAATAGCCAGAAACACCAATTATGCAACTAGCTGGGTGATGTCTGATACCAACTCTGCTCTCTCATTTGCACAAGATTTGAGCAACGCCTAAACATTTGGAGGCATTTGTAAAGGACAATTCCCACTCCACTTGGAATTCTGTTTAGACAATTGGTCTGAATTTTTAAAAGTGGTTTGAGGGACTTGCCATGAGGGAAACTGAAGGAAAATTAGCAAGAAGAGTTCAGATCAAGTGTGAAAGTATATAATCCCCAAGTTGTTGATTGTGCAAAAAAGGTCCATTTGCAGTTGGTAGCACACATCCAGTTTCCAGGCCTGTGGATGTTCTGCAAAGCTATGAATCTCCTGTGTAACACAGAACTAGATGTGAGGTTCAGCCCCTCGAAATTCAGAGCCTTTAATTGGAAATACAGAAGTACAAACAAGTTTCTAGTTCCCATGGTTATGGAAAATATTTGGGGGTTGGGGTTTCACTGGGCCAGATGTTTTGGCCTACAACTCCAGGGCTGAGTTCACACAACACAACAGTGCACAATTCAACGACAACCTGCATTGAACTCATATTTTGGAGTGTTGTGTGAACCAGGTCAGAGTTGCTTTGGGGATTGTTGGGGATGGTGTTGAGAGAGTGTGGGTCACACAAGGACACAGCCCTGCATGTGGCCTGTGTATGTTATTTTCCTCCTAGAAAATCCACACTGATTTTATGGTCCAGTGTTAATATTTTTCTGTATTTCTCTGTACGAATAATTCCCACTAAGAAAGACTTATATCAGATCTTTCTGTTGCTGTTAGGTGTCTTGGCAAAAGCCTTGGTTTCAACCCTGTCATTTAAAAACTGGAGCTCGTGGTGCATTTATTATTTAGTGCAGTGGTTTTACAACGATGTTTGAGGGAACTCTGAGTTCCCTTGCAAGTTTATCAGGGTGAGAGGGTTGATTAAGGCAAACAAGCTTCCCTAAAGACTCACCATTACCAGTCCTCAAACGGGGAAGGTTGGGTACACCTTGCTAGAGTGCAGCTTCACTTGATGCTGACTGATAGGCAGAACTGTACATAACTGGCGTGTGTATTTTTGGGTCAAATTAGCTGTTCATTTGATAATGTAGAATGCAGGTAGTTAACTTGTTTTCCTTTGCATTAGTTACAGGCTTATGATGGGGGAAGGCTTTCTTACCCAGCATGACTGGAGTGAACTCTCCCTCACCCGCAATTTGGATAAGGGATGGGAAATTTGTGGCTCCCCAGATGTTGTTGTTGTTATGATTTATGTATCTGTCTGTTTAATTTTATACAGCTCAGTAGCCAAGATTCTCTGGATGGTTTACAATTCATAAAAACTCACACCACGGATGCAATAAAAAGCTCATTTTTTCCCCAAAATACAACATGTAAACACAGCTGAAAAACCTTGGACCTGTTAAAGACAGCTGACATAAGTGCCCTGTCATGCCATTAATTGTTGTTAAAAGCCTTGGAGAAGAGGGCAGTCTAAATCTGACGCAGAGAAGGTGAGAGAGTTGGCACCAGCCAGATGGGCCTCAGAAGGAGATCATTCCATAATCGGGAGGGCCAACACAGTAAAGGCCCTCTCTGGTGTCTCCACCCTCCAAGCTTCCCTCCAAACTGCACTCTGCAGAATGTTGATCAGGGTGTCCAGGTGGATTCGTGTTGGGAGAAATGCTCCATCATGTGCTGCAATCCAAGCCGTTTAAGGCTCTATAGGTGAAAACCAGCACAGTAGAACCAAAGAGCATGAGAAAAGCCATTCTGGAAGGCATATCACCTTGTGTATCGTATCCTTATCAGTTTAGGAATAGGTCCCATTTTGGAAAAATCAGGAGAAGGTTTGCTCCCCTGTGAGTGATGGGTAAATCTGTTGCATGCTGGGCCTCCATGTTTACCCTTGCTGCACAACAGTTTGCAAACAAATTTATTATACAAAATGGGGTTGGAGATGCTGAGAATCCTCTGTCTTAAAATTCATTTTTCACTTTGGTTATGCTGTGTGATGGTGATGGCCAGTGGTCCTTTTAGCAACTTAATTTGGCTGACTGGCTATAGTTGATGGGAGGTGTAATCTGGAAACATCTGGAGGGCCAAACGTCATCCACCTCAATTTAAGAAAAAAAAATCCCCATTGACAACAGGAAAGACTTTTTGATCTAAGCTAACCTCCAACATCTGTAACATCATTACAGAGCATTTGCATTGTGGGTTGGGGCTGATGGAAGTTGTTGTCTGAACTGAAGGGCACCAGGCTCATCAAAACATTCTAGCCCTGCGCTGGGGGTCGGGTTAGGGTTTGTTCTGATCAGGCTTGGAAGAGGAGAGGTAAACCTCTTCTCACTTTGACCAACAGGTAAGATTCACCCCAGACCACTGTGATCAATTGAGGGAAAACAACATCTGTAATTGTATACTACATGGCCCTTAGAAGGTGTTCCAAACTCTTTGGAACCGCATGGGGCTTCCATGGCAGGTGCTGAAGGTGCTGCTCAACAGAAAAATTGATCCTGAATGGGCTGTTTGATGATAGAAAGCTGGAAAATTAAATCAGTGCTGTACTCCTTTTGTAAATAATTTGCTCTGTGATATGAGTGAAGCAATACATCATGTCTATTTGAGTTTATGCACTCAATGTATGTGATTGTTTCTCTCTGGCAAACCCTCTGGGCCAGTGCTGCAGAGTTCTCTTGAAATGTGTTTTCCCTTCAACAATTCGTTCTGCTATTGTTCTATGTTTTAGTTCTGATTTCTCTCTGAGAACACACGGATGCTCCCCCTCTGCCCTTCCTTTTGTTGGTGCCGTCTGTATGCTTTTGTTTCATCATTAGGTAGGTGCTGTTGTATAGCAGAGGCTGCTTCATTCTTAGCTTCTTTGTCCACAATGGCTCATTTTGTGAAAACAATCCCTCCTCCATGGTCGAGATGTTCTCTGAGACTAGACTGTGTGTTTCAGGCAAGGAGGGCCACAATTGTTGAAGAAGGCAGATTTACCACACGCGAAGGACTCGCCAAGGAGAAAGACTGCTCCAGCATGTGGGCCGTGCCTTTTTTAGCCATATACCCTTAAAATGCGAATGATGGTTGAGCAGACAAACAGTGTGCAAACAGATGGTCACATAAACATTTGTGTAAAGTTCTCTGCCTTCGGTTCTTACTCATTGTGTAATGGGGTGGAAAGGAGGATTGGCACCCTTTCTGAGGCCGAGGAGTCCTTGAATGGGAGATGCTATGCATCCATGGCTCACGCTACTCTAGCGGAACCCACGGAGAGCAAGGAGCAAAGCTTATACTCCCCCTTCGGTGTGCTGGACTTCTTCAAGACTTGCACGGAATCCTATAATGGGTCTGCTTAAATGTAGGTCCCCTGGGATGTAGCAGAGCTTACTCTCAGATACGCGTGCATTGAGTTGCGGCCTAAGGCGGTTTTGCTGGCAGCGCTTGTGTCTATTTTATCTTCTCCATCTCTGAACTATCCTTAGTAAAGTTCTTTTTGCTTGAGCCATATTGGCTTGCATCACTTTAATGGCATCCTCTTCCCCACCCCACTCAAACACTGCAAGATGAAATGCCATCCTCATTCCATGCTTCAATAAACTTATGCTGGCTGGCATTAATAGGAGTTACAGTCTAGCACTAACTTGGGGAAGCCTAGTTAAGGTGGGAAAGATATTTCTAACCAGCTGGGGCATCCAGCTCAGAATGGATGGGAATGTCTTTATGCAAAGAGCCTGTCGGAGATAGCACAGCAAATTACAGAATTCCCATCTTGAGTTGCGTAGTGCAAACTTGCAAAAGCCCTCCAACATCTGAAAATCATTTAGCCAGAACAGGGGTGAGCAAATATTTTAGAAACATAGAAACAGAGCAAGTCAGAAGGGGCCTCCTGGGCCATCTAGTCTGACCCCTGGCTCCGGTTGACTCCACTCATGACATGTCTACCATATGCATGTCCAGGCTATCCTTGAACACCCTCACTGCTGGGGCTTCTACCACCTCCCGTGGAAGCCCATTCCATGCCCTAGGGGTCCTAACCATCAGGAAGTACTTCCTGACATCCACCTTGAACCTTGGTTCCCTGAGCTTTGCTCCACTGGAACATATCCTGCCCTCCACCACAGGGGGAAAATGGTCATGACCCACCTCTGTGTGACACCTCCTCATAGAACTGTATGTTGCTAAACATTGTATGTCCCAGTGGCTGGGGCTGGTGGGAGTTGTAGGCCAAAATATCTGGACACACAAAAATTACCCATCCCTGGGCTTGACAACAATTTAATACAGAGCTGGTGGGAAAAAAGGGGGAAAGGGTTCCTTTCAGTATTGCCAGAGCATCAAAAAAGGCTTTGGCCATGTTTGGTAAGAGTGTGAGTGAGTCTTCTGCCTGGCACACCAGCCCCACCTTGTCTTTGCAAGCATGCAGAGTGTACTCCATACATAAAATCCAACATGCATTTCCAGAGAGAGAGAGAGAATGAGTCTGTCTTTGGTGGAGGACTGAGCACATGATTTTGGCCAGTGTGACTGTTTTGCTTCCAGCCCATTTTTCAGAAGGGGGGCACAAGTTAAAGAAAGCTGGTTTATTTACTTCCAAACATCAGTTAAAAAACCCCAAATCTCAGAACCACAACATTTGGGAAAGCCCTTCAGAAGCAGACTGTTGCAAGGATTTTGCCTTCTCATGGAGAGGAGGACTTTATTCTGCTCCTGATTTTGAACACGATCCTAGGAGAAGGATGCATGCTTGCAGTCTGCCTTTCTCCTTGTGAACATTTTGTGAAGGAAGCAGGAAAGAGATGTCCTTTCAACACATCACATTTTATTTGAAAATCCTAATGAAGATACCGCCCAGTTGTTGACAACACCATCAACTGACTGCAATCTTTCGAGCAGCCCCCGGTGACTTGCTATTCTTTGCACAGCCTGGCTTCCTGCAAAAAACGAGAAGGGGAGATGTTAGGAAATCTTTGGCCTTCTCCATCCCTGGAATATGCCCTTGAAAGCTTCTCCAGCCCTCAGGCTGAAAGAGTTTCAACATCCCGTAGGTAGAAATGGAGCGTGGGCCTTTGTGCATGCGAAGCAAATTGACTGAGCTGTCATGGAGTCAATCTACTCCCCAAAACACCCAGCTGGCCCAACTTCTTCCTTTAGCTGGGAGGGGGAGACACAGAATATAAACCAGAAGCACTGTAGTGACAAATGCAGCAAAAGTAGCCATTCTTTCCTATTTATTATGCACTCCTTGTAGTCAAGAAAACTTTGGAGTCAAGAAAACTCGGCTCAGTCCAGCCCACTTACTGACAGCATTAAGAATGAAAGCTTCGAGGACCAACAAGAACCTGAGCCAAGCAGCAGTTGTGCCTCTGGGAGCCCAGCCTTGTGCGTCTAAAAACAAACACCAGCTAGTCCTGAAGTCAGAGCCATTGGTGTACAAGTGAAAGCCAAATGACCTTGTCTCAAGGCTAGTGCTGGAGGAAGCCGGCACTTTTGGTATGTCTGACTTTGCGGCTGGGTTCAGGCAAGGAGACAACCCACACTTTAAGGTTATAGGTTCAGTGTGGGTTGTCTGAATTTGGGTTATACTATTACCTGAACCCAGCTGCACCAACAGCTGGGTTCAGGTAATACCCATGGTTGCTTCTTCGGTTATGAACTGTGGGTCATTCACAGTGGCTTGTTACCTTGGCTGGGTTCAGACAACACAATCACCCAAGGTTCAACAACAACCCAGCGAGTGTCGTCGTGTCTTCTGAATCCCAAGCCTCCTTTGCCTGCCTGAGCACTGCCCAGAAGTTTCTCCGTGTAGAAGTAACTTCTGCCTCTTGAAGCCACAGCGCAGACTGGCTGTGCCCATCTTCCCCACAGTGCTCTGGAGCCTTCCACTGAGATGGAGAAGACACGGGGAGGGCCAAACGGCTTCCCTTGGCCTTCAGAGGAGCTGATGGTTTGGGGGAGGGCATGGCTGCATGCACTGACATTAATGTCTCGGCTACACCCATTGCATCCTCCTCCCAGCCCATGTCAACATTCTCTGTTGCTGAGAGCAGCACAGAGTTTCCTCGTGGGTTCCTCCTCGACGGGAGGCAGAGCTGCACGCCAGAGAACGGCCCACTCCTGACCCTGATCACAAAAACCCATGGCAACACCTCCGATTACAGTGGGGTGGACCCGAAAGGAAAATGGAAATATAACAGCTCGTGCTGACCTTTTTATTTTTCTCTCTGCTTGGTTGAGTGCCAATAAATGAACGAACTTCTGAGCAGATGCACATGTGCAGGATCCTCTGATGGCAGAGGTGCAGCACCTCAGTCCTGGGCACCACATCTGGCCAGGTCAGGCTCTCAGCCTAGCCCTCCAGGGTTTCCTAGAAGCCTCTTTCTGGCCACAGTCCCTTCCTCACAACTGCCAATGGCTTGGTGGTTTCCTGGCTTTTGCCAAGATCGAAATGCGAGTCAATGCATTTTGATCTCAGCAAGCTCTTATTGGTAGTGATCAAAAGTCAGTAAGAGCTTTAAGCAGAAATATTCTGGCAATTTAGACAATTTGGCCCTGCCTCTTTTGCTCCCCCACCAATGAAATGTGGCTCCTGAGAAGAGTTTCCCTGAAACGGAACTTGGGCCTTCAGCTGAAAGAGGTCCAGCACTCCTGCAGGGAAGATTTTCGTTTTCTCTCTTGTATTCACCTACATACCCACATGCCTGCTCGCCCCCCACCCCATGTTCCTTGGTCTGGCTGGCATCTCATACTCACTCACGGTTTGCAGCTTGGAAACAAATGTTGCTTCTCAAATATTTCCTCGAATTCTGCAGGGGTGAAGAGAACCAAGACCAAATGTTAGTCATGCTGTTCAGCCCTTGACATTGGATCTTCCTAATCATGGAGCTAAGCAGCCATAATGCAGCCTGCACAGAATGACTGTCCAGAAGCACCAGCTGGTACTAAAAAACAGTGAACCTTCCACTGTCATTGCTAGGTAGGCAGAACCTCGTCACGCAGACATGCCCCACTTCCTTGTGATCCACTGGCACTAACTGAACTTTCAGCTTGAGCATGTTTCCAGATCACAGAATCATGGAACAGATGGGTCAGAAGGAGCCATGAAGGCCATCAAGCCCAACCTCCTGCTAGTGCAGGGTGCTAGTGCAGGATACACCATCCTGATCAGGTAACGGTTCAATTGCTTCTTGAAAGCCTCCAGTGCGGAAGAGCACGCAACCTCTCTTGGCAGCTTGTTTCACTGTCGCACTGCTTTCACAGTCAGGAAATTCTTCCTTTTGTCTAGCCTGCACCTGGTGAACTCTAATTTAATTGTTCCATGTCCTGCAATCTGGGATGAGTGAGAATAGGTCTTTTCCTTCATTTTTGTGACAGCCTTTGAAGTCCCTGTAGAGTGCTATCATGTCACCTCCACATTCATGGAATTTTACAATATGTCCAGACAATGGGTGTTGCTTGGAACTGAATGGTCTTTGGGGCCAGAGGTTTTCGATGGCTATATTACTCCACTGGTGAACACACAAGTCACATTCCTCTTTGCAACACATCTGCATTCCATACTTCTGCATTCTTGATGGGCTAAAACAACACCACTTGCCAATCTGATTGGGAAAAAAAGATATTCTCCCTCCCTCTCTCTCTCCCTCCCTCTCCCCATATGTGCGTGTGAGTGGTTTTGCATTTCACACCAAGAGGTCCTAGCTCTCTTGGGACTACGGGTCTAAAATGGAGCTGATCCTGCAGCTGCGAGCAACTGCCACTCTCTGGGTGGGGATTTGAAGGGCCTCACAGGCTCTGCACCTTGGTGTAGCTGGTTTAGCTGTAGCTGTCTGGGAGCATCTCTTGTACATCCTCCTCCTCCTCCTCCCTGTTTTCCCTTCCTTCCTTCCTTCCTTCCTTCCTTCCTTCCTTCCTTCCTTCCTTCCTTCATGTATTTATAGGCCGTCTATAATTGCCGAGGCCTTCCTAGGCAGCTTACAATACATAAAACATATTAACAAAGTATACGTTTATAAGTTAAGGAATAAAGGCAATAACAGTTACAGAACTGAAGCTAATTTTACATTGGATTGTGCTGTCATAAATATGCTTCTCCACCCTTTCTTTCCCCAAAGCAGCTTCTCCAGACCCCTGAAAATACTACATGGAGAGTCGGGAGAAACTGCTGAACTGTGGTGTTTGGGGCATATTTTCTATGCTGCCCAGTAGCAGAAGCTCTCTGGGCAATACACAATGCATATTATGTTGCCCTTTCAGTGCACTTTAGTACAGTGTACATATAAATGGTATATTTACACAATATTCTTACAATCTATAAATTGTAAATCTATGCCATTATGATGCAAATTGTTACTCTCTTTTCTGGTGATGCATTTCACACTGGACACCTTAAGATATGACACACACGCATGCACACGCATGCACACACGTGCTCTCAGGCAAAGAAAGGTTTGCTTTGAGAATGTGGCTTGTAGTGTATCTCTGTGGCAAGTACTCACAATTGACCATCGTTATGGTGCGGCTATTTCATTGGTATTACATGTCTTTGTATTAGTATTCCTTGGCCTGAGTTTTCTGGTAGAATCAAAGAAAAAGAAAACAGAAGGAGAGGAAACAAGGCATGGCTCAGAGGGAAGAAAGGAATGGCCAAGGTGTCCCCTGGCATAAGGCTGAGGGGGTTGACTAGAGCTGGAACACGTTCCGAAGCTGTGACAATGAAGTTTTATTAAATGACGCTTTTCCATACAGTCTGCACTTTCCCACAAGGAACAAAGAGGCGGCAACTTTTTGCTAAGACAAAGGTTGCAGCTGTGCCATCTGCTTTCTCCTCCGTCTGTGGGAGGCTTGCTGACATCAAGGAGATGCTGCTTGACTTTGGGGAGAGAATTTAATTCCCCTGACAAGGAAATTGGGGCTGGCAGACTCTTTAAAATAATAGGACCGGGGAGGAGGGGTGAGAAACGATGCACGGGACACAGTGTGGGATACAACCCAGCCCCTTCCTGCTGCTAATAACAGGCTAGAATGCTCACCTCCCACGGCTGAGCTTCTCCAGTTGCCCCTCACTGCCTCCTCAGGTCGATCCCGATCCCGTTCTGCAAATGCCGAGGGCAAAGTGCTCTTAGCCCTAGGTATTTGCACAGAAAATAGGTGTGCCTGCTGCTCCACTGATTTTTAATTAAGCTGAAGGAATGAAAGGATCTGTTCTCAGATGATCACTAATTGCAAAGGCAAAAGATTCTGAAATAACCCAAAAGCAATCAAACGCAGCTCAGTCACATTGCTGTGATGCCTCTCCTCTGATTTAAAATATTTTTGAAGCCATGGAATTGTGTGCCAGAGTGACATGCTTGCATCCTGACCCAAGGTGTGGATGCTTATTCAGGCATACTTGCTCGGAATTAAGTCCCACTGATGCCCAATGAGCCTCACTCGAAGGAAGTTCATATATGAAAGCAACCTGGAAGCACAACACGATCCTGCTGATTCTGCAAGGATTTCCTCCTAAGTAATTGTGCAGGACTGCGTGTGCTTATTTAGAAGTGACCCCCTGGTGTTCAACAGCGTTTGCTGCTGAGTGGGAGACTGTGCTGAGTGTGCAAAGTCACTGTGTGTGCTCAATAGTCCAGCCAGGACGGAAAGAAGGGCAGCAACAAGAAACTAAGTATGGCGGAGAGTGCAACACACTTTTCAGTAAAGTAGGCTGGGGGCGGTTGTCCAAGGACCGGGAAAAGCAGAGGACGCGCTGCTCCCCCTGCCCATTTTCCACAGTTCCTCTGCTCCAGAGGGAACGTGTGCAGGCCTGCAGCTTCAAAGGGCCATGTTCAGGGTCGGCGTAGTGCCACAACGGTTCCTTTCAGCCGTCTGGTGCTCGCGTTTGGCTTTACCCACCTTTGGCAAGGACTCCACGCCGTCTGTGCATTCTGTCTGTCCCACCCACTTGGCTCCCCCCAATATGATATGCAGGGGTGGGCAGATGATCGAGAGAGAGACCAGTGAATCACTCAAAGGTTTTTAGTAGGTCGGCAAGGGCTTTGGTTGCTCCCCTGCCTGTTAGTCTGCCAGAATCTGTGATCTGTTCTCACTCAGATGTGAGATTTAGACTTGGGTATGTAGATTAGGACCAGTGTAAGTCCGCTAAGTGATTCAGGGCCTGCTCAAAACATTTTGCTACTGGAGGGAAAGGGCAAGGCAGTGTCCCCCTCCACTCCATGCACAGAAGCTAATGTGGGTAGCATCTGACTCGTCCTTCAACGCTGGCAGAGGGGGAGTGTTGCCGGCCAGGATACTTCATGGAGCACCTCTCCCAAGCCAAACCCGCCTGGGCATTGCAATCTCACTCTGAGGCCGTCCTGTAAGTACTGCCTTGAAGGCAGGCTCAAAGGATGGGGAGGGTATCACAGCAACCTGTGTAAACAACTGTGAGTAAGAAATTATAAACCCACAATAAATGCATTATGGAAAAAAGGCTCACAGCATCCTGGTGAAGTTGTCCTAATGCTTTGTTACTGTGTCCTGCCAAGACTGCTCTGACTTATGCCAACGGCAGGAATGAACACCCTCCAACACATCCTGCCCTCGACAGCCCGGCTCAGCTCTTGTGAGCACAAGCCTGAGGCTCCCACTGTGGAATCCGTCCATCTTGTATTTGGCCTTCTCCTTCTTCTGGCTTCAACTTTCCCAGCGCAATGTCCTCTACAAGCCTCGAACTGCTAAAACCAGGGAAATGACAGTCTGGTTGCTTTTTGAGAAAGATGGTGAAGGATGCACTTGCCTGCCAATCCAACTCTGATTGCTTCCGGTCATAAGTTGGCTTTCTTTCTTTGAGCCTCTTGAGGATGCCTTGGTTCTCCAAGGTAATCCTCACAAGCTCTATATTCTGCTTCTGCCGGAACGAACTGCAAAATCCAAACAGGTAATATTTAGCCTGTGGGCCAGCACAAAAGAGGGATGTCCTAGAAAGCAGAGAAGGGAGGGCAGTTTTGGTTCAGTAGCCAAAGTAGGTAGAAAAAAGACTTACGTAGCAGGCAAACAGGCCGGGGATCAGAATGTGTTTAAGCCGGGGGTGGACCAACTTGTGCCTTTTCAGAGGTTGTTGGACATCCCATCATCCCCCACTGTTGGCTATGATGGCTGGGGCTGATGGGAGCTGCACTTGACTAGTATCTGGAGGGCCACAAGTTGTCCACTCCCATTTGAAGAAATAGGCTCTACCTGGAAAGATTCTGCTATACAAGGACCCATGGAATTCTTTTGCAGTTTCTTTGGTTCCTCAGTATACTTTTTATCTGGTGCTTGTTATCAGCCTGCTATCAGAAAAGACCCAGTAGGTCACTCTCTGGCTTCCTTGATTAGTAGCATCTTCCCTTGCCCCTCTAACGCTGAATAACCAGCACAAATGCCGTGCATGCAAACATCACCCTGCACACAGGGGGTTAAGTTGCCTTCCAGCCATTTCTGTGAATACCTAGTTGACATTCACTGGAAGAGAGTGCAGAACAGAGACCCTGTAAAGCACAGGCGCACCTGCTGACAGCACTGCCATCCTCATCTTCACCAGCTATGGAATCGTGGCTTGTCAGATCCCTTTTTACTTTGCTCCCCATATTCGCTTCAGGGCTAAATGTCACTCACAAAAGCATTAATAACCCCCACTTCTTTCTTCTTCTTCTTCCTACCAGAAGCAGCTGCTTCATGAAATAGCTGTATGGACAAGAGCAGTGGCTGTAGGGAGGGGGCATTCAATCCTTTCCCAGCCCATCGCTTTTCTTTTCCAAATGGGCTTGCAACCTTTTTCTCTAGGAGGCTTAAAATACATGTGTAGAAATGTAAAGGTGCATTTGGAAGCCCAGGGAAGTGGACCCAGAAGCCTGCACAAGCATCGGTGAGGGAGCGGTGCCAGTCCTTTTCTTGCAGGGGTGTTTGCTGCAGCCAAAGAGCAGCCGGTGGGTCTCTCTTGACCGCTGGAGGGTCCCTCCTGGGGAAGGCATGATTTCCCAAGCTCCCTGCTCCCCCTGGGGTGTGAGATTCACCCATGAGAAGGCCAGCCCTGATCAAGATGCCCCATTTAGGGAATATTATGGAGTAGGATCTGGAGTAGGATTATGGAGTAGGATCCCTCCTGTGTTGCCCTACAGCTCCCTCCCTCATGAAGCACAGAAAGAGAAAGATGGAGCAAAAGGAGAGAGAGATGAACTGGCTGCACAATGCCTTTTGACAGGAGGTGTCAGAAGCTGTCCAGCTGGAAGAATCAAGAAACACTTCAGGCCTTTAAAACCACTCATGTCCAAGTCATCAGAACAGCTTGTCTCATCAGGTAGCTAAGCAGATTGCCTTGCCATGGGATCTCTGAACACCAGCTTTTCTCCAGACACAATGGCTGTCTCTAGCCCTGCAGAGCACCACCACGCACAGCTGCAGCCTGCCCCAGTCCTTAGGGCAGGTACTTGTCACCTGCTTTCAAAAGAGTGCAGGAGAAACAGACGACTCACAAATGCCCACCTCTTCTTTTGGTACTCATTCCAGCAATCGACCATGCCTGATCCGCGATATATAGCAGCTAGACGTGTGCAGAGGCTCTTATTCTCTCTTTCAATCAGCCCGATTTTCTTCTGGGCTTCCTGCAGAAAGGGAATGACTGTGAGAATTCATGTGTGAGTGTTTTCTTATGGGATCCTACATAACCCCCTTCCTTCCCCCAAGGGATGTAAACCAGAGATGAACAGACATTGGGCTTGTCAGATCTGCTGAATCCCAAGAAACTTTCAGCAGCACCAGGTGCAAAATAGTGCACATGTGGCAATTTTGGTCAGTTTGCATTTTACTAAAAATGCAAATACAAGCCTACACCTGAGTTGATTTGAGGAGAGATTCTAACATAGCTCAGAGCGGAGGAAAGAACTAGATGCAATTTTTGAGAGACTAATGACTGAATCCCCAGATGTTTCCCGAAAGCTGACTAGCAGCTGCTTTCTGCCAACCACCTCCAGTGCCAGCCTTCCTCCGCCTGGGGGCCAGATCTGCAGGACTGTACCTGGGGCATGATGGAAGTTGTAGACCCACACAGTTATTGGGAGAGCATCAGGTGGGGGAAAGCTGCCCTATCCTGTTTTCTTGATGAACATGTGACTTTCCTAATGCTACTCTTTGTACTGTAGGAAGACACAAATATGTAGACATATGGAGTCTGTAAATAGCAGCTTCAAAATGAGGAGAGGTTTTGTGGGGGAGACCATAATTTTATTTTAAAAAGCAGGGAGAAACAGTTCAAATTTGCTTTCTCCGGGGCCATAGGATGGTTCTGGATGGAGGCCTCCTGGGGCTAACTATAAAAATGTGTGGTGAAGCTATACCTTTTCCTCTTTAGTGGATTTCTTTTGCTGGGATAGGGCAGAAGAAGTGGAGGGAAAGCATGGTTACAAATGGAAGGTGACTTCTAGAGCCCTTGTAAAATTCACTGGATGAGGCAGAAGTGCCCCTCCTGGCACCCCAGTCTGACCCTCTGTTGTTTCACAGAAGGTCACACCATAAAAGCTTCATCTGGAAGCACTCATAGTCTCATTGCAACCTGACTTGACTCCAGCCGACCCAGCCAAAACCCACCTGCTTCCCCAGCCTCCCAGCATCTGTTATTAACATTAGAAAATCAAATCCTCCCTTTATTTTTCAATTTAAACTATTTCTATATCATTGTTCATAAAAATGTCACAGCTGTTTGCAGAATTAGACTAGAACTGACAATAAAGGAGACTTAAAAGCATTATTAAGATGGCAGTCGGATTCAGTCCTTACGTAGGAATAAACTCTATTTAATTCAAGGTTTTTAGAACTGCCATCCATTAAGCAAAGAATGAATGGATTGGATCCAGATTTCATTGCATGCAGCTGAGTGGTTGGAAGCAGTTTCCTGCTCCTCTCCTTCCTACGACAGCCTCTTGAACCCTCTGAAAATGCTACACAGAGGTTTGGACTATGCTGTTGAATGAGGGGAGCTGTGGTGCAGGGGGATCATCCCAAATTGCCACATACTGGGTCCAACCCAGTGAAAATAGAATCACAGAGCTGGAAGGGGTCCTCAAGGCCACTGAGGTCAACCCCTTGTCCAGAGCAGATCAGTATTATAGTGATAATGGAAGCCATTAAAACAGAAGGAAAAGATAAACTATAATAATATATCATTTAGCATTTCACAAATACCCAACACCTTTCCAAAAACACCATGCTATTCCCTTAAAAATCATGGGAATACATTTATTTAAAGCCCTGTACATATAACAATCTGGCAGGAAGAATAAACAGATTAATGCTATTTCTTCCTGTTTAGAGATGCTTCTTTCCAAATGTATAAAATATTTTAGGTTCTAGTGACAAATTACAGAACTTTATTACAATATATGACATAATTTATTTTCTAGAATTCCGCCCATGACAGCTGCAAAAATCTTATAGTTGCAATTAAAAAGGGAATTTGGAAGTTAAGAATATGTGAGTCATTTGCTAGTTCAGGATAACTGTAGTCTTTTCTTTATCTATTGCATTTGGATAAAGGACCCCCTACTGCCATCAAGAAGAAACCAAGCAGCTAGTCCATATTTAGTTTCTTATCTGATTTTCTGGAATAAAAGACAAGATGGAAGGAGTGGTGGGGTAACTGGGTAATTACAAGTTGAAGATGATATCTAGAGTCCTAAGGATGAGGCAAGGCCATGGTGGTATAAAAGTTTCCTCTGAAAACATCTAGGAATTCCCTCCCCCGCTCCAATTTCTCTCTGTTTTCATTTCCACCCCATCTCTCTTAATAGTCACAGTTATAGCTTTGGTCAATGATTCCACTAACAAGGAGAAGAATGTTGCAGATTTCAAAAGTGGAAATCATTTCACTTTGGAGAGTTGTTAAAAAAACAATAATCTAGCATTCTTAATTACATTGTCTAATTTTACGGGTACATTTGGCTTCTCTGTGCTATCTTGCTCCACAATCTTCGGAAGTTTTAACTTCTGAAGAAAAGAGAGTACGGAGAATTGATTAGCTTTATCAGAAGAAAAATGTCTAAATCAAATGTATAAACTCGGTTTTCCTCATGTAAAACAATTTCTTTTCCCTTTCTTTTTAATCCACAGTGCAATATTTTTAGAAACATGTTTATGCAGATGATCACTAACTTATTTGGTTCGTCCCCCTTTTCAAAGAAAAATTACTTAGGAAATAACAAGGGTTTTTAATTTTGGAAGTTATCAAAGTTCTGGCTCATTATTACGTCTGAATAAGATGACATAGATGACCTCTCCCCACCCTGCCCCCCTCCAGATGCTTTGGACTACAACCCCCATCACATCTGACCACTAGTTATGGTGGCTGGGGCTGAAAGTAATCCGAACATCTACAGAGCATCAAGTGGCAGAAAGCGGATATAAACTTCCATCTTCCATTCTGTAGAAGGAACAGACAGTGTCTTTCAAGAAAACAAGCTTCACACATGGGCAGTACTATGTTGACCCATGCTCGGATACCATACGAAGCAACCATGGCTGGGTTCACACATCCTAAGAAGCCATGGTGGTTTCTTGTACTAGTGTTGGATACTAGGGACAACTCCTCAGGCTTTCAGGCAGGAAGAGCTAAAAGAGACCGTGTTTGTCAACAGTGAATTGTCTTGTTCCTTTAACTTGACTGGGTCCTTTCTCCTACCATATCCCCTTCCTCGTCGCCTCTGCACCAGGCAACATGTGCTCCTTCCCAGATGGAAGCAAGTAACCTTAGGGCACCCTTTTGCTTACTGATATACTCATGTGCCCAGCTTTAGGGGTGCTTGTACTCCAATAGTTTTAGGTAACCATTTTTGAGACTATGTCTAAACTAAGTTGATTCAAACTACATCTGAACTGACTCCAGCCTACATTTCTTCCTCCCAGTGCTAATTCCTGTAATGCAGCAGTTTATATATAAGGCAATTCTGCTGTCACACCAGACTTTCAGCAAAAAGTAAATTCATGAACCCTCTGCATACGCCCCTCCTGTTTTTGACTTTTTAAAAATAAATGCATTTGTGTTCATGTGTACATATTTGTGTGCATGGGACATGATTTCGCAGCAGAAACAGGGCGTGAAGGGAAAGGATCCAGCAGAGGGGAAGCCGGTGGGTGCAGTGCTAGTGTTGCAGTCTGAACTAGCTATGGTACTTAGCATATTTTGAGGCTAGGGTTCAGCACAATGGACAGCCCCTTTACATTTCAGACTAAAACTTGGAGTGGATCCCCCCCCCCCAATTAAGCATCTTGGCTACCACATCTCTGCTCCAGATCTTCCCACCCATAGTAATGAGATCTCTTTCTCTAAAAGAAACAAAGAAAGGAAAGTGGGATGGGGTGGGAAGGAGGGGGCACTAAGGTTTCACTGAACTTGTTGTTAGTCGTGAAGTCGTGTCCGACCCATCGTGACCCCATGGGCAACATTCCTCCAGTCCTTCCTGTCCTCCACCATCTCCCGGAGTTCCATGTCCACATGTTACATGGAAACTAGTTCACTGAACTAGTCTGCATGTAACATCTACCATATCTACTGGTGTATAAGACAACCCTTGAAACCAGAAATTGCGAGGCAAAAATCAGGGGTCGTCCTCCGTTCCAGGTGAACAATTTTCATCATATTCTACTCATCATTAAAAAGGGGATAGACAAGAAGGACAATTGCATGTATAGGCTTGTTTCTATTAAGAATCTCTTTAAAAAGCTTCCTACTGGTACTGGGGGAGCTTGTCCTCCACTGTGAATTTTGTACATAGCCAGAGGCTCGGTCCCGAGTTCGGCACCCGCCCTTGCCGGGCCCGGAGGGCAGTGCAATGCAATGTCCTGGGTGGGCTGCATTAGCAGCAGGGGGGAAGGGGAAAGTTCCCCATGCAGCTGTCTGTGGAGAGACACGGCACTGCCCTCCCCACTCTTGTTCGCCTCCCCACCGATGCCCGTCCACAGCGCTGGCGCCAGCTGTCCTCCCCGGCCAACCTCAGCCAGCCAACCTCCTTGCAGGCCGCCACCGGCCCTCCACTCTACAAAACCTTCTCGAGTGGAATCAGAGAGGGAATGTCACTATTAGCGAGAATATGGTAATACGATTTCACAAGAGTCTAGAAGCTTCCAGCTGACAAATACCCATATAGACCAGCATATAAGAGTCCCTGAAACCGAAAATAGTAAAGCAAAAATTGGTGTGCCTGGCACCAACACTGTATTCTTTTCAGCACTAGGCCAAAACCTTTTTATTTTCCCAATACTTTAAGGTTTAATTGTTATTATTTATTGAAACTGTTGTTTTAATTGCTTTTAAATATTGTAAGTCATCCTGAGACTTTTTGTAATAGGACGGGATAGAAAAGCAATAAATAAATAAATAAATAAATAGGGGGTCATCTTATATGCCCAACATGTGACAAACACTAGAAAAGCACCCCAAAAGATTGACCTTGTCTTATATACAGGTCATCTTATATGCTGGTACGTATCCTTGATGCACCAATTGCAAGAGGGAAGCAGTTCGTGTACCTGTATCTTGGTGACCTTGAAGTATTGGTGGATCTGGGCAGGTGGAGATTTATTATCCACGCGACACCTTGCTGGAATAAGAAGATAACACATCTGCATGAAAAATGGCATTCCAGAGGCAATGTCAGGGGCTGGCTCACTAGGGCTGGAGCCCTAAATCTTTCATCTGGAACCCCAGATCTCTTGGAGACCATCTACCCCACCAGGTTGCTCTCCATGAGCACTGACTTGAATGATGGTTATAGGTCCCCTCATGATTTCTGTTCTGAACCCACTGGACTAATGGACTTTTTGCCCATACGTGCTACGCCTCCTGCTGCCTCCTCCGCATCTTTCTGCCTGAGGTTCCCCACAACTCTCCTTGAAAATGGGTGCTTTTTTGTCTCCTGGACCTGAGCCCTGGATCTGTTCCGCACTAGCCCTGCCCGAACAGAGCGAGCTGTCAGGATGCTGTGGACCTTATCATTCCAAAGCTGCCACTGCCATTGCTGCTACGAGATCATCATGCAAACATTTTCCTGCCTTTTGGAGACACATGCCCGCCCACTGGATGTTGGGAAAAATCAGGTTGGTGACACTTTAGGAGCAGCAGTTTAATTTGTTTGATTTCAGCAAATAATTTCTTGACAAGTTGACTCATCAGGAAAAAAATGAGTGCCCAACGGTTGCACTGGAGAAACATTTTAATCCACCGTAATATGAAAATTAGAAGTTTGAAGATCAAACATCAGAAGGGCTCTGTCTTCTGTTCTGAGTCATGTCTGGTTGATTGCTTACATCTTGAACATTCATTTGGTTTATAACAGTATCTTTGAATAATGCCACTGGAGCAAGACACAAAGTTAGGCTTGGTAGATGGTTCCAAAGACCCTGTCTTATTACCTTCTGAATCCAAATTAGAACTGGTAATATCTGAAATCTTTGTTTAAAAACAGATGGCATCACTAACACTGCCTGCTTAGCTTGCAGAATATGTTCTGCTTCTAATTAAAAATGTTCTTCTAATGAAACATTAATAATAGTATTAAAACTGATAAAACAAGAAAATAAAATTAGGATTAGCACAATGTAGCACTGGTACTTTGTTTTTCTTTTAAAATTATATAAACACTAAGTATCTTGTGATAAGTTCATCTGTTTTCTTAGATGCCTAAGTGCCTCCTAAGGATGTACAATTTGGTGCACTCTTAAGGTACACAATTCAGCACACGCCAGAGACACTGAAGATACAGAAACCAAGATTAGTAGGATATGTACCTTTTGAAGATATATAATATGGTATAATATTGAATCGCTCTTACAAGAGTGGAAAACATAAGACGAAACACAACTGAAAGTCTTAAACAAATGAACAATGTAAAACAGTAGCTGGATGGCTGTAAGATACTGTGAAATATTTGATCCAGCAATGAAATACAAAATCATGACTGAATGGCAAAAAAATCCTATTTATGGGATGCTTGAAATCATATTTGCAGGACTGTAAACAATATATTTTGCCAGTCAGTCAAAATGTGGTATTTCATTGTTTGATCAGATATATCACACAGAGTATTCTTTCAGTTGTTATTGGCTTTTACATTGTACTCTTACCACTGTTATACTTTGAATAGTCCAGGATTTTGTTTTTTGTTTTGGTATTTAGCATTTTGTATTCTGCTCACTCTTTTTCTAAGGTAAACATTTCCTGCTGTTGTAACTTTTTCTCCTAGAGGAGTTGTTGCCTCTTCATCATTTTATTTACCCTTTCTTGAACTTTTTCCAACTCTGCAATACCATTTTTGGTTGTGGTGGCCAGAACCGTACACCATATTCTAGTTGTGCTCACACCAGACATTTGTATAAGGAAAGTATGATTCTGACAGTTTTATTTTCAATTCTCTTCCTAATCCTACCTAACTGGGGGTTTGTTTTTTCTACAGCAGCTGCACACTGGGTTGACATTTCCATTAAGTTATCTGGTACAACCCCAAGATCTCCTTCTTGGTCAATTAGCACTAGCTCTTGAATATGAACTTTATGGGAGTTTATCCCCAGTGTGTATCACTTTACATTTCTGTTGCGCTGCATTTGCCATTTGATGCTCATTTTCCCAGGTTGGCAAGATCCTTTTCGAGCACTTCACAGTTCCTTTTTTGTTTTAACCACTTTAAATAATTTGGTGTTGTCAGCAAACTTTGCCACTTCACTGCTCCCTTTTAATTCTCAATCATTTATGAACAAGTTGAAAAGCTATGTTCCAAAAGCAGTTCCCTGTAGGACTCCACTGTTTACATCCTCCATTGGGAGAAGTTACTATTTATTCCTATCCTCTGCTTTCCATTTTTTAATCGGTTACTGATCCACAAGACAACCTCTCTTAATCCCATCACAGCTAAATTTGCTGAGGAGTTTTTGTGTGGGTCTTTATCAAAGGCCTTTAGGAAGTCCAAGAGCTTTCTACATGAGGCAGATAATTGGCTGTTAATCCCAGCTGGCCCCTCCCTGGCCCCTTCGCCACTGCCAGTCATCCAATCTAAAAGGTTGCAATGCTCTCCTGCTACTTAGTTACTGATGTAGGATCAGGAAGGTACAATAGTCCCACCCCTTTTGGTCTTTTTGTCCCGCCCCTTTCCCATTTGGCCCCACCCCTTTTGCTTGTGGCCACACCCTCCACTGGAAAGCAACCTCCTGAGAGCATCTCCAAATGGAATTTGGCCCTTGGGCTGAAAGTTCTAGAACAGAACCCCAAGTGTGTAAAGTTCTAGAATAGAACCCCAAGGCTAATGTGCCCACTTCACTGGGAGTACTCCCAAATTCAACACAATGGGACATGACTTGTGCACAGGATCATGTTGCGTGATTCTAAAACTTCAACAGATTTAGGATTGTGAGATGCTTACCCTGCTCTGTTTTGCCACGGCGAGAAAATTCACCAGTGCGAAACTGCTTCTTCCCAGAGGCGAGTTTGTGCCGAGAATCGGCCACAACGATAGGGAATGTGACGACTTCAAAGCTGCTCATCTTTGTACTGCCATTCAGTGTCAGGTCCCAAGAGAAAAGGCCAATGCTAGGGGCTCAGCTTCTCAGCAACCCCTCCCCACCCGTTGCCATAGATGCCCCAGCTGTGACATCACCCGCTGTGACTACCAGAAGGAGGAAGCAGTTTTTAACAGAGGGCTGAGGAACCTAGGCCTGGGGACCAAATTCAGCGCCTGAGGTTTCCCCAGAGGTCCTTGCCCTGCTTCCCAGGGCCCCAGCCAAAAATCGTCAGGTGGGGTCTTGTGCAATTTCCCCCACCTCCTTTTTAAAGGTTGAAGCGCCTCTTCTCAGGTTTAGTTATTGGCACTAAAAACTTTAAGCTTCAGTAGGCTGGTGTTTTTGGGTTGTGCTCTCTCCTCCTTCCCCCCAGGGGTACCTTTCCTCTGGAGGAAACTGTTTGGCAGGGCCAACATGAGACAAGGTTTTTTTTTTCCGGCCATTGTTGGGCTGTCACGTCATCCAAATGTTGTTGCATTTTGACATGGCATGTTTGGTCTTTAGAAACCACAAACAGAAACAATGGGCTGCTCTGTGCTTTCTCGGAGCCACAAAGGCTTGTTGTGTCATCCAAGCCCAGAAAACACAGCTCAGATGGTACCAAGGCCAGAACCGGAGGGTGGCTTGGCAAGGATGGGCTACTGCTGGCCTTGCCGGGTGGCTAGCCAGGGAGTACCTGACAGCTGCCCATTTGGCAACTGCAGAAACATCCCTGCTTGGACCACCTCCGGCCCTCAAGGACTTCTTTGAAATCAATCAGTCAAACAAACCAACCCCTTTAGACAGCTAAAACACTGATTATTACAATACTGGAAGGCTAAACACCTTCTCTAATGCAATGGATTGAGGACATTACAAAGGTTCTAATATTTGAATGGGTAGCATATAGATGGACACTTATGCGGATATTGGTCCAGTCTTGTGGAAACACGCATTATAGCTGGAGACCTGTATGCATTTCATATAAAGCTATGTATGTATATTTTTTTTCAAATGGAGACAATTCATGTGCCTGTGGGCATCCCACTGGGGACTACTGAGTTAGTTTGTCAATTTGGAAAAACTTATTTCTTAACACTTTTTCAAAAGTGGCCAAGAGATCTTAAAATGACCAGATATCAAGATCCGTGATGCAATGTAACAATGTTGGGAAGCATCCTGCAAGCAAAGAAAGGAGCATGTAGTACAATGTATTTAAGGTGTGCAAGAAACAAAAGCTCTTGTTTCTTAGATTTCATTACTGGATAAAATTGTTTATGGAGTCCATGCCCTGCATATTATACACCAAAGCACTGCTTATGACACCTTCATGCATTTCTCAGCCTGAGTTAACATTTCTGGGGGAAAACATTTCCCACCCATTCTCTTTTAGAAGAAACCACGTTTGTCCACCTTGGGTCTGGCTTTTGCAACTCCTGGCAAGAAGTAGAAAACCATATTCTCATTTGAGGGGGTCTTTGCAAGGCTTGCATTGTAGAAGACTGAGAGGAATCTCATGTTGTCTATTTGAATTTTCTAGTTCATAAATATGTAGAATTGAATTCCAAGGCAGAAGTGGCCTTGGACAATAGAACTGCCAAACTATTGTGAGTCTTGATTTTGATTTTTACAATATGCTGTTGTTTTATTATTTCATTGTGTTGCATTACTATTGTATTTTTACTCTTTTGGTAGCCATCCTGGAAATGCCAGATGGCATTGGATAGATATTCTACAGAGAAATAATGGGTTTATTTATGTTACAACATGCATATGCCAACTTTCTGCTCAAAATAGGACACCCACAGGGGCTAATAACTGTGGGGAGGGTGTAAGCAGGGAAAGAGACATTAAAATGTATCAATATCAAATGCAACAAAATAATGATAAACATAATAAAATAATCCAACAATACAAAAAGATAACCAAACAATAAGCAGAACAGAGCTAACCCTATATCTTAGCACACTCTCCCCACTTTTTGGAACAAAAAGGCTTTTTCAGAGTGCTGGAAGGCTGTGAATAAGTAGGTAGGTGAAAACTCCAGGGGATTTGAGCCAGGAGGACATCCAAAAGGACTAGTCCTCAGTGTGTCTGCATGACGTCTTTCTGTATCCTAGTACATGTAAAGGTTTGCTAGTAGTGTTTCTTTCTGAGATTTAGTGGGAAGAAGCATAGCTCAGTGATAACAGCATATGCACTTCACAAAGAAATCCCAGTTCAGTCTCTGGCATCATAAAGCAATTCTCTGAAAACTTGGAGAACTTCTCCCAGCTAGTGTAGACTAGGCTTTTCCAAGATGGTTCCCTCCAGGTGCCATGTGGATGGGATGACGCTGCAGACCAAGGCTAGGCAACAGTATTCCCCCTCCCCCCCAAAAAATTATAGACCACGACTCCCACAACTCCATGGCCATTGGCCGTGTCAGCTGGGCCTGATGGGAACTGTAGTCCAAAAATCTAGATGTTGCCTTTTCCTTGGTTTGGGTAACATTTGTGCTGTGCCAAATTTTTCTTCCACTTTTTCGACCATTCTCATTCAGTCTGATGGAAAAGAAATCTTTTGAAAAGAAATTCAGTGTGGTGGAACATTTCCGAGCAATTGAGCTTTCTGAGGTTCTTGTGCTTGCCTTACCTGAGAAAAGGGAGAAGAGTCTCTGCAAGTGCTCAGTTTTTCATTCTAATTATCTGTCCGGCAGTCTGTAGCCTCCTCCGCTTTGCACACTTCAATTAAAGCCCAGCGTGAGACATCGTGAAGTTATTCCTCCCACAGGGCTTTTTTCAGATCAGGAAGTGCAGATGACTTGAGAGGATGCAGAGTGATGGAGAGATGTGTAATAGGAAGGAAACACACTCACAGCACCCTGGGCAGCCTCACAGTGAACAGGTAAGCTCAAAAACGCCAGATAAACAGATTGTAATACAAGTGGAGAATGAAGCAAAACAAAGGGAGCCCCCGATGGAAGGGCAGGAAAACTTTCAGGAATTTGGATTATTGATTTAGGCACAGCACCAGTTCTACCTCTTTCCTGGAGCTGAACCCTTTGTTGACCTCACACCTGCACTGCGGTGGCTGCAAACTGGAAGCCATCTGGCTAACACAGTTGCTGCTGCAGCTGCTGCTTGCAGTGGGAGCTCAAAAGAACCAAAACCCCTGATGTGAAAAGAAATTGTGCTGTCATCACTGTGAGAAACTTTTCTTCCTGGATAAATTAGGTGAAATTGCCCCCCTCTCCCATCAGCCCACTTTCATTGCCCATGAAATGGTGCACAATTTTGAGGCCATTTATGGACAGCTCTAGAGAGTGCTGCAATTGAAGGCTCAAGGATCGGACGCATTAAGAAGCCTCCTCTGTTCCTCGGGTAAAAGTCCAAAATACCTGGTTGAAGTTTCATCACAGGGAGCCAGAGGCTAGGGGCCGGTCACCTGGCAAGTAGGGAATCTCTGTGGTTTGCAACGCATCATGGCTCGATGACAGCACTTTCCTTGCCGAGAAGAGGCATGGGTTCTGTACAGATGTGAAAGAAGTACTGCAGGTTTTTTTGGAGACAGAGACAGACGGAGCTGGGACTTGGCTGAAGTCCCTTTGGGGGCAGGTGCTTTCTGGGAGGACCAGATGCCTGCAGTTGTGCCGCTTGCTTTTGGGGTGTGTTCCCAAACTCCTCTGCTTGCAAGGTAGCAAACAGGAATCACAAGAACCACGTGAGCCTCTGGTATGCCCTCATCTGAAGGGAGCTATCCCATATTTTTCCTGACTTGCACCAGCAGTGGCTGTTCACTACTTGGGGGAACATCTCAGTTTACTGTCAGGGGAGAACCTCTCAGTGTACCAACACAGCCATTAGCTCGACAGCACGCGGGTCCTCTGAAAGGGCATGAAGGAGGAGTCCATCTTTTGGGGCACTCAACCCTGTTTATTTGAAGATGGCGGGTTCTAAGCAATGGAACAATATGCATGGCAGGCATCAGGCTCTTTAAGGACTCGGCTCTCTGACAGCTTCACTCCCTCCTTTCTGACATTCCACAGTTCTGGAGTCTGCAGGATCCTCAGGACGACTTCCTCGAAGGCGCTTTGCACTCCGTCCTTCATTTTAGCGCTGGCCTCTAAGGAGAAACAAAACAGTGAGAAACTGTCTTCCTTTGACATAAACACTGAGCCAGTTTTCCCCAGCCTGGTGCTCTACAGGACTATATCTCCCATCAGCCCCAGCCTGCAGCCCAGTCATTGAGGGTGATGGGGACTGACGTCTAAAACACAGGAAGGCAACAGGGTAGGGAAGACCACCTGAAATGAGTTGGCAGCCGCTGAAGCAAAGTAGCAACTGAGTCACTGCATGGTGTTCGTAAAAAAACTAAATTGAAAATGGATGCAGCAGGCAGGAGCCCTGAGGATCAACTGCAGAGCAGCAGGCTTTGGGAAGCAGAGAGCCAGGGCTGAACTGGCTGGGGTGGGGGGATGCTGTGGTTGTAGCTGAGCCACCTGACCTGTTTTCTCAGGTCACCCAGGCCTTGTACCACTTTTGACTTCAGGCGGAGGCTCTGATTATAGAATGCTCCTCCATCAAAAGTTGTAATCATAAAAAATCTCTCTGAGCACGGAAAGCTAGCATGTCAGGCAGATGACTAATGGGCGATCTTAGGAGTCTATTGAGCCTTCTCTCCTGTGAGCTCTCGCCTGCCACCACATGCAGGTTTACCCCCTCCTTGCAGGCCCATCCCAGGGGCTGAATTCCCTTTCAGGAAATCTCCTAGGGCCATGGTGCAAGGTTACCAGTAATTCAGGCAAACTGAAACAGTGCCAAAATACCAACATACTATAGCTGAAAGCTCTTATTGCCAGAGCCAAGCCTCAGAGAAAGCATTTCAGCCTTTTGAAATGGGAGGGAAACAGTGCAAAAGCTGGGAATTCACCAAATGATTGGTGTTTGGAGGAAGGGGCATGGTGCCAAAGGAAGGAAGGACTGCAGTTATCTGGGGAAGGCCAGGTGGGGACCCCAGGTGGGCTAGATTCAGACTATGGAATTGAGGTTCAACCCTCTTGACCTACAGAATGAATGGGAAATTATATTCTGTAAAATAACATGAAGGGTTGGTTATCTGTCTCGGTTCTCTAACAACAAATACCTATTTAAAGGATCCTGAGCATTTTACTCTTAATGAACATAGCAATTGCATCATTTTCTGATTCTTTTTTGATGGATTCATTCCGAAATACACCACATCAGCCTTCTCCACTGTGGTGTCCTCCAGATGTGGGCCATGCTAACTGGAGAAGGTGGAAGTTGCAATCAAACATATCCAGAGGGCCCCAAGTTGGGAAATACACACCAATAATGCAAAGGAAACACTTGGAAAGATTAACTGAGAAATGAGAGTTTAAGGATTCGTTTTCTTTTACTATCTGCAGTTCTGATGTGATGATTTTTTTTTTTTAAAGCTTTATGTGTAGGAAAATTAGGCACAACCACAGAGGTACTGTTTTTCCTTCATTATAGCTATACAAAATAACATCGGTTAATGTAAAGTGCAGAGATCTCCAAGAGGCCCTTTTCAAAAAAGAAAGCATAAATTCATTTCTGCGTGGCTCAAAATGTAGGGCAGCACAGTGGGAGGTGTGTGGTCCTCCAGATATTGAGCTGATCTCGGTTCAGCCTTTCCACCATACCTAATGGTGAGGAATGATGGTAGTTGCAGTTCAAGACTGTCTGGAGGGATGCAATCTGCAGTCCAGCATAATCTGTGGGGACCTTCCTGCAATGAGGGGTTCATGGGAGGCACATGTAGGCCACTCATTTGTGAGAACTGCTCATTCTGGGAAATCCATTGCCCCTGTGAATGTCCTTACTCTTTCCTTGAGTTTGCCATTAAAAAAAAAATCTCTCTGGTCCTTTGATTTTGAACGTTCAGTCCAATCTATAGAAACGAATATTTTTCATGTTGGCGTGTACAAACTCACACACTACATGAAAACACACAGAAAGAGACAGATGGTGCTTTTCTTAGCTTGGACGTGACAGAGCCATCACTTGCCCTTTCTACATGCTAAGCAGCTGTTCAGGACATGCGAACGGGGCTGGTTCGAAAAGAAGGAAGGCATTCTTCTCCACTGTTTCATCCCTGGCATACCAACTGGCCCTTTTCTGGATATTTCTCACGTACCTACAAAGAGCATGGAGTGTTTCCGAGCGAAGTGCAAGCCTTCCCTTCTGTCTACCTCACGATCAGGCTGTAGATAGGAAAAGAACACTATCGGGTCACAAGGGCAGGACCAGACACATAAAAGCATACTTTACATCCGACTTCTCCAAGCTAGGCTCCTGCACAGTATTCGGACTGCAGGACCTGTCATGGCTACTGTCAGGGAGGGTGTGGGTTGTGGTCCAAAGCATTTGGGGAGCTCCAGCTTGGGGAATGTGGCTGGATTCCTTCTGAATTGGCAGAGAGCCTTCTTGATCTGCCCTTCCCAAGCAGGTGAGCAGTGAGATGAGCGAGGAGGAGGAGGACGAGGTGGCAGTTGTGCAGCACTGCTTCTCTGGGCAGTGGTGTGCATTTGGGTCAGAGGGGCTGGGCAAGCCAACAGGCAGCTGAAATGGGACCTCAAGCCTGGGGCAGACAAGGATTAAACCTACATCAATATACCATACAGTTCTGTATCCTGGTTAGGATAGCTCATGTTCCTGGCCACACTTCAATTCCTGCTGTGTTTGGCTTGCTGAGATGGAAAGAAGCTGTCAAGCCTGTAGCAAGATCAAGGGTTCTTGGCTCATATTTTTCCTGGCTTGCACGAAGCAATGGCAAGACTGCTGCTGCCCCTGGAACTGCTGCTGCCAGAAACACACAGTGATCTGTGAATGAGCCAAGACAGTCAGCAACAGCTTGGAACTTATTATCTGCACACAGGAGGGCCTGTTATGCAGAGACACCTCGAGGCAGTACTTCTGCCGAGCTTCCAGGAGGGTCACAAAGGACAGAAGACTTGTAGTGTCCCTTTGCTGCCAACTGCCCACTGGAATGTATTTTGGGCTCTATGCTGAAACTCCTTGGAAGCTGACATTCCTGAAGATCCAGAATTAAAGACTGTTTAAACTGGAGGGCTATCCCACTGCATAAAGATGAAGTTTTAGATTGAGTAAATGTGTACAGCCCCCACCTTCCACTTTAAGAATCGCTTTGAGACTCCAAAAAAGGGAATGCTCAATTGATAAACAGGCAAGCCAGTCAGTGCCATGCATCACTCCTTACCAAGAAAGGGAGAAGTGGCTTCTTGATTGGTCAGCCCTTGTGTCAATCAATGCCACACAAAACCAGCAGCTGCTGATGACCAGAAATGTTTTCCTCTGAGTCTGATCCCAGGGACAAAGGTATATATTTGCCTAACCTGAGCTCAAATTCCATTTCTATGCACCCATATTGCAGGTTGGATGAGTGGCACCATGAGGAATTTTGGATGTGTCATGGTGAAACCTCTAGGGAGCAAGTCCTTACATTTCCCCTTGTGCAACTGAGAGCCTATTCTGGTTCTGAGGTGGCACTAAAACCAAGAGATGCAGAGCAAGGAAAAAGCTGTAAAAGGCAGTGGAAAACTGGGTGAGCAGCCCTTTCTTTGCTCTCTGGTCTGCTTTTTTCTTCTTGGAATGAGGAGCCCTGGAGCCACAGCGATTCACAAAACAAGCAGCACAGCAAACAAGAGACTCTCTTGTTGCTAGCTTCAGAGGCAGACTAAGAGATAGTCCATTATTCAGCAAGAGCAGGAGGGAGATGGAGAAACCCAGGCCAGGAAGCTGAGCTACAGAAGCAGCTGGGGCCTCTGGCGAAGTGCAGGAGGTGGGCAACAACAGGAACACACAACTGGCAGGCCTTTGCAGGCTGGGGCAAGACTCTTGAATAATACAGAGTGATTACAGCCAGCTGTTGGAGTTCCTTCTGCTTCTCACCGCTACTGCAGCCTGCGCTCTGGCTGCCCAGAGGCTGCATTAACTATCGGTAGACATCAGATGCAGGCAGTATCTTGATCAGGGGGTTCACAGCCAAGATACTTGGAGGACCACTTCTAGGCCACATTGCATTAATCACGGGAAAGTGGTCCTCTTCCAATTTTAGCTCGCTTCACAGGAAATCAATTTCATGTAATTCATTCTTGATTAAGGCCACCGAGTCTTGCCATTAGCACGAGAGGCTGACTGGCGTAGCGGCTGAAGCATTGGCTTGGGACTCAGGAGAGCTGGGTTCCAGCGCCCTCTTGGCTAGAAAGCTCCCAGTCACTGGCTCCCAACCTCCTCCAACCCACAGGATTGCTGTGCAGATAAAATGGAAAGGAGGGGGACCAAATGAGTTGTCTTGGGTTCCTTGCAAGAGGAAAAAAGTTGGGATATAAAAATAAATGAAATTAAATGTATATTCTCTGGACCCCAAAGCCCTCTCTATCTGAAGCCCCCTCTATTTTATTTTAAAATCAATTTATAGACTGTTCACTATGTCTAAAAATATGTCCTGAAGAGGCTGACAACATAAACATTTAAAAAACAGAATACCCATCGCCGTTAAAATATTTTCATCCTCCTAACTTGGGTATTCCTACCCCACAGCTTTCTCTGACTGCGTCCTGGCAAACATGGCGGAAAGAAGCTGCTGTGGCTTCTTCCCCTCCACTGTGTGCCCCACACATGCCACATGACTGGTCTAATTACCCTTGCAGGGTGTGGCATCCCATGTCACTTGAGCCCAGAGAGGTATGAGGCTTCAGAACCGCCTAGAGTCCACCCACGCCCTGCTGTAGGCTTCTGGGGTGCTTTCAAAGTTGCCCCCTGCCATGCACCTTGCTGGATTCAGATGACATGGGAAGCTGCAGGGGCATTTAGGCAAATCAACACATGCAGGCACGGGGAAGATAAGCCCCGTCTTGCCTCTATGCACAACTGCAGGCTTCTGCACTGCCACCTTTCAGGTCTTTCCTCTTCCCACCTTCCTGCTTTTCCTCTTTGCACAGCCACAAAACTCTCTCCGCTCATGTCTGTGCCTGTGTCCCCATTGCAGAGATCTCGGCACCTCTGCCCTTAAGCTGTGCCCATCAGTTTCCTCCCGGAGAGAAGGAGCAAGAAAAGCACAGGAACTCAGCCTTCCCAATGGCAGGGACACATCAAAACAGGCAAAGAGAAAGCAGGGGCTTTACCCAGAAGGATCTCGTATTCTAGCTCCTGTTAGCTTACTCCAAGCCCTGCCTTTATATGTAAGAAATAAAATAGCAAGACAGTGGTTAAATAAGAGCATGGGAAAACTAGCTCCAAGTCCTTATGCCAGGGTTGCTGAATCCTTTTCAGCCCAAAGGCTGCATTCCATTCCAGGGAAGCTTGGGCAGGGGGGTGGGGGGGCTCTATTTTAATGGCAGCCAGAGCCAAAATAAAGGAAATGCCAGACTATTTTAGCTTAAGCCAGTAATTAAAACTCAGGAGAGGCATTTCAAGCTTTTCAAATGGGGAAAGAAATGCACAAGAGCTGAGTAATCACCCAGTAATCAGTGGCTGGGGGAAAGGAGTGCTCCCAGATGGAGGAGGCATGGCCACTGGGGGGACCTCAGAGGTCTTCATTAAGATGCAGGCCAGATCTTGCCTGGCATTCACCTCACTGCAAGAACTGAATTAAACATGAATGTTACAAGGTTAAGAGTGGCGCTCAAGGGCTCGCTCAGCAGGGTGGTCTGCGGAGGCTGGACTCTGCAGCGCAGAAGAAAGGAAGGAAGAGCAAGTGAATGAGGCTCCGTCTAGGAGGCCACGAGGCCATCCGACACAGGCTGGGCCATGAGCAGCACCACCCTCTAAGAAGCCAGGAATGTCCCCACCCCCAGCCCACACACGGCTCCTTGGCTTGCTCAGGGCTCAGACTCTGACCCCCAACTCACCTCATCGATTTTGTTGCCCACCAGCATCTTCACCACGTTTTTCCTTGTGTACATCTCCAGCTCCTGTAGCCAGCTGTCCAGTCCCAGAAAAGAGTCTCTCCTGGTGACATCATACACTGTATGGGAGGCATAGAACAGAACAAATCAGCCCTCCTTCACCAAGATGATGATGATGATTGACAGTACATGTACATCCCACCTTTCTTCCTCTTGCAAGGAACTCAAGGTGGTCTGCAAGGTTCTCCCCCTCTCCATTTGATCCTCACAACAACAACCCTGTGACATCGCTTAGGCTGAGTGTGAGTGACTGGACTCACCCAGTAAGTTTAATGGCTGAGTGGGCCCCACCCAGTTCAGGACCCTTAACCACCACACCACACTGGCACTTGAACAAAAATATGACGTGTGGTTCACACAGAAGAGTATTTTAGGAGGGCTAGAAGGAGAAGAGGTTGCCCCATACTTCCGCCCAGGTGATCTGATGGAGCTGGGCTGGACGATCCCATCAATGACAGTTTGGGAGCTTTTGTGTTCCTCCAGATCCTCACTTGAAAGTCTCCCAACCTTTCCATTCTCTTTCCCCATATGCTTCCCCCACACCCCCGCACCAAGGTGGAACCTTCACATAGCTGGAAACTTCTTGTGTATAAGTATAACAAGATTGTAGATTGCTGTAGAGCATATCTAAGGAACAACATCAAAAGTTCACAATGTGGTCACCAGATGCTACACTCTGCCTAATTCTACTCCAGGTGTGACAGGAAAATATGGGACCTTTGTCAATCATTGCTTTTAAATCAGGAATAGCCATTTAAAAATTCTTCCAGAATTTCGGGACCTTTCCTTAGGAGCTGTTCCTTACAGGCCAGGCAGAGACTGCCTGCTCCTTAAGTTGCACTTCCCCTGTGGCCATAGCACAGTGTTCAGAGCACTCAGAGGCCAGCACTTTGTACCTGGGAAAATATACTCCTGCCCACGGGTGCATCCGGTGTAATTGTTACCTGCTGTGTGGAATACGGCCTTGTGAAAGTCATTCATGCGCATGCCTATCTCCTGCAAAGAGCCTTCCGCCACAGAACTTTAACCTGGCATGACTGAATTGCTTTACAGAACTTCTGAAAACACGTTCTGTTCCTTAGGCTGGAACTCAGGGGACATAATTGCGGCAAAGTCAAACTGAATTTGGGGGCTCAGTCTGATTAGGAAAAAGGCCCTGAAACTTGAAAGGCTATTTACATTAGGCCTAACTCAACGTCAAATGGAATGCCTTAGAGAAGCCTAACTGAGAGCCTCACGCTTCTACAACTGAATTATTTTTTTCCCCAAGAAGTTCATGGCTGTCTGCCAACTATCAACTTAGTGGCGTGGGAGCTCAACTTTACTGTTGCTCAAATCTGCCCAGGCCAGCTGAGAAGAAAAGACTGTAAACTTCCATGTACCTCTGCCTTAATGCATTGACTTCAGAACTGTGCTAATTACGGTCCTGCTATTGCAGCTACCTACCTAAAATTACACCTTGAGCGCCCCGGTAATAGCTAGGAGTCAGTGTTCGAAATCGCTCCTGCCCTGCTGTGTCCTATGAAAAGAAAATGAAGGAATGTTGAACAAAAAAACACTTAAAACTCTGCGGCGCAGTGTTTCTGAGGACCTGGATTGCTTTCTGTGTGCATGTCCCAGCACAGTGCAAGTTTTTAAGTGGGCAGAGGGCACGGGATGGGCAAAACAGGATGGACCGCTCAGCTTCCTTCAGCTCCGGGCTGCAGCCACGTGGTGGGTGGGGCCAAGGGCAAAAGGGGTGGAGCCAAAAATGAAAGCCCAGTGCAGTTTGAAGCACTTGCTGCCTTAAGAGAAGCCTTAGAAATGGGCCAGGGATGGTGGGAGAGAAATTGCACAAAAACTGAGAAACCACCAAATAATTAATTGGTGGCTGGGATAAAGGGGGTGGGATCAGAAACAGGAGGCTTGGCAACCAGGGACAACTCCAGAGGGCCCTGTTTGACCCCCTGATTTGAGGTTCTGCACTTCTGCCCTAGAGTTAGAATTACTGTCACAATACCATAAACGGCAGTTATACTTTTTAAGTACGCTAAGTATCATCCTAAATATTTGTTTTACAAACTTCAATTTGATTGAAAGATTTTCTAAGTGCAATAGGACATACAAAATTACATGATAGCAAGTGGCATATTTGAAGAAAAGGGAATCAAGGTAACGGTGGCTTGTGAGCTATCGTACATGATTTGTAAGCCACTTAAAATGTTTGCTTACCTTCAGCCCTGTCAAAAATAAATTAACTTGCTCAGCCCTGTACAAATAGCCAACTCAATTCTCCAAGTGTGGTCACTTCCGCAGCCAAATGGCAACATCCAGGAACAGCGAAGAAGTGCAAGCACTTGGAAAATGCGCTGGTGGGGGAGGCAGGATCCTGAGAAGAGAAGTAAGAATAGCCCAGCTGGAACTGACTGCGCTCAACAGCCACAGAGTACCAAGTGCCTGGGGAGGCGGGCTGGGGAGAATGGAATGGAGTGGTCTAGGAGGGGGCATGGCTGGCCTTCCAGATGGCTCCGTTCTGGAATCTGTTTGCTATAGAGGGCACACTGCAGATTAAAACAGTAGAAGATGCCTTCCTGTGCTTCTGATCTGGGTATAATACTCATACTATTCTTCTGTGTAGGACAGGGCAGGAAGTAGATTTCCAGATGTTTTATACTTTAGCTTCTAGCATTTCTGGCCACTGGGATGGCTGCAGTTTCTCCTGCAACACTATGATGGAAAACACACCTGGTGAAATTCTCCGTGTTGAAGAAACAGTGAAGGAGCTGAGGCCCAGGCCTCTCCTGGCTGGGCCACCCAATACCATATTCAGAGCCAGCAAAACAGCTTCTTCTCAGTGACGTTTCTAGTTCCTCCCAGCCCCTTGCACAGCATGGTCAGAAGGGCTTTCAGCTACTTTAAAATCAACCGGTGCTTTCACAATCATTCATTAGTTTAAACTGGGCTTCTCCTACTTGGTGCCTGCCAGATGTTTTGGGCCTCAGCTCCTCCAACTGGCTGAGAGTTATAGTGGCAGTCCAATACATCTGGAAGGTACCAGGTTGGGAAAACTGGGTTCCACAGCACGAGAGAGCAGGTCCAGCTGCCTTCAATGGAGGGGGAACCGTGGGCACTATGCAACGATCCAGGGGGAATGGTAGAGGTCAAAGCATAAATACATACAAATAAAGGCAAGAGAGAGAAAGAGAGAAGAGGGATGGGGAACAGGCTCCCGGTCATGCCCCCTTTGGGACCTCGCAGGATTGTTGTTGTGAGGATAAGACTGAGAGGAGGAGGGAATTATGTAGCCACCTTGATTTCCTTGGCAGGGAAAAAAGGTAGGATATGAATATAACATACATACAAAAAAGCAGGCATACTTCTAGCAGAAAACTGACTGCAGAAACATACTTTGCCCACTTTGGCCACACATGGACTGGCTCCACACCCCAGAATAAATTTCCATGCTGGTTTCCAGGAATCAGTTTTGCACAGCACCAATTGGCTAGCTTTTGGGTCAATCTCAGCAGCTACCTTTTTTTCCCCTTCTCAGGACATTGTCTTCTAACATTTTAAACTCAGGATTTTTTAAAAGAAGCACCCAATGTCTGAACAGAAGCAAGCCCACAACATGATTGACATTCGTAGAAAACAAGAGAACAGCTGCTGACAACCAAATCAAAGGGGACAGTGGGCCAGAAGCATGTTTGGAGGGTCAGTGTGGAATCTGGAGGCTACATGTGTGTCTGTTCATGAGTAGCAGCTGGAAAAATCAGAACATATAGCGTTCCCTTTTTGAAAATGTGTCTGCAAGCAGCTCTAGTGGCATCTTGGGAAAAATCTCTCTCTAAGTGCACAGGGAATAAAGGATACTGTCTTTGCATACACAGCTGTTGCTGTCACTTTTTGGCTTCTTGGAAAGAGATCATTCTCCGGGGTCAGCACCAGGGTGTGACAGGAAGACAGACGCTGCTTACCCATATTGCTAGCTGCAGAGGAAGGTCACCAATTACCATCTTCTTCACTTTAAAATCAACACCTGGCAGGCAGAGAAACATACAGGAGTCAGAGCAGATCCACTCATTTTTGGATAGGACTCCCAGTGCCTGCGACATAACATAACAATTCAAAAGGTAACACTTTCCCCCTATCCCTCATCTCTTTGCTGAAAAACGCTGCTCTAGGTGTACGTGGGCTGAGCAAGGTACTGGTTAAAGGCACACAGAAGAGGCATGGCAGAATGACAAGGGGGAGGTGTGTGTGAACCTGAACTGCACCTGAGAGTTTATCAAAAATATTTCTGTCCTGCCTTTTCAAAGCATATGTAAAAGGTAGCCACACAAATCTAATTCAGGTTGAAAAATGAAATAAACACACTACAAACATAATTGTATATATGTCTTAGCAAAAGCAAGTCCTATTGAGCTGATCCCAGACTAGAAACATAGAAACTGAGCGAGTCAGAAGGGACCTCCCAGGCCATCTAGTCTGACCCCGGCTCCAGCTGGCTCCACTCAGGACATGCCTACCATGTGCATGCCCAGCCTCTCCTTAAACACCCTCACAGATGGGGCTTCAACCCCTCCTGTGGAAGCCCATTCCATGCCCTAGGGGTCCTAACCGTCAGGAAGTACTTCCTGGCATCCACCTTGAACCTTGGTTCCCTGAGCTTGGCTCCATTGCAACTCATCCTGCCCTCCAACACCGGGAGGGAAAGATCACGACTGGCACACATAGGATTGTGAAATGCGGCAGTCGGAGTCTCAGACACCAGGCTTGCCCAGCCTAGTGCTCTCCAAGTTTATTGGGCTAGAACCCCCATTGCGCCCCCAAGCATGGCCACTGGTCACCAGATAAAGTAGCCCCAGGCAGAGCAGGTCAGATTTAGGACCTTTCCTTTCCTTGGCCGACAACCCAGAAATGGGTCCCTGATGACAGACTTAACAAGCAAGTTAAGACTGCCTTTGGGAGAAGATTATCCTTAAGATTTCCACCCAAATATATTTTAAAACTAATAAAATAAAACCTTTATTTAATCTTCATTACAGTTTCATAAACACAATTTAATCTGGAGAATTAGTTCCCAATGAAGAACTGAAATCATTTTAACACTAACATGACATTACAACGAACTAAATGCCTTAGATTTTATTATTTCTGAAAAACACATTGTTAACACATCATGTTGTGCAATAACTTAAAACATAGGCTTCAGAAGACATTACAACTTCATCCAAACTTCGAAACCAAACTATACCTAAGAAATGTGTTGTTTTTGATCCTACCAAAGGTCTCGAGCAAGGCCATTCCAGGGCTTGGGTGCCATCACTGTGAAGGGCATGTAATTAATTCCTCATCGGACAGACAAAGGACGCTCAGAGCAGCGCCTTGGCCGATTACCTCATGACGGGTGCCATCCAACGTGACAGCCAATAACTGAACTCAGGGAGTTACGGGCCCTCCAAAACAAAGGAGAGGGTGAGGCATCTTTGGGATGTCTCATAACCAGGTGGAACCTTGGTTTTTCCTCACCCCCAGAATGCCTGCGCAACCGCCCCCCCCCACACACTGTGGCTCCCAAGTCACACTGGCAACTTTGGAGCTGCAGCTGGTAAGGAAGGAACCACGTGCAGTGGGGACACTGGTGGAAAAGTGCTCTGAGGCTGGTGTCTTGGCTCCGGCCTCCGAATGCATTGTCCAGGTTGGAACTGACCTATCCGATGGTAACCTAGGCAGCCTCTGGTGGCCACAGCATTGATTAAATGGTCAAGACCATACAGGAGAAGGTGACTTCGTACCTATTTCACATAAGTAGTTGGGTGGCACAAGGGATCTTCAGTCTGCTATTGGATGTGTGATTAGAACAATCTCCTGTACTGGGGGAGAGCAGTCAACAGTGTGCAGAACCGAGCAGGGCCTCATCTGTAGCCAAAATCTGATCAGCACTGGAGGCGGCTTAATGCTAGCAGGCGAAACTTTGTTTGAGCCTGCCTGTCTAAACAAGGAACTCAGGCAGTTGTTTTGGGTGGTGGCTTATTCCAGGGCGTCACAGCAAAATCACAGACACACGCTCCTGTCTGAATGTTCATCTGCTTGTGTGGCATGGATCAGTTGGTGTGTGGATGTCATTGGGAATGTGGTGGAAAACTACATGAACTGCCCTGAGTTTCTAAACGAACAGGATAGAAGTGCAAAAAGGAAGAGAACTGCTGTTGTTCTAAGCAGACCCTTCCAAGGGAGAAGCTTTTAAACAGGCATGAGGAACTTGTGGCCCTCCAATGTTTTGGCCTACAACTTCCATCACTTGCATGCTAGGCAATGCTGCTGAGAGGTGATGGGACTTGTAGGCCAAAACAGCTTGTGGTACAGAAGTTGCCTACCCCCGTTCTAACATGAGCAGCCTAACTGGAAATCATGCCAAGTGAGTGAAAACACTTCCTCATCATCCCAGTTCTCTTCATGTCCGTTCCCAGGGCAGAGAAGCACAGCCTCTGGCGTTAAACTGGCCCAAGGTAAGTTGTGCCAGGAGAAAGCATGATGAATCAGGGAAAGTCAAGAGGCCAGGGTGAGTGATTCAAGGAGAATTTCAAAGATAGAGGCAGCCAGCAGTGCTCACCAATGGTTGGGTTGAGGTATGGCTCAAACTGGTCTTCAGTAAATCTGAGTAGGAGGCTGCAGGAGGAGAGAAAGGGACACGCTGTACGGCAAGGCCCCTGGAAGGGCTCTTTCTCTCTGGAGAGTCACCTCCAGGCTTCCTCCCACTCTACAACCCCTCCCCACCTTTCCACGCACCTGGATTTCCCCACTGCACTGTCTCCAACCAATAGAAGCTTCAAGGTGGGTAGTGACGCTGCATCCTCTCGTGCCATGGTGAGCCCTATACCAGAAGTACTGCAGAGTTTGGCAGAAGGAAAACAAGGGTGCCACACCTAGCGTAAGAGCCAGAAACACTGGAAGGAAGAGAGGAGGAGTCAGAAACTGTTTCTGCACTACCAGCTCCTCCAGCAGCAAGGAACAAATTATGGTCTGGATAGGTGGAGAACTGCACTGTGGGGAAATTACTTTGCAGGAATGATCGGGAGTTGGTGGAGAGAGAAATGTTTCCTCTCTTTCCTGACATATAGTTTTCAGACAGTGATTAGTTTCTAAAAAAATAAAATAAAGAGATATTGGGACTTGTGCTCCTATTCTGAAAAATGGGTCCTGGCTGGTAATCAGGGGTGAGGGAGAAACATTCTGCACATGCTCAAAATGTAAAATCAGAATTAGTTTCAGGGTTGACCCTTGGCTCATTTTTACATGCAAAATGTTGGGGGGAGACAAACCCCAAACAACAGATTGGTAATATCCACCTTAGAATTGAGGGTAGGTATTTGTGCTTTATGCTTTGCCCCCAAACCTAGTTTTGCTATCAAGGTTTGGTCTGGATCATGTGTAAGGTCAGCAGAGAGAGGCAGCTGGGGAAGTCTAAGCATAGCACAGCCTTCTCAGACTTCAGGGCTGGGACATGTGTGGCCCTTCAGATGTTTTGGCCAACAAGTCCTATCATCCCTTGCCATTTGACTAAGTAGACTACGGCTGCCAGGCATGGTAGGCTCAAACATCCAGAATGCCACAAGTTGCCCATTCTGATGCATTCCCCCATGCTTTAGACTATAGCTCCTATCATTCTCAGCCAGCACAGCCATTGCAGGCTGAGGCTGATGGGAGCTGCAGTCCAACACACAGAGAACACACCAGGTTAGGGGAGGCTGCTGTAGTGTTTCTTCTGTTCTGAACTCCTGAAGATGACATACGCACAGTAGTTTTCTTCCTTTATAAAGAGGTCTGGTGCATGTGTTCTCTGGAGCCCAGAGGACTACAGAATTTACTCCTAGGTAAGGGTGCTGTAGGATTGCATTTTTAAGCATAGGTTTCCCCAACCTAGCACTTTCCAGATGTGTTGGATTACAACTCCCATGCTGGCTGGGGATGATGGGGTAGCAGTTCAGCACATTTAGAAGGCGCCTGGTTGTGGAAGGCTTACCAACATTTGCCAGCAAATGCCACGGAGATCAACTGCTCTCCACAGAGGGAGTGAACAAAATCCTGCGGTTTGTACTTGATCGGTTATTAGAAAGACGCACTAATATCCACTTTGAAACGGCTCTCGGACAACTACCGTTCTCGTATGTGACGCGAGGAGGCAGGAGAAAGAGAGAGAGACGCTCACAGAGCGTGCTTATAAAACGGTCTGAGTCGAGGGAGAAGGTGGGATCCGAAGCAGCGGAAGGTCACTGCGAAGGTCCAATTTGGAGCCAGGCCCCTTTCAACCACCCATCGCCGGCGCTAAATGTCCCCTCCAGGCGAAGCTTTGGAGCCTTCAGCCGCACAACACATCCCACCTGCACACACCTGGAATTTGCGTTGCCTGGTGAACTCGATTCCTGGCACCTGTAGCTTTGAAAACGTAAATACAAAGACAAATGAATTCGGGGTGAAAGAGAGCGAGCTCTCTTCTGATCTCTTTGTGCCGCGGGAGGAACGTAATCCTCCCCAACGACTAGGGTGCCAGTCGGGATGAGCTAATCCCTGACCAAATAATCTGGTGCGGTACGGAGGACCTAAGGTTCCGGCAGCCACGGAGAGGTGGTGGCGATCTTTATGGAGGCCAATCTGTCCTGGCCGTGCGCCCAGGGCGCACGATCGGCTCCGTTTCCTCCTGGCCTGGTTGGGAGTTGCCGGCTGCGCACCAGCTGATCGCGGCCCCTCCTATCAGGCAGGGCCCGGGGAAAGGAGCGGGGAGGCAGCCCTGCCCATATCGGCGGGGCGAACGAGCCATGTCAGAGTTCCAGATTTCGGTGGAAGAGCTCAACGACCTGCTGGCCAACGGCAGCGGCTGTTACAGCCTCCCTAGCGCGCACAGCAACGAGGTGGTGCCCCGCATCCACGTGGGCAACGCGTGAGTTTCTCTGCTTCGCCCTCCCCGGAACCGGCCCGGCGTGGGGCGGCAGCAGCCCCCCTTGCTTTCGGCTGGCTGTAGGCCTGCGAACTAGCACGAGAAGCACTGGAGAGGAGGAGGTGGGGATGGATCCGCCTACCCGGGCGGAGGGCTGGAAGGAAGGCGAGGCGTTGCTGGAGGTGGGGGCGAGATACGTTGCGGGAGGATTGGACCCCGACCGCCGTAAGCTGGCCCAGTGACTGTGTTAGAAGCATCCCCCCCCCCCCGTTCACCCTGAAGCATCTCTTCGACTTGAAAAGTCTGTATGTTTCAGAATTAGATTAATTAACCTCTTTCCAAGGCTGGCAGAAAACGTTATATATTCCTTGTCTTATTTGCTCATTGGGATGGGTGGCTGTTCCCATTCTACAGCTTGAGGAACTGAGACCAAGTGAAAACTGACTGGTTTTAGACAGTATGATTAAGCCACATTCTTGGGATGAGTCTGTGTTGCCTTTGAGCTGTGAATTGTTGCTGGAACATGGGTGTTATTAAGCTGTCTGAATTCATCACTGTGCTAACAAGCCATGGCTTGCTAACTATGACTGCACATGATGACAACCCTTTGTTTATCAAGGGATTGTGAACTCTGGGTTGTTCACCATGGTTTGTTATCTCAGCTGGGGTCAGACAGCACAAATTTTGATGACAACCCATGGGTTATCAACAAACCACACTGAACCCTTGAGTGTGGGTTCTCATGTAAGGAAAACCATATTGGATCAGACCAAGGATCGGTCTAGTCCAGCACTCGGTACATACAGTGGCAAACCAGCTGTCCATAGGTTCACTCAAGCAGGGTGGGTCCAAGGTCTCTGCCTGTCCAAGCTCTTCAGCAACTGCTGTGGGCAGGCATGCCACCTCTGTTAAAGGAGGAAGCACATGGCCAGCAAGGCTAGTAGCCAATGATAGCCTTCTCCCTCATGAATCTGTTCAATCCCCTTTTAAAGCTGTCGACATCAGTGACCATCACCATTTCCTGTGGCAGTGAATCTCATAGTTTAACTAAATGTTGTGTGAAGAAATACTTATTTTTACCTGTCCTGAACGTTTCACTAACCTTCATGGGATGATCCTGGGTTTGAGTGTCACAGGAGAGGGAGAAAAATGTCTCCCATATTTCTCTGCACCATAGATTATTTTAAACACCTTGTTCAAAACCAGGGCCTGCTCTGCCATTAGTCAGGGGTGGCAGTCACCTCAGGCAAAAGATGCTACATGTCAAGCAGCCTGCCCTCTGTCCTCTAAGCTAGTCTGTTGCCTTCAAGTGCTGTGGAAGACACTGTCCCTTTCTCTTTATTGAAGAAAGAGTCAACTGTCAGTGGAATTTTGAGTATGCAACAGGAGAGGCCAACATCTTGTTCTCTTCAGGCAGTCTTGCGCCAGCCCCGCCAGACATCCTCTAGCACAACTTCACATGACTGGAGTGGGATTTGAGGTTCTAGGGACATGAGGGCCCAGGGGTTGGGCACAAAGCTTGCCCTGTAGCCTCAGCTTCTGACATGGAAACTCTCTCTCCGCAAGATAGATGTGAGAATATATGAGTCCACTGTATGTTGGAGGGAACCTGTGGCCTTCCTGATGTTGTTGAACTGCAACTCCATGAATCCCTTACTGTCGGAGGGATAGAGATAAATGGAGGTTGGAATGCAACAACAACTAGAGGTCTTCAGGTTCCTCAGCCCTTTTAGACCAAGTCAGCCCTTTGGTATAACTAATTCACTGTTGTTTGTTCTCACTGGCACTGGGACCCTGGAAGAGAGAGCAAAATCTTTCCTGACCTTCTAGGAAGCACAGTCCTGCCTGTTGCATGGAAGTTCCCATCAGTGTAGGACTGACCAAATTGGAGTTTTTCTTTTCTTGCATTTGCAAAGTATATGAGAAAACTTTGTTGGGTAAAATATAAGGTTGGCTTGGCTTCCATCTTGCATCAACATTTTACAAGGCTATAGAAAAACTTCAGAATTCAGGGTGCTCATTTATTAGAATGCTTTTAAACAGGCATTGAGGAAATAGGGTGGGGATAGGCCCTGCTCCTTGTGTTCACATTTTGGGAGATGAAACTTCGAGATTTTTTCAAGCAGCCTTCTCCAGTGGGGATGCGTTGGATGTTCACTCTGAGCATTTCTGTTCAATGGCCATGTTGGCTGAAGCTGATTGGTGCTGAAGTCCAAAACAAATACAGGGTATTAAGCTGTGAAAGGCTGGTTAGTTTGCAGAAGAGTCCTCTTCAAGCCAAGCACTGTGGGATGGCTTTGTCCTGAAGCAACTTGTGGCCCTGCATATGTTTTTGACTACAACTCCCATTATCTTTTATCATTGGCTATGTTGTCTTGGGGCTGTTGGGAGTTGTGGGCCAAAAGATCTGGAGAGCTACAAGTTGCTCATCTCTGCTATAAAGGAAAACCTTCCTAATTCACACCTGCCCTTGTCTACATGCCCAGTTGGTTGGCTTTTTTCCTGGTAAGCAAGAAGAGTTTAGGGGTGCCTTTTCAAACTGTTGGGTATGTTTTATATGGAATCCTATGAAGCTGCCTTATATGGACAATATAGATGGCCTAAGGCAGTAATTTATTTCCTGACTGGTGGTCGCTGTCCCAGGCATCATGCAGAGAGGGGTGTCTTACCTGTGATTTTTGACCTGTGGAGGCTTGGGATTGAACCAGGGACCTGTTGCATGCAGAACATGTGCTCCACCACTGAAGTATGTGCCCTTGCCCACATCTCACATGGATATAATGGGTTGAAGCAACGTGATAACCCACATTCAACTTCTGAGTGTGGGTTGTTAAAACATGCACTGTCATCTTACATGAATCCAACTGAACTAAACAAGGCTTGTTAACCACAGAGAATCCAAAGTTTCTTGTGGAATTGTGAATTGTGCATTGTTTGCAGTTAACAAACCATAGTTTGTTTGAAGTCAACAAACCATGGCTGGGTTCAGACAACAGAACCCATATTTCAACAATTCCTTCTGAACACATCCTCAACCCTTGAGTGTGCATTGTTGTATTGTCTGAATCTAGCCACTGTATAGGAGAGAAAGCATTGTGGCATTTGTTGTTTTGGGTTAGGAACAGATTTAGTGAAACTCAGACCCATTGAAATCACTAGCTTAACCCACTAGCTGAAGTTCCATTGATTTTTATGGATCTAAGTCTATGTGTGACTAAATCTGCACCCAGCCAATTATTTATTTAGGCCACAGCTGAGGAAGTCTTCAGAAAACACCCCAATGCATTTCCACTTGAATTGTTCAGGCTGGATTTCCACATCAGAACAAAAATTTCAAGGTAGTGGAATGGAATGCACCACTTCAGGCTATAGGAGGGGAATATCAGTTTTGAAAACTTCCCTGGTGTTTTAAAAAAATAACGGCTCCAAATTCCTGCAGGCAGAAAATGAAGAAATAGAGACCTGGCTAAAACCTTTCCCCCTTCTATGCTAGGTACTCCCTGGAATAGAGTAACCCCCTTTGCTGAGAGGGAGCTTTTTACATGGGGTGTTTAATGGGGTGGGTCATACCACTCTAATCTGTAGTTGTCAGTTAAGCATGGATGTTTGTCCATGTTTACAGCCCAGTTCTTTATATGTTTTCTTAGATATAAGCCCCAAATATTCAGTGGTGCTTTCCTCCAGAGCAGTGTGCACAAAATTGGAACGAAGACCTGTTTGAAATGTGAGGAAAAGTTGTGGATATTTTTTAGGATTGTCATCACTTTAATCAGCCCAGCACTTTGCCTTTAAAGGCAACCTAATACCACAAAAATGTGTATCCCTGGCATGAAAATAAGTTGTGGGAAAAGCGATATCAGATCTCTTTATCTGTGTGAGCCTGCTGTTCAAGTGTGGAGCCAGGGTCAATCAAAACAAAAGGAAAAGAAAAACTGCCATTCTTTATTATATAGATAAAAGTAAACATGGGTATTAAACTGTGTTTTTGTATAAACTATTTTTTTGGATAGTAGAGGGAAGCAGTTTAACTCATGGAACTCCTTACTGCAAGAACTCATTACCACATAATCAAATCCAGGGAGATAGCCTTGACTGGTCAGAAGAAGGATTTACCCCTATTTCTAGAACCCAGTCCTCTGCATAGTTAGGAATGCCTGGGTTTATTGACACTGATGGGCTTTTGGTTTATTGACATTGATGGGCTTTGGTCCACTTAGCTTCATGAGCTCAGTCCTATGCACTCTGTAAGAGTATAGGTATAAGCTCTTGGTGCTTCCAGGCAGAGAATTCCTGCACTGATGATCAGAAAGCACTGTGCTGCTTTTCGTCTTAACGGATTTTCCATGGTAAGAAAAAAGGGAGAAGCAGCAATTGGGAAAACATAGAAGGGTCACAAGTTAAAGATGATGTCTACAAAATTCTGTGAATGGGGTGTGGTTTTCAAAGAAGGGATCCTCATCTGTTACACTGCATGCTTGTGAGCAAAGTGAGGATTCTAATTCATGTTGGTGATTCTAAGTATGTAAAACAGTGGTTGATACTTGCTTTGCAAGGCCTGCTCTTGGGCACGCAGTGCTGGGAGTTGGGTAGCTCACTTGTTTAATACAGTAAGGGAGCTCATATGTTCTTAAACCTTGGTACTCTCAGCAGGGAATCCATATTTAATATGCACACATTTTTGTATTGCTCCCAATTTGCAAACACTTTGCCAGTGTTACAGAGTGCTAAACCATGATTGTGCTTACCATGATTTGAGCATCAAAAGGTACTGCCAAGCAGTGACTAGAGAGCTACTTGCATGTTTTCATGTTTGGCTCAGTCTATATTCTAGATGCAGTAGTCTCTACAGACAGAACAATAGATACTTCGCATGCAGTCCTATGCATGTTTTGACCAAAAAAAGCCCTTCAACTCTCATTACTCCCTGGCCACCATACACAACAAGAGATTGTGGGAGGGTGATACCGTTGCACAGACTGTCGAGTCTTATCAGTTATAGCCAC